AGGGGGGTAAAATAAACCGGATAGGAGTACTTTAACTTGTCAGGGGGGTAAAATAATAATCTAGGAGTACTTTAATTCGTTAGGGGGGTAAAATAAACCGGATAGGAGTACTTTAACTTATCAGGGGGGTAAAATAATAATCTAGGAGTACTTTAACTCGTCAGAGGGGTAAAATAACTTAAATAGGAGTACTTTAACTCGTCATGGGGGTAAAATAATAATCTAGGAGTACATTAACTTGTCAAGGGGGTAAACTAACCCGGATAGAGGTAAAATAAAACGTATGTGGTAAAATTTTACTCCTTTCCAGGTTATTTTACTCCTAGACGTTTTATTTTACCCCTAAACATTTTATTTTGCTCAATTCTGAGTATTTTACTCCTTTTCTAATCACCAGTGACAGTGTCAGTTTAACTAATTACACAAATTTCAGTTGCTATGTATATTTAAGATTGCTATGATGATTTATCTTTAAGTAGAAGGGAAAGTTACAAACTTAAATAAGATGGAGAGTTGGATAGGAAAACACATCACAATGTGTTTAAAAACAAACTAAGCATTTATCACATCACAATTGTTTTACAAAATATTTATAGTGAAATGTTGTCATGTTTGCTGCTGATTTTATTTTACCTAAGTAAAAAAACTGCTGGCTATTGTTGCCATAGAGATCATGAACATATCAAAAATTAATCATATCGTACCAATGTTTTAAGAATAAAATGGTAATACATGCATCTTAATACATGGTGCAATGTAATACAGATGTAGCTATGTTTATATTGTTAAATCTTGTACAAGCAGATTAACATCAGTCCCCTACCAGTACTACTAGAGGGGATTATAGGCTTGAGATCTGTCTGTCAGTCTGGGTGTGACACTTCGATGGGGGCATATCTGGGGATGGTGAAGTGTCACATACTAAAATCAGTTTTTTGTCCCATTATATACAGATTTATGGCCCTTTTTAGGTCACCTGAGCTTTAGCCCAAGTGACCTATTGCTATCCGTCTTCGTCCGTCGTCGTCTGTCATGCATCATGCGCCGTCTGTTCACATTTTACATTTTCAACTTAAGCTGAAATACTGGCAAAGGGATTTCATTAATATTTCATGGCAAGGTTACTGACATCTCCCTGACCAAGTGTTGTTATTTTTCGGGTCGATCAGAAATCCAATGTGGCCTCCATGGCCGCCATTTTGAAAAACTATTTCAAACTTAAGTCAAGTTCTGCTAGGCCGATTGAACTTAAACTTTGTAGGAATGATCGACTCATGGTCCTGACAAAGTTTTGTTATTTTTCAGGTCGATCAGAAACACGATTTGGCTGCCATGGCCGCTATTTTGAAAATACCTATTTCAAAGTTCTAATAGGCCGATCTAACTGAAAATCGGTCTAGGAATGATCAGCTCATGGTCCTGACAAACTTAAGTTAACGTTATACTTAACATTTTTTTACTCAAATTGGTACATATTTCAACAACAAAAATAAATACTGTAGGACTCAGGTGACCGTTAAGGCCCATGGACCTCTTGTTTACCTTTTGACACATTTTCCTTGAGTGGGTCACCCTCAATTGTAAAATTGGATATGTGGGAACCTCTTGGAATGGTGGAGTGTTGCATACTGAAATCAGATCTTGTGTCCAGTGTATATAGAGTTATAGCCCTTTGTTCATATTTGATACAAGAATTGTCAGAAGGTGGGGGACTATGGACTGCTTCAATAAATCCAATACAAAATTGGCCAATTATTTAAATGAATATCTCTATTGTCAGCTGATTTCCATGACCAAGTGAAAAAACCTTTACAAGCAAACTTCTGTTTAGCTGTTTAATTTTTGAAATCTTTAATATTTTATTTGTGTATAGCTCTTATTTTTATTGTATGCATTGTTGTGATTGTTAGCGTTGCACTTTTTAATATACAATTTTTTGCCTCAATCTTCAAGTCTTTAACCTACCTCATTTAGCTTATACATTTGTACCTCTTAAAATATCTGTAAAGTATTTATTTAACATATAGGGGCTAAGGGGTAGTGAACCATTGTACCCTTGATCAAGTTATAAGAATCCATGTTTAAAGAAAAAGGGGAAATCCCTGATGTTAACACAATTTTTATCTGATTAAAAAATGGGATGTCACCTTCCGACATCATGTGAGTTGATTCCTACTGTAAAGCCCACCTCTCATACAGTGCTATACCTGTAAGTATTACTATAGCTGTTGATTTACTATAGGACTGCAGTAAGATTACAGATTTATTAACATGTATTCATTACATTAGACAGGTGCCTCTCAGTCTCCATGGTGTATATAGTTGATAGTAATTTTTAATGTTTATGTATGTATGATATTGTAATCAGCAATTTCTACCTGCCTCAGTTTTTACATATTATTGTCGTTACTTGTTAATGTGTTACCTAGGTTTTCAGGTCTTTGTTATTATTCTACTGATGGTAACAGGTCAGGTAAGGTATGGAAGTTTGTAACAATGTTACATTATTGGTGATATTTGGACAGATATGTGTCAGAGTTATTTTAGTCAACATACATTTTTAAAATGTACCCCTTTCTGGCCTTGTTAATTATGTAAGTCTATCTTCCTCTGACTTTTCGTTTAGTATATTTTTGTAATGTGTAAATTAATCATCATATAACAGAGCGATACTTGTATAACCGTGCATGGTCTTATGAATACAGACAGCTTCAATCACTTGTTTAACGTCTAGTGAAATCTTGGCCCATATTACCGCGATGGTACTTGTAAATTTAATCCGATATCTCCAAACCATGTATTGCCTTCGTTAGCTTATCTCAAACTTTTGTTCATGGTCCACAATTATATAAGAGAGGTAAAAATGAAATACTGACTGCATAATATACATGTAACAAAGACAAATATAGTTAGTATAGATTTCATTTCATTATTTTAAATGTAAAAATTAAAAATCTGAGTATATGAACAGCATTAGTATCAGGTAATCAGGAAGCTTCCATAACCGCTGGTCTATTTATAGCAATGTTTTCCAAAATACACAATCAATACATAATGCCAAAATAATCTGTGTTGGAACTCAAATTTCATATTCAATCTACTTATTTCTAAATTGAATGATATTAGTTCTCGTCATAAGTGTCATATCAGATAGCTTACCTGGTAAAAAGGGTTACAAATTCAATGCTTTTTAGCTATATTAGTATTTCTAGGTCTCAGCATGAGTTGTACGATGATATCCTTTTTCTCAACAGTCAACAGATCAAAATATTGCCAAGCCATATATTCATCAAGGTAATTGGCAAGTGCAACAAAGAGACAGTGTCCTTGTAATCAAAGGTCAACTTTCATATTCAGCCTCTGTTCATCAAGGTCAAGTGTAAATCAGTACACAAAGGTGATCTTTCTCCAGTCGAACGTTCCCTTGTTTGGTGAACTATAGATTTGTCCTGTAGTCACCAACCCTGTCAGTCTCAATGATTTCAAACACAGGGTTACCTCTATAATTAGTCGAGTGTTCCTGATCAATCCCCATGCAATGGCACATTATGTATAAATATCATGTATATAACTCTTCTTTAGAAATTATAATTTTCCTTACTAAATCTACTAATAACCTGTTTTCTTGTGAGCATTTTGGGCAAATTAGATAAATCATGACCTCACAAACTGTTGTGTCACAGATTTCCTTGTAATCATATCCAGTTCTAATCCCTGACTTTGATGGATGGTGATGACCAGTTGTTGTCTGTGAATCGGTGTCATTGTCAGTATGTCATAATTGATTTCTTAGGAAATTATTTCTCTTTATTACTGCATCTAAGGAAAGTTATGTAAATTATCCTTATAGACAGTTGAAAAAGTCCACTAAGATTTCATGAATAGAGCAAATAAGTAGTGTATCATCAGGAGACATTTAGCTCATTTATAGATACCATTTGGGAATCATCTAGTTCAGTTAAGAGATATCACTGGTGAATATATTGCATTCATTTAAGAGATTACTTGCAAAAACAATTAGAACTTGTATCGATTTCACTTGGAAAAATTGATCAATGGAAAAAACGTTTTCACAGGGTAAGAGATATTGTGTATTGGGATATCTTGCGAAACCTTCTTATTTGTAGATATCCTGGGAAATTACATTTAAAAAATATCATTGGAAGATACCTAGTTTATGTATCCATGGGCACCTATTAGATGAATATGTAGAAATTGTTGTTGACTTTATTTATAGAAACTTTAGACAACTTAGTCTATTTATAGATATCCAAGATAATCCTTTAGTTTATTTATAGATGTCCAAGTTAATCATTTAGTTTATATATAGATATCAAAGGTAATCCTTTAGTTTATTTATAGATATCCAAGGTAATCCTTTAGTTTATTTATAGATATCCAAGGTTATCCTTTAGTTTATTTATAGATATCCATGGTAAATCCTTTTGTTTGTTTATAGATATCCAAGGTAAATCCTTTGGTTTATTTATAGATATCCAAGATAATCCCGAAGTGTTTAATTGATATCCCAGGTAATTCCCTCGGCTTATAAAGAGATATCCAAGGTAAATCCTTTGGCTTATATATAGACATCTTAGCTTATATATAGATACATCCAAGGTAAATCCTTTGGCTTATATATAGATACCCAAGGTAAATAATTTAGTGTATTTATAGATATATCCAAGGGAATACTTATTTGTGGATGACATGTTGTATTAAACATCATTTATACATTGCAGTACAACTTGTCCCGTGGGATCCCTCACCAGAAAATGGATCACCTGTAAGAAACACCAATGACTAAGGCCGCGCGGTCTGGTGCATCGCTTGCTCTGTATTGTATTTGTCATACTGTTGCTGCACTTTGAGAGTATCAGATTACTCATGTAATAACACTTTATACCACTGCGTGAAACATCCTTTACACTACTGCAGTACCCATCCAGTGTGTAATGCTTTTTAATGTACTGTTGCAGTGAAGTAAATTTAAAACTTTGCTTATAAGATATGATCAACATTTGAAAGACTATTACCATGATTTGTAGTATTTCATTCTTTACATTGAATAATATCAAGATTATTCAGAAATTTTATAATACTTAAGTAAATAAATTGTAGAACACCAAGCTTAAAAGAAAAGTGCTGGTCTGACTAAAGCTGATCATCAGAAACATCTATTATTCCACCATTTAATTTAGTTCTATGTAAAAGCTATACATCAATATCCAGTTGTTTGGAATACATGCAGCCTCGAACAAATCTCTTTGTTAAATAGTAAGTGAGTAATCGAGTGATATGACAATTTACATATATGGAAAATAAAGAGAGTCTCATGATATTAATTACTTACGGTACATTTTAATGCAAACAAAGTTTTAAAATACAAATATTATGCACCAGGCTGATTAGTTTAAGAAGAGAAGATATACACCAAATACCAAATTTATTAATTTGAAATGAGAATTTAGTGAGGGTTCGTAATGGGTTTTGTATCTTAACACCAGCTAGGAATCCCTATAGTTTTAAAAACCACACTTATAAGGAGCAGATTTGAAGTACGGGTTTATCATTATTTGAATCTAAAGGGTTCCCCATTTTTAATTATTCTTTTAAAGTATAGAATATACTGATTGTATGTAGGAATCAGTGTTATTGAATATAACTTAAAAGTGCCAAATCCCAGAGTCGATTGTATGTTCTTAATCATGTTAAGTATTTATGAATAAAAATGTGTATAAGAAAGGATGATATAATTGCTAAAACTGGTAGACTTCATTTTCTGAATACCCGACCCGGTACATGTAATGTGAAATAGTTGGATTATCTCCCCTTACGTTAGGCAGCAAACAGGAATTACAGTATACCATCGCATTAGGGTATTGGATTTGAAACGTGATTTCCTGGAGTAAAATGATTAAAAGAATCAGTAAAATAAAAACCTATCTCTAAAATATTTACAATAAAACCGAAACAGTATAAACAAAATGTCACAAATAGATTATATTTATGTATATTATTATCACTCAAATGTTTTCTTTGTGTAGGTTATTTTCTTTACTAAATTATAATTGAGATGCTTCCCTGGTATATCCTTGTATGTATATATGTGGTATTTATTATTGATTATACAATTTTGAATTTAATAACAAATGATATTACATTCTATATAATTCTTCAACAGCTCCTAATTGTTTCAGTGGAAGTAGTTTATGTTGATGCAATTCTTTTAACTTTGCGATCAATATTATCACATACATCTTTTCAATTTGAGATACAGTAACATTTATATAACTTAACAAGAAGCCCAAGGACCTTAGCGGTCACCTGAGTTATATCATAGGTACTGGGAGCTTTGTTTTATTGTTTAGATGTGATATGGAAATCAGCATGTAAACTAAGGTAATACAAAACCTGTCATGTCATCATAGGATAAGAATTTTAAAATATTGGTAAATTTTCCCTTTGGGGCCCCGCCCTAGCCCCTGGGGATGGGGCAGGAATCCCAATTTTACAAAGTAATACCCTCATCCACCAAAGATGATTCTGACCAAGTTTGATTAATTTTCTGCTTAAAATGGATACAATATACCCAAAAGTGTTATTTCCCTATATAAACTATAGTAAACTTTACACCCTCCCCAAGTGAGAATGGATGGCTCGGGGGTCCTGAAATTGACAATTTGAATAAAGCCCCTTATGATCTTTCTATCCATGAACTCAAATTGACTGTAGTACAATGTACCTCCGAGTCAGGAGAAGAAGATTTGAAATATTGGTTAATTTTCCCTTTGGGGCCCCGCCCTGGCCCCTAGGGTTGGGGCAAGAATCCCAATTTTACAATTTGAAAACTATCATCCTCCAAGGATGATTCTCACAAAGTAAGAATAATTTCCTACAGAAAATTGTCAAAATATACCGAAAAGTGTTATTTCCCTATATAAACTATAGTAAACTTTACCCCCACCCCAAGGGAGAAAAGATGGCCCGGGGGTCCTGAAATTTACAATTTAAATAAAGCCTCTGATGATCTTTCCATCTATGCAGAGAAAATAACTGTAGTACCTCCGAGTCACGAGAAGAAGATTTTTGAAATATTGGTTAATTTTTCCTATGGTGCCCCGCCCTGGCCCCAGGGGCAGGGGTAGGAATCCCAATTTTACAATTTTGTAGCCTCCTCTACCAAGGATGATTCTGACAAAGTATGAAAAAATTCCATCCATTGGTTCTTGAGAAGAAGTTTAAAATTTAAAAAGTTTACGCATGACGGATGGAAAGCGATCAGAATAGGTCACTTGTGCAAAGCTCAGGTGACCTAAAAAGCTACATGAGCTAGACTGTGTAGTTCACATGACTTAATCCCTGCCAGAAGTTGTTAGATGCATGCTTGTTATAGTAGCTTGGTTTAAACTAAAGGTAATGTTGTGTTTTGTTGTTGTAGGTTGATAAACACATGTTATAATGAGGGTCACCACTTAGTGACTTGTATATATTCATCATGATTGATATCAGATACAGTGAGTTAATTCTCAAGTCAAACTGTAAGCTTCATGAAGCAATAGATATAAGATTGGATATCATAATTTTCAGAAGGTGGATAATTGTTTGGTCTATCCCATAACCTACATATTGAAAAAAAAAGCTATTTTTTGTATATGGTACTTAGTTTATTATTTCAGTTATCTGATTGGTAGAAAATTTGATACACGATTCTGCATATGCGGTGTATACAAGGCATGGTGACATATTGCAAGTGGGACAATGCAAAGTATTGTGATGTTACACCACATAATGTTATACCACACATAATGTTATACCACATAATGTTACATCTCACTGTGAAGTTATCAGAAACACATTAACCATGGGCTGGGAATGTGAAACCTAAGGTATTGTAGTATCACACTGAAGTTATCAGAAACACATTAACCATGGGCTGGGTATGTGAAACCTAAGATATTGTAGTATCTCACTGTGAAGTTATCAGAAACACATTAACCACAGGCTGGGTATGTGAAACCTAAGATATTGTAGTTATGGGATACTTAGTTATATTGGATTTAGGATTTAATGTTGCGCTGTAGAAAGTGACATCATAATATTTGAGTTAAGAGATAGCTAGTTATTTCCTGTGTGTTCCATATACATGTATGGTTACAGTGTTAAATAGTTTTGATAATTTTTGTGCTGAAAAGGAAGGATTGGGACCAGTTCCCCATGAATTCTGCCAAAAGGTTTAGTATCTCCATGCCTCAAAAGTTCTTGTATTCCATCATTTCTCTAAAATAATTCTATACCTAATCAGTTTACTTCTCTTAAATCAGTTACTGAATAAATTTCATTTCCTGATCTTCCATGGAAAAAAAATGTTATAATGCTCATGAATCTAGTGTGCTGTATGAAAACGTGAAGACCTGATCGCTGTCACCAAAACTTTGAGGTGATATAACTGATATAAAAGAGCAAAAAATTAATTCAGAATTTTCTCTCAAATACACAATGTATAAACAACGATCACCTCCTATTCAACTCAACTTACCTATATTGCTTTCAATCCAATTTTCTCCAATGAATTAATTCATAGCTTCTTTGGGTATAATTTTATGAAATATTTGAGATATTGACAATTGCTCTATGTATACATCAGCAGGTGCTCTCCAGGTTACATTGTCACACGTCCCTGTACGTTATAGTGGTATAGACCGAGTGTCATGTTGAGGTGATTAGGGCCCAATCACCTCCATCACTCTCCTCCACCACTAATGTCCAGCTACAGGTGACGGTGCAACCAGCAATGAGGGTTTCTGCTGAATCTTTCAAGCTCTTGTCAGTAAATCTAGGGTATCAACTTTTAGCTGTATAGTAACATTTGTCATTACAATATTTATATACAGTCTTTAGATAAGACTTCCCGAGGAAAGACATTGAATGAATGTTAAATATATTAACTTAGGAAAAGGTGATTAGGTCCAGTAGGAGAAATATATATATAAAATGTGTGTAGGTAGATAACTCCCTCCTATATTGTTATTCTGATATTAGACTTATATAGTATCTCTCCCATATTGTTATGATATTAGATTTAGTATTAATCATTATACATATGTTAATGTTTTAATGAAGGTGTCTTTCTCATGTCATATTTTGTCACACCTGTAATTAACAGGTAACCGGTATACATTTAAGTGTGGTTATGACTTTGTACTGTGATTTCACACCTGTCGATGTTACTACGTCCGTGTCAGTTTCGACATAAGCTGCTGTTATGTTACAGATTGTTGATTTGTAAATCTGTTGCTGAAGCTTCCAATAAAACAAACAAAATAAATTGCTTTAATTATTTGTACAATTCTATCTACCTAAATCATCTAAGACTTCAGAATTCAGAAACCCCAGTCTGCTTGTTTCTTTTTCTCAATCCTGGACCATTATTGTGTCTTGGCTCTTAGCAAATGTCTGAAGGAGACAATCCACAGCCGATGGACAGGTAGACTCTGGGAGTGTTCAGAGATCTCAAGTTCCTTGATGAATTCTGGGCCCCTACTCATAAAACTCTCATACTCAAACTCGGATTCTGTGCTTAGGCCCAATTTCTTGTTTCTGTGAAATTCTTAAAAACTCACATTTGGTTATGACTTGAAAGAATGTGAAGAGATGAAATGCCAACCAATGTTTTCAAAGCCTTACGACTGTTACATGATTTATCAAATTACAAGAAAGTTGTCTGGAACACAAAATCCATGCTTGAGTATAAGCAAATTTTCATGAATACGGGCCCAGGTTTGGCCATTTTCTCACTCCTGTTAGTGTAGGTCTTAATAATGAGCTTACATTGTAATATTCCGTACTAAAAAAACTCGGAATCACCTGTGTCATTTTGTCTTTATTACGTAGTGTGCATTACACCCAGCCCATCAGTACAATCAGTATATATCAGTATCACAGGGAAATGTCTAGTGAAAGTACAATTAAGACAACATTAATGGTAAACTTACTTCAGCTTCAAATCTACTTTGGCTTAAAGTCAGAGCAGACCTCTCAATGTTGTATTGGTATACAGTAATTGTTTAGGTCTACTTACAAACGTTCTGGTAGAGAATCTATTCAAAGTAAAAAATGAAATTTAAAACATACAAAAAGTCCACCGTTCATGAAAACATTAACTTGGAACAGGGAAGTAATATTAGATGACATTACCATAAACACAATGTTTATAAGAATGTATAAACTTGTGTTTAGGTTTTGCTCATATATATAAATATATCTATATATAATTAATTTCTACATATAGTCACATTTATTTCATATTAACCAGTAAATAAATGCATCTGAATTCACAAACCCTGATCACACATACTGATCAGAATATAGTTCTTCTTTTCTTCATAAATCCTAGATACAGTAAAGGATACAGTTCATTAATAACATATCATAATCATATTTGTGTGATGAAATTAAACCATGTATTTATTTATTGAGGAATAATGTATAAAAATACATGTCCCCTAGTTTTTTTTTCATCACACACCTTGACCTTGAGATAAGGGTACACAGAACACCATCTGCTGTGGATAAGGACACAAATAATCTTTGATCTCTCATTGTGGCAATATCACCATCAGAATGCAAGTACAACAAGGGCAATAACTCTGTCAATAACAATGACACCAGTATTCTAGATATATCTGCAAAACTTTATATTGTGTTAATAGGATAGAAACCAAATGACATGTCAGGACAAAAATAATTCTTGAAATTCTAGTGGTTACATGTACTTATGTTCTCTGCACCCCTGGGATATTAAAACTGAAGGCTCTGTACCTGCCCCCTTGTCAATGATACAAGACTAGTTTGTACATCAAAACAATTGTGCGGCAGCATAACGCTAAAAGGACAGTTATTAGCCTAGTGAATGCTCGGGTCACTTGATTATACCTGAAACCAATAGTTTATTTTGTGCCTTCAATTTTGTCATGACATATGCTCGGAGGTGAAAGCATGTTGGAATTTGCAAGATGGACAAAAACATGTCTAGGAACAGGTGGATGGACAAGCTGATTCCAGTATAGCCCTTAATTTCATTGCAGAGGGTATAATAACTAGAAAGAAAAGCCCAGTCAGTAATATTAAATGCATCATTCTGTCAACTTTTTCAAAGCATACATATTTGTTCTAACAGATTACTGATGAGTATATACAATTGTAAACAGACAGTCAAAGATCAATCAGATAGTCCTGTTTTGCCTTTATGATATCATAATGACCTTCATCACAATTTATTCTTGATGCAGCCACACTTCTGTCAATGTTAGGTTTACATAAGGACAATGTGCAGTTCCTACATCGTATTGGTATGTCCATATTTGAAAATGTTCATGTGAACTCTCACCATATCAGCTCTAGATCTAAGAGGCTGACATGAACAAAGGAAGAATTACAGGCCTGTACTTTGTCAGCATGCTCTTCTCTTGTTAACATCACATAGACTCCTCTATTCTGTCATCTCTTCCTCTTCATCCTCCTCCTCCTCTGATGTCACATCTTCATCATCAGCTTCTGCTAGACATCTGGCACATCCACAGTGGAACAGGTAATTTTCTCTATAAATACATTAAATATCCAATATAACTTTTGAAGACAGAAATTATTAGAATTATAATCCAGACAAAAAAAAACATAAACAAAGGGCTATAACTGTAATGTTACAGGCTGTGGACCCCAAATGTAGTATAAAAGCTACAAACCTTTGTGACTCTAAGTGAAGGAAATGTAGCCTGAATAAAGAAAATGAATGAAGGGCCATAACTCTTGAAGTAAGGGGCCATAGAGCCCTAAACTGGTCCAAAATTTATGATGTGACACTCCATGATGCCCGATATATAATCCTGTATATCCATAAAGTTAAGAGGTCCAAAGTCAAAATTTAAGGGTTATGGTCCAAACAAATAGTGACAAGAACAACAACAAATGGGTTGAAACATGTTCACAAAGGGGGTGACATGACAATTACTAGATTATCACAGACTAGTATTACAGTCAATGTAAGTACAGTATCACTGTCACCAATCAATGTTAATTAATATCAGTGGTACATGTACTATCATGGATTACCTGAGAAGTTTCTGTCGGCTGTGTCTGCTACGCCCAATGTCACACTCACTCAGGTAACATATACAGATCTCCTGTAAACCCACACAAAGTAAACAATCAAGTAGATTACCTTAAAAACGATAACCTTCAAAATCTATTTCCTAAGTGTAAACTTTTAATGCCACAGAAGATAAGGGATACATGCACATGAACTAAGAAAACACACATGTTTATTTACATATTCTAGAATTTCACAAATGAAATTAACCCAGAAAACGGTTCAAACTGATCCACACTCGGGGAATGATGATGTTTATGTATCACCAAGGAATTCTTGATATTTAACGAAAGAAAAGCCTTCAAAAATACAGCCTCAATTGGAGTGCAAGTGACATATACAGATTTTTAGAATGTGTGTAACCTTTATCTAAAACGTGAATCACATAAACAGAGCCGCCTGAAGGTACGTCTGATTCACTTAGGTCATTGTCTGTTCCTTTTCTATGTTATTTAATGACATTTGGATATGATAACAAGTCTGTTACTTTGGCTCCCCCAGGATGAGTAATATCTAGCGTAACTGTTTTAGACATGAAGGCAAACCCTGTTGATGCTTAGAGGAGACACATCAGCATCTACCAGCAGACACGGGGTTTGTTATGTTAATTTATTTTCATGGCTTTATCACGAACTTGTATTAAGGTATATACTCCAACAGAAGTATGTAATCCCCTTGACCTAGCTATAGCAACATACAAATTCACAAATTAGTATTGTTTTGCATGTAAACACTTAACAGTAAAATGTAAAATAGCTGGGTCATCACAACAAACATTGTCAAAGTTTAATGGAGCTACATAAAATTACAGTAAAATACAAATGTCAATGAAAAACTGGGTAATCCATAAAACTTGCTTCCTGTTACTTATATGAATGAAATAACATTAAGTTACAAGTCATGTCAATTAATCTGGACAATTACTTAATCTAGACATCTTGTTTGTTCCTATAAATATGGCTCACTTGGGTGTCTTGGAGAAGTGTCATTAACAGATTTTTTTGAGGTAGTGGAGATGATGAAAACCTACTTCTCCCATCCGTCAGTAACATAAATTTTGAAGTGGAGATAATGATAACCTACCTCACCTATCTGTCAGTAACATAAGTTTTTGAGGTAGTGGTCTGAGTGGAGATGATGATAACTTACCTCACCTATCTGTCAGTAACATAATTTTTTGAGGTAGTGGTCTGAGTGGAGATGATGATAACCTACCTCACCTATCTCTCAGTAACATCATTTGTTGAGGTAGTGGTCTGAGTGGAGATGATGATAACTTACCTCCCCTATCTGTATGTCCTCTGTTGCCACTAACGCCAGGCGATGGTTGTTATGTGGAAAGGTTATCTCCGCATTGGGTAGACAGCTGTGATTACCTTACAAAACATGAACAGCAATATTTTTTATACAACTGTAAAACTGTATGATTGTTTCAATACAAAAGATCATTATGTGAAGTTACGACCTCGCTAGCTTCAGAAGAAACCATGGCCAGATACAACGAAAATCCCAACTTATTAAACTAAAGTGGCAATATAAACACTGCATTTTGATACACCAGCTGTGATCCTCTTATTCTGAACCATCTTTTTATTCAATGAACAAATTCATCATTTGATTTGGAAAGTTGCTACTTATACTAGACCCATTGTTTAGGTTATTTTAACTCTAGTCAAAGTCAGAGCTGCCTTAGCCAGTGTTTGTTGTAGATTAATCTGATACCTACATGTACTTTGTAACCTGTATAGTCCCGATCCTTCACAGTCCAGAAACGTCCCCGACACTGAAACACAAATTACACACGGTTCATTACAGTCCAGGAATGTCCCTGACACTGAAATACAAATTACACGGTTCTTTACAGTCCAGGAATGTCCCTGACACTGAAATACAAATTACATCGTTCATTACAGTCCAGAAACGTCCCCAACACTGAAACGTAAATAACACGGTTCTTTACAGTCCAGGAATGTCCCTGACACTGAAATACAAATTACATCGTTCATTACAGTCCAGAAACATCCCTGACACTGAAATACAAATTACACGGTTCATTACAGTCCAGAAACGTCCCCGACACTGAAACACAAATTACACGGTTCATTACAGTCCAGAAATGTCCTCGACACTGAAACGTAAATTACACAGTTCATTACAGTCCAGAAACGTCCCCGACACTGAAACACAAATTACACGTTTCATTACAGTCCAGAAACGTCCCTGACACTGAAATACAAATTACACGGTTCATTACAGTCCAGAAACGTCCCCAACACTGAAACACAAATTACATCGTACATTACAGTCCGGAAATGTCCCCAACACTGAAACACAAATTACACGGTTCATTACAGTCAAGAAATGGCCAGACAGGTAAACACAAGTCAAACTGTTCATTTTAAAATGTGTATGATTGCTGCTGTCTATGTTTTTAAGTTATATAAACTTAAACTAACATCTAGCACCATTAGAGTGTGACTGATAAGCCAAGGTTATAAAAATGATGAACCCTTTCATTCCGTAGCCAAAAATTAAGGGATAACTGTACCTCGGTCCAAATCCTCGTACATTTGGTCTATGAAGCCGTCCAGTTTCTGTTTCTCCTCGTCGGACAATGAAAGTTTCTCGCAGTTCTTAACCCACACACTTATTGCACTGCAAGTAACACAACAAAAGGACAATTAGTCAGAATTCCTCTTATGAGAAAATTCTTTTGTGTAATACCAACATGCAAATTTCCCCAAGAAAATCAAATACGATTAAATAAAATATATTGGCTACTGCATGATAACATCTGAGGGAATAATAGGTAAAATGTATTGGCTACTGATGACATCTGAGGGAATAATGTTTATTGAATACAAAATTCAAGACCCTTTAATTTGCCTTGCATATGTATTTAACAAGAAGACTCATTCTTTAATTCTCCAATAAATGCTAGAATAAAATATGAAATTACCGGTAAATTGAATACAGATACAAATATGTACCAGAGTCTACAAAAAAAGGCCTATCGGCTTTGATACCTGCAGTGGTGGCCTGGTTGGACGTAATGTTTTTGTTGCAAATGTGTAATAAAGTGGTAGCCTGATCGGGGGTACTAATTCTTTGCAAACATGGTATAAGTTTACCTGGAGCCAATTCCTTGTCCATTCATTCCAACCAGGGCGAACAGTGAGCGGAAGCCTTCAGGTGTGTACCACTGAAATGAGCAAACAGTTCATTACACTGTGAACTGTGATATTTGCCCAATGTTTCTTTTATCTTCCTGTTGTACTAAAATTTCATAAATGATTTATTTCACAATACTCACCCCATGTCAAATTCACCCTCTTGCTCAAGGGTGAATAGAGTAAACATAGAATTTACATGAATAGATCCAATTTTCCATTACACTAGTGTAGACAGCATCAGATAAAGTTTTACACCGGTAGTTATCTATTTCAAATATTACCATATTTAAATTAAACCTGTAAATCTTCTGAACTTTACTGTAATTTCTATAGATTTAATAACAACTAATGCTTCCATCAAATTATTATTCAAATAATGGTCATCATTGCATTAGTGAATATTTATGGTAAGCAACAGAAGGTTCTTGGTTTTAAGCAAGCAGAATAATCTGTAGTTTGATTACAAAATTGACTTTTCAAGACACATATTTAGAGAATACAGCTTCACAAATTTTAATTAGGTATCAGCAAAACAATGTTAAATCATAAATATTGTTCTGATCATGTGGATTCCTTAAATGTTGGGGAAGTCAATAAATATTGTTCTGAACATGTGGATTCCTTAAATGTTGGGGAAGTCAATAAATATTGTTCTGAACATGTGGATTCCTTAAATGTTGGGGAAGTCAATAAATATTGTTCTGAACATGTGGATTCCTTAAATGTTGGGGAAGTCAATAAATATTGTTCTGAACATGTGGATTCCTTAAATGTTGGGGAAGTCAATAAATATTGTTCTGAACATGTGGATTCCTTAAATGTTGGGGAAGTCAATAAATATTGTTCTGAACATGTGGATTCCTTAAATGTTGGTGAAGTCAAGCAGTTGCATACAGTGAGAGATACGCCAGAAATCCTACCTGCTGGACATTTTCTTCAAACAGAGACTCTGTCAACATCTGTCTTAGCAGTTCCAATGGTTGCTAGTAATATATAAATATACCTAACTTTATACTTTTGATAAGAAAAGCATTATCTGCAACCATGTTCACACTTGAAAGCCATCATCTTTTAATTAGTTGAATGTGTCAGAGGGGGAAAAAAGTCCCCCATACATTGCTGTTACAATGTGATCAATTATTAACACTACATTTTATTTCATTGATAAATACGTGATGCCACATGTTCTGTAAATAAACCTATCTAGTACATGGAATGAAATTTAAATCAATTTTTGATTACTTATCCTATTTTAGTAAAAAGCTTTGCAAAATCATCCACAAGGAATGCCACTTTATAAAACTATGTAATAACTCAACTTTTTTGAAAAAGTAGACATTACTGGAAGGCATAAGACTTTAAGTTTTATACATTACAAGGTTACAGCGGACTGTTTGTATCTCTGTTTTTTTATAGAAAGCTCACCTTGAAGTTTTCCCCCAGCAGTTTATGTGCTATCTCCTCCTCTTTGTTAACAGGTAGGTTGACAAACTGAGAGAAAGCTGATATCACAGACGATTTATCATCAACCTGAAATTTACATTAAATTTTAATGTTTACGAAGCCCAGGTACTGTTTTCAGAGTAAAGAAAACAATTAAATGAAGACCCTTATGATCTATTGGATCTGCTGCATAAGGATATATCTAACACAATGTTATTCTAGAATTTAAATATATCTTTAGATAACGAACAGATTTTTAAAGTACATACAATAGCCAATAGGCAAAATAAGCTGAATTTTATCTATTGTACTATACATAATTCACACAATAATGATATAAATTTTAAAGGAAAACCTTGTTACAATAGGTGTTTAGATCTAGGTACAGTGTAACCGTTGTGATGTTAGTCACTACATAGAAAGTGTTCTCACCTGTTTGACCATAGCTATCATTTTGGCCAAAAGCATGATACTAGATGTCTCGGGAGGATAGTGTGTATTTCTGCAAAAAGATAAACAAAAACATAAAATCTTTCTAATATTCCTCTAAAAAATTGGAGAAGCTAACAAACAACAAGATAAAACAAAAATATAAAATAAATTATCTAAAAGTTTCTTAAACCAATTACCGTACTTTCATTATATCTACATGTAATACTTACCTTGCCCTCTGATATTGAGAGCTAGAATAGATTATCTTATCTGGCTTACCAATACATTGACAATGATCTTCATTGCACTACCATATGTAGATGTTACACATGGTATATCCTGGTTCAAATCTACTCAACTGACATCAATGATAAGCATTGACGTACCTCCATGCCTCTCCAAGTCGTGCAAGAGGGTGTTCTCCATCTTGTCGTGATGGTCCCATACATAACGTCCTATGGTACTCGGTCCATGCGGCCATTCGACATTCATCACAACAGTACACAACCTGAACAGATGTATAAAGCTCAAATGTCATTTCATAAAAGAGTTTGTACAAGTAAAATAGAGCAATTTAAATTAAAAGTATTTATCAAGGTCTCTAATTTCTAACCAACCACTTGAATCCATTTATATATGCTTGTATGCTTTAAAAGCTCTTGGTAAATCTGACCCTAAATCAATACAAGAACATTACAAAATAAAATTTTACTTATCTTCAAACTACTTTAAACAAACTTAAAATCCTTCATCCAAGCAAGATATACATCATTTTCATTTGATGTAATGGTTTTGACTCATTTTACCTCCGTAACATTGAACGTACATCAAAGTTATGAACTTGAACAGAATTGATATCCCTTCCCACAGCAAGCTACATACAAAATATCCTGACCTTATATGTTATGGTTTTAAGAAGTTCTTAAAAGAAAAAAGTTAAAGGCAGTTGGACATTAAACTTTATTCTAGGTGAACTAGGTATTTGATAAATGTCCTATTACTTGCCTGACATTGTGGACACATCACATACTGAGTAGGCTTGGCCTCACAACACTCGGGGTAGGGCAGATTCACACCTGGGTTTTCTGTCAAACGTTGACATTGTTCCTCGGCCGTCTCTAAAGACTTCAGACAGTATTCACAGGCTGTATACTTGTAAAACTCATTCCAAAGAAACTGAGAAGATACAATTGGCCGTTCCTCAAATAATATGTCACCTTTCTTGAAGTCTTTACTAGCAAAGAGGCCTTTACCCTATAATAAAAATCAATCTTTATACATCAATACATGCACTCAACACCTGATACCAAATGAAGCAGTTCGTTTGGTCCCAACGGAGTTCATACATATTCTTTGTAAAGTAAACCCAGATTAGTCGAACCGTTATTCCTTGAATACCCTGTATTTCTCAAACAAAAATCTGTCCCTAACTCTTCATGGTCATGGTATTAATCCTATCTATTCGTCGAAAGGGTGTGACCTGTCACGCCCGACAGATATTTTACCTTGTATATCGCACCGGCACTGCCGTCGACATGTCTCAAGGCACAGACTGGGATCCAAGCTCATTGTGCTTATACAGGTGTCGGCATGGCAATATTAAACATAGCAGATTCTTGACTAATTTAAAAGATATTCAAACTTGAATACTTTGTGATTGTTAATTTCGTTATCAATCAACATTATGACAGGAAGGATTCAAGATTTTCTTCATTTTAAAATGATCGAAGTTTTGATATTTTGTAAAATTAATGTAGCTGATTACAGTATGGCGGACTATATATGTCAAAACGACAAGTATGTTACACATGCAGATTTTTAATTTTATTTCCTTTCTTAATATCGGTGGCTATATGTTTTCATTGTTTTGCTATTTTAAATCTTATTAAATGCTGTCATCTTAATCAAACTTCTTTTTACTTCTATTATCTACTAACCGCGATATTTGCAATGCTCGTATTGTCTGTTGTCCCACCTGATAAAAAAATTACGATGTCGGTAGAACCTCGGATTCGTTGATTACCATATATTCTTGAACTTTTGATCTGGACCCTTCAAGTTTGAGTTAGCGGGGTTTTACTGTATGCTTAACTACATTTTTTTCTTGATGGCCAATTTTTAAACTGTTTGACAATTTATCTTTTTTTAATTGTTGTCCTTTAATATAATATACTGTTTTTCATCCCAAATTCTGTATACTTAGAAAATTATTAATTGAACTTTAAAATTATGAGGATTTATTTAACATAATGAGAACGAAGCCACTTTAGGCAAGGGCAAGGTGAGTTACATTTAAAAAGAAATAGTCACCAATACCTGTGGCCATGATCAATCTTTAACTCTGTATCAAGGTCATCACTATAAAACACTAAGAAATTTGAAGCTAATTCTGCCTTTAACTGTACGGCCACTCACTTAATTAGTCTTGCTACATATCTACAAATGTACGATAACAATACTGCATGCTATTGTGGGATTTGCATGAGTTGCCAATGTCTGGTTCTATATGTATCTCTTTAATTGTACATAGGATTAAGGTCGCCTTCTAGCTTCCGGCTAGAGGGAATTTTCATTTAGGTCAGTGGTAGAGCGTCCGACTAGAAACCTGGAGATCAAGGGTTTGATCCCCGGTGGAAGCACACTATTCTCTTTCCTGTTACAAATGGTGTTCGTGGCCCTCCCTTTGGTGACACGGAGTTAGAACCTGGGATGTGGTGTTCAAGGGTGAACACATTTTAAAAGGGGGGAGTACGCAGTTTGGCAGATTTTAATTGTACATAGGCTCAAGTTCGCCTTCTAGCTTCGAGATAGAGGGAATTTCCCTTTAGCTCAGTGTTAGAGTGTCCTTATAGGAATCTCGAGATCAATCTAAGGGTTTGATCCCCGTGGAACTTGGAAGCACACTTTTCTCTGGTAACAAGTTGTTTCGCCCTAAATCCGTTCGCACTATATGGGTTGTTTCCCTCAAATCCTGTTCACCCTCGGTTGTTTCGCCCTAATTTGTTTTACATTTATACGCTAATTATATAATAATTAATATTTAAATATATCAACTAAATTTATTGATAACTTTCCAATTGGTGTTAGGTATATTTCATGTAGAAAAATATATATACGCCATTGTGTGAGTGCGGAGTCAGCCTTTCACAGCTGCCGTTTGTCAAACTCACTTAAAAACAACACAAACACATTTTTTTGAGAAAAAATGATTTAAATGATATGGAAGACTAAGAAGACTTTATTTGTGACCTAAAACTACTAAAATTGAAAGAAAATACCAAACAATGTTTCGCCCTAAAAACAACATGAGGCGAACAGGATTTTGGGGCGAAACAACCCCGAACCCTATTCTCTTTCCTGTTACACATCGTCACATGTTTTGACTGCATCATCATTTTAGGTGACTAATATGGAGTCCCTCTTCTGCATCGGAGATACTTTCGTCAGATCAGGTATTTCTGCTGTAAGGTGTATGGATATTTATATAAATATATATAGTTGTATACACATGCTAAGCTTTACAAACATTAACTGATTTAAGTGACTCAGAAAAAAATCTCCAAGAGACCTCCTAGATGCAATTAAGGGAATTCCTCTGGATCTATCAAGTAACTAATGCATCAGTTGCTATATCAGAAAACAAGAGGCCCAAGGGCCTTAGCGGTCACCTGAGTTATATCATAGGTACTGGTAGCTTTATTTTATTGTTTAGATGTGATGTGGAAATCAGCATGTATATAAACTAAGTGAAATACAATACTTGTCAAGTCATCAAAGGATAAGAATTTGAAAATATTGGTAAATGTTCCCTTTGGGGCCCCGCCCTAGCCCCTGGGGATGGGGCAGGAATCCCAATTTTACAATGTAATACCCTCATTCACCAAAGATGATTCTGACTAAGTTTGAGTAATTTTCTGCTGAAAATGGATAAAATATACCCAAATGTGTTATTTCCCTATATAAACTATAGTAAACGTTACCCCCTCCCCAAGGCAGAACGTATAGCTTGGGGGTCCTGAAATTTACAATCTAAATAAAGCCCCTGATGATTTTCTTTCCATGCAGAGAAAATTACTGTAGTACCTCTGAGTCTGGAGGAGAAGATTTTTGAAATATTGGTTAATTTTCCCTTTGGGGCCCACGCCCTGGCCCCTAGGATTAGGGTAGGAATTTCAATTTAACAATTTTAAACCATCTTCCTCAAAGAATAATTCTCACCAAGTAAAAATAATTTCCTACAGAAAGTTGCCAAAATATACCCGAAAGTGTTCTTCCCTATATAAACTATAGTGAACTTTACCCCCTCTCCAAGGGAGAACGGATAGCTCAGGGGTCCTGAAATTTACAATTTTAATAAAGCGCCTGATGATCTCCTTCTTTTCATGCCGAGAAAATGACTGTAGTACCTCTGAGTCTGAAGAAGAAGATTTTTGAAATATTTGTTAATTTTCCCTTTGGGGCCCCGCCCTGGCTCCAGGGGTTGGGGTAGTAATCCCAATTTTACAATTTTGAAGCCTCATCTACCAAGAATGATTCTAACCAAGTTTGAAAAAAATCCATCCACTGGTTCTTGAGAAGAAGTTGAAAATGTAAAAAAGTTTACGCACGGCGGACGACGACGGACGAAAAGCGATGATTAGAGTAGGTCATTTGAGCAAAGCTCAGGTGACCTAAAAATGTATGGATAATTACCACATAGGTACCGTCGGGCTACATACTTTACTCAAGTCGATTTGTCGAATTTCCACGTTGTCTTCTATGGAGGCTGCCATTTTGCTGTTCGGAACTCTACTTTCGATTTTCGTCATAATCGAAGAAAACAATAGAATGTATCGAAAGGTTCGACAGCGGAGTCGCTAAAACGTTTTTTTCAAGGTAAGTTTATGTGACGGGGTGAAGCGTTTCATTTGGTATATCAATAGAAAAATAATGACACGAAAGTTAATTCTATCGTAGAAAAACAGCAAATTCTTCATGTTTGAAACTATCGCGAAAAGGAAAAAAGTATGACACAGCCGACAGTTGACGTCCTATTCACATTATTTTATGTTTTTTTCTCATTCTGTTTGATGTCTCCGCCATCCGAGTTTGTTTCTGCTGGAATAACTATCCAGAATCTGCTGTCAAATTACCTTGGCAGTGAAGAAATGCATTTTATATATTATCACATCAAACGTACAACAGCAACAGTAGTGATCCACTCATTTTTCCCTTTGGGTAAGACTGTTTCACAATTTCTGTTTGTTTTATCGATACGTTGTTTAACAGCCTGAAAGAGAGTGCATGGCCTGGATGCGAACCCAGGATTTCCGGGCCCGTTCTCATTCTCAAGCATGTATTTTGTACTCAAGCCTAATTTCTTGTTCCCGTTATAAATTATGAAGATATCTTATTTCTTCAATGATTTTGGGAAAAAATTAAGAGACTTAAAAGCCAAATACTGTTTTCAATGTTTACATTTGACTTTTTGATTGTTTGGCATGATTTAAGCGACTTACAAGAAAATCAGTTTGAGCACAGAATCCATGCTTGAGCATGAGAACGGTTTCATGAATATGGGCCCCGAACTCTTACACAGACTTTTAATCAATTGAGCTTTCTGGTCGCCGGTGATTAACCCATCACAATTCCGCTACACAGCCTATTGTTGTGATCAGTCAAATGTGTATGACAACCGTTCTTAAGAGTGTGACAGATTTGTATTGTATGTAGAGAATATCTAGCAGTGTCTTCAGTAATACCAAATATATCTTCCACAAGTGCGCAGAAAATAGTTCCCCCATGATAGGTAACAGATCTGATAATTATGGGAAGTGAAATGGACAGGTTTTCTCGGGCCTGCATATTGTCACGGAATTGCGATCTTAAAGTATGTGGTATTGTCAACCTCTTCCCCACTGTAAACCATATAGACTCATCCAAATCAATGCATGGTTGAGTTTACTAAAGTTACATAGGGATTAAAAGGTTACGTTTACCACACTTTGACCCTATGGGCCAATTGTATTTTTTCTTATGGTAGTTTGTAATGCAGTGTTTTGATTGGTCAAATATGAAAAAGTGATTAAATTAATCATTTTCAACATTTCACTGGTAAAAATGTAACAAATAGTACAGTTTGAAGTTATCAAACTTTGATAGAATGAGATGAAAATTAAAAGGTGTACATCTTTGAATTCCTCTTACCAAGTTTTTAAAAAAATGACCTCATGACTTTTTATGAAGATTATAGAAATATGGATTAGAACCTTTTGACAATCAGATTGAAGGAATTTAACTCTAATATGATCTTTACATTTTGTGAAAATAGGGAATATGGAATAGCCTTGATATGCCCTGCTGTATACAATTATGTTAAAATTATATAATGTGTCAGCAATATCTACAATGTTGATTTGATGTGCAATATATACTTCAAGGTGTTGTCTCCACTTTAATGAAAGTTGCAATCTTGATATGTCAACCTGTTATTTATATGTAATTTAAATATGACATTTGTCAAGTTGTAACCATATGATGACAGTTTTGTTTTATCATAAATTTAAAACAGTTTGTGGTGTGTATGTCATGTTTTACGCCCGTCAAATTTGACTGGAGTATTATGGTATGGCTTTGTCCGTCCATCCGTCCGTCCGGCGTAAACTTTTGTTTGTCTGACAGTCTTCTCCTACATTTTTCAACGGATCTCTTTGAAACTTTGTATACATTATAATCATGATATGAAGTTGTGTCTCCTTTAAAAGAATTTTGATTCGACAATTTTTTCAAAAGTTATTGCCCTTTGTTCATTTCAGTATTTGATTTTTGTCAGCATTCTCCTCCTACATTTTTCAACGGATCTCTTTGAAACTTGGTATACATTATAATCGTGATATGAAGTTGCGTCTCCCTTAAAAGAAATTTGATTCAACAATTTTTTTAAAAGTTATTGCCCTTTGTTCATATCAGTATTTGATTTTTTGTCCAGAGATCTCCTCCTACATTTTTGACAGATTTCTTTGAAACTTAGTAGGCTAATAATCATGATATGTTGTTGTGTTTCCTTGAAATGAATTTTGGTTCGAATTTTTTGCAAAAGTTATTGCCCTTTGTTCATTTCAGTATTTGATTTTTTTATCCAGAGATTTTCTCCTACATTTTTATAGCATGTCGGTTAACCACTCTTTTAATGATGCAGATCTTATTTCAATTTAAGAAAGTATATAACACTATATGGCATTCGGCTGGCGTATATTGTTCCGCCCCAAGGTACTCTTGTTTTTAATGTAATTTATGAGATAATTTCTTCACTCAAGAGATACAATTTCAAGTAATTTTAAACTGCATCAAAAAAGTTTTATCTCTTGTTTTGTGTGTTGGACAGTGGACTCCAAATTCCAAAATCCATGGTCATTGAATATGTTTAATCAAGTCAGTTACCATGACTTATATCAGTCCAGTCGTAAAACTGTGTAAGACTTGTTACTGATTCCTATTTACAGGTTACTATATTGGATCTGGATTGTTTTCCCCACAAAAAAACCTATTTGACCTATGGAGTTTATCATTGTTTTGGAGGACATATCTGGCTCTCAGCATTGCCATTATTCTGCTGGCATTACTCACAGCTTATTATTGGTCATTACGAAAGTGGAACAACCATCCAATAGCACAACAGCTTGGTTACCTGCAGGGAAACAACGATTCGTGGAGAACAGTGGCATCTTCCATCAATATTGAGTTCCGTCGTTTCGACAAGTTTACAACAGGACCCCATGGTCAGCGAGTCATTGTCACAGATTCCTGGGTGATAAAAACTGGAGCTTATTTCCTTCATGTTGCTCACCAGAATGACATCCATCTGACTCTGTCAAATTCTGAAGAACATTCGCTCTCATATGAAAACTTATCTTCTGTGCAATATATCAATTTTTCTGTATCAAGTGTTAATCCAAAAATAAAGCCTTTCACAATTAGGTAAGTATCATTAAACAGACATGCGTTAATTTCTGTTTTTAATTCCCTTGAAAAAAATAATGTTATCTATCAAGTGAATACTTGCAGCTGCAAGTTTTTTTTTCGTTTTCAAGAATCATTACCTCAGACCTAGGGTGTACATTCATATTTTATTGATGCTTTGAATTCCTAGCATGCGGAATCTTTCCCATGGCAAAGTTTGCTAGTATGAATTACTGAATACTCATGGAACAGAAAGGGGTTTCCTACTTCTTTTACAAGAATTATATAACACATCTTGAGCTTTCTACCATCAGTATTGTACACTCCTATCTGTCATCCATTTGAGTTGTACATGTGATGTTAATTTTGATACAGGTTAAACTCCCTGGAGTACCGTGACTTGAAGGATAAGTTGCAGACCCCAGTACGGAATGCAAGGAATGTGGTTATACAACAATCTCTCAGTGACAAGTTCCTGGAGGCCTTCAAGGATCAGATCAGAGACAATGTAGACTTCCACCCACCCCCTAGTTTGGTAAGACAATCACGATTTGTAGGAAATGATACATCTTCATTGGAGCCTTTACGACCCACAGAATATTTTCTTCTGACTAAACCTTGTACTAAATATAATGATAACATAAAAAATTGAAGAATATTATGAACAATGTATTCTAAAAACATAATATAATAAATTGAAAAATATAATGAACAATGCAAAAGTATTTAGTAACAAATGTTCGATTTATATAAGATCTATAAGGATCCTCTAAGGCTATGGTAGTTGACAGAGTTGTTTAAACAAATATATATGGTGTATTATCATGAAAATATTGGGCGCGTGCAATTTTCAGGAGATAGAGACATGTATTGGGTGTATGCAGAAACAAGCAGATGTAAAACTGGTGAAGCTCTGTGACAATGCCACTCAGGGAGACTGTGTCCAGTGTTTCTGTCGACCCATGTGGTGCCTCGAGTGTCTCAGTAAATGGTTTGCCAGTCGACAGGACCAGCAGCACCCGGAGACCTGGCTTGGCAGCAAGTCCCCCTGTCCCACATGTCGGGCTACCTTCTGTGTCCTTGATGTCTGCACCATCGTGAAAACATGAAACAGTCATTGAATAGCATATCATTCCGTTTGTGATGTTTGTTCTGGAAAGCTTGTTGAATGTTATATTATCTCAAGAGGTATATATGTAAGCTTTGTGTCCAGGGCTATGCATTGGCCAGATTTTTTAAAACACCATTGGAATCAACTCTTGTGTTGTGACTGAAGCAAAAATTTTAACAGAACCAGTTGGGACCAGACAGTTTAAGACATGTCATCATTTAGTTGGGAGAATTCCAAGAGTCACATGATCCTTTAACTCACAGATTCATTTTTGAAAAAGTGATGTTGAAGACACTTCATCATTTGAGATTTTGAATTCACATTGTGAAAACATGTATGTACTTGGCTAAAGTGATGCATCATCTGATAATTAAGCTTTAAATATTTCAGGAATTTTGTGCATTTTCACTGAGTTTTCTAGTGTAAAATATATGCCGCAATATTTTACTGATAAGGCTTTATTTGTAATTATAACAAAATGTCAGTTGTTTCATTCAAAATCTTATAAGATTTTATTGAAATTTTAGGCAACATGAGATTTTAATAAATTATTGTTTTTGGTAACATTAATGTCTTTGTATCCCTTTCATTCTAATTACCGCTGTTCTGTTCAGCTTGGTATAAAACTGAGAGGGAGGAAGAGACATGTTTTACTGACATATTTTTGGTGCTGTATATATACACTTAATCAAAACAGAACTGCTCCCGAGTCTCCCTTTTCTATAGAAATAGTTCTGGAGTCTCCTTTATTATATCAGAACTGTTCTCGAGTCTTTTTGTTTTAACAGAACTGTTGCTGGGTTTTATTTCTTCTATCCCGGAGTCTCCTGTTTTTGATCAGAATTGTTCCAGTCTCTTTTTCCCTATCAACTGTTCTTGAGTTCCCTCTTCTTCTTCTTTTTAATCATAATTGTTCCATCATTCTTGACTTTATCATATCTAATCTGCAGAAGTGAACAGACGTTCTCCAAATCCCTGGGTTTCATTAGAGTTTTCCAGAATCAAGGGGAGACAAATGTCCCCAGGTCTTTCCAGAACTCAGGGAAACTTTGATAGGAACTTTGAGGGTCACCATTTTCCCACAGAGAGTCACTTCATCCTCCATCACAGATTGTACCAGGCCTGGCAAAATGTCAACAACAGATTACTAAAATATGTTTTTTTTTATTACACACAAAGTGAATAGGAATAAAAAAAAATACAAATTATGCAGACCCTTGAAATACAAGGTGTTGAAGTAATTGTTCCTTTACTGTCTAGGAAGGATACCTAGTAAAGGGAATCCTTATTATTGACATTCAGGAATAAATGCCTTTTGAATTTTTGTCATAGCTATGTTTCAGTATTAAATGTCTGAAATGGTTGACCACTACTTAAGTACAGTTTACCTTTATACTTACATTGATTAGTAATACCCGATACTGTATGTACAAGTGTACATTGATTAGCAGTACCTGATATTGTATATACATTGATTAGCAGTACCTGATACTGTGCCTAGCATACACATTTTACATAACTATCAGGATTGCAAGTAGGTAAGCTCTATATACCCTACAATGAGTGATTGTCCTTATCATCATTCACAGGTTAAATATTGTGCTGCTGTAGATACTTTCATACAGTGAACACATTTCTTTATCATCCAGTAATCCACACACAAGTAAAGTAGTGAAATTCTAAATATCCTGTACAGATCTAGATACAATACACTGAACAAATGTCCGTATCACTACACACATTAAATACCAAAATTGGATACTCTACCATTCACTGAACAATTGACTTATCTATACACATGTTGAGTAGGTTGTGTAACTATAGTATCAGCCTTGTACAAATGTAGAGTATAACACATACTTCTGATGGAATTTAGATCTTCATCTGATACTTCTAGCAGGAGCTCATCATGAATCTGAACAACCAGTCTAACACAAAAAAAATATATAATATCCATTAGTTACAGTTTAAAATAGTTATCACTGCAAGTTATTACAATCAATTTTTATTTTCATTTAAGTTATTTTCAGTTAAGTAGTTTGAATTAACTGGAAAATATTTGGTTGAGACTCAAACTGATCTGAAAATATTTGTTGAACAACTCTAAAAGCATAACCATTTACTTCTATTTGATGGTTGAAAAGTAAAAGATGTTCAAAACTTAAGATACACGAAGTAAAAACATTAAAGGCAGATATATATGGATATAGATATTTCATGAATGTATCTAGGATAAAAAAAATGGTTTATAGAATATGTCTACAATAATGAATATGAAAATGAGAATATTACCCGACATTTTGGTGGGTGTGGATCTAGTGTGACCTGTGTGGATCTAGTGTGACCTGTGTGGATCTAGTGTGACCTGTGTGGCTCTATATTGTGACAGGAATTCATTTTAAATTCTGTAAGGTAACAGCAAGAGGGAAATGATGATACTTGAGGTTGAGTTTGGTGTGGCTCTGTAGGGCGACAGCGATGTAATGTTACTTGGTACTGTGGTGGGCACAGCTCTAGGGTTTCAGCAAGGGGGACATAATGTAACTTAATGTTGAGGTGGGTGTGGCTCTGTAGGGTGACAGCGATGTAATGTTACTTGGTACTGTGTTGGGCACAGCTCTGTAGGGTAACAGCAAGGGGGACATAATGTTACTTTATGTTGAGGTGGGTGTGGCTCTGTAGGGTGACAGCGATGTAATGTTACTTGGTACTGTGGTGGGCACAGCTCTGTAGGGTAACAGCAAGGGGGACATAACGTTACTTGATGTTGAGGTGGTTGTGGATCTCTAGAGTAACAGAGTGACAATAAACAGTGATGAAGATATGTTACCTGGCCTTTAGATGGGCGTGGCTCTGTAGGGTGTGCTCCACTTGTATCATGGCCGCTTTACACAAGTCAGCAGCTGAACCTGTAATACAGTTCAAACAGTAAGAATCTTGAAAGATATCTTTATACATTGTATATCAGTTTCACAGCAAAGCAAATGCTTACTAGTAAAGTGTAAAATATACATGGATTTGATGTGAACTGATATTTGTATGTTTACAATGGTAGTTTCAAAGTCGGATAGATGATGTTAAGTTACTTGGTTTTGTTGATGTTTCTTACAGTGAGTTCAAAACCTCTGGATAATTGCCATAGCCCAGTTGTTCAAAGATTTAATAGTTTAACAACACTTTTCTCAAAACTCATGTTAAAAATCTTGAAATACAAAAGTAAAACTTTAAACAGATTCAAAACTATATCCTTTAGACAAGAAACACATAACAATTATTTGTAAATTTAAAAATGTTTCTTGAAAAATCAAATCTTGAAATAAAAGTAAAGCAGACTTAACAGTTACATGTAGACCCAGAAGATTAGAATTAGAATGTAAACATAACAAATATATGTACAATGGTCACTAATAACTTAAATTTCATGTTGTGAAGCTTTATATATATACATATATATAATTAGTAGATCCCTAGAGGGAATTTCCCTTTAATAGCTCAGTGGTAGAGCGTCTGACTAGAAACCTGGAGATCAAAGGTTCAATCTCTGGTAGAAGATCACTATTCTCTTTCCTGTTACAAATGGTGTCCGTGGCCCTCCCTGTGGTGACAGGGAGTTAGAACCTGGGATGTGGTGTTCCGAGGGCGAACACATTCAAAAAGGGGGGAGTATAGTGTGGCAGGTTGTAATTGTACATCGGATTAAGATCGCCTTCTAGCTTTGAGCTAGAGGCAATTTCCCTTAAGCTCAGTGGTAGATCTAGATCTAGAGCATCCGACTAGGAACCTGGAGATCAAGGGTTCGACCCCCGGTGGAAGCACACTATTCTCTTTCCTGTTACAGTTATACTGTAGGGGTCATGCTGTCATGTGAAATCATGAGGGAATAAAAAAGTTCGGGAAGTTTAATGTTGGAGTTGCTTAATATATTATATAACATGATTAACCTTGAACACAGAAGTTGACTGCCTGCCTCTCTGCCTGGGCCCGTAGAACTGGTGATGGAGACTTGATGTTTGGTATTAGTCGTCGCCTTTTGAAAATTGTGGTGGTGAAACCTTTAATAATGATGAGAATAAACAGGAAGACAACTGATTTTAACCTTACTGATATTTTCATTTTTAAGGAAAATGTAATTTTTATGTCTTAGAATTTTGCTTAAGCATAGTCCTATATAATTGTCCCCTCTATCCTAATTTTGTTTCTTTACATTTACATGTTTTATAAGCATATCCGTGAAAAGATTGTCACCCTGAAGTTTAGTTATTAAAAAGTACATAATACACCAACCAGTGATAAGAGTGCACATCTAAATATATATAAATAAATATAGATGGTACATGTTATGAAGCAGTCTGATTGTGTATTGTAAATTTTCTGACCGAACACATGGTGTATACTCACCATTTCTCTGACAGAACTCCACACATTTCCTTGAGAACTGGCTGACAGCAGGGAACTTGACTGAGACATGAAAATACATAGAATTAATTTCCGAAATATTACTGACCCTTTACTCGTCATATTTTAACACAATTACATGTAGCTATTAAATTGTCATGTATTTACTAATTAACCAAGGTAGACAGATATAAAGAGACTTGACTTCTATATTTCTATAGACAAGCAACTAAGACAGCCATCATACAATGAGTATCCCAATACAAGATAAACCTTACCCAAAAAGCTGTCTATGATAGCCTTAGCATCATGGGTAGACATCTTGAGGTATTCTGCAAGCCGCTCCTTCCCTGAAAATGTATTCACATGTGCTGTAACTTATCACCTTATCCATTATGTGAATAGTTTGCAATGTACTTGTATGATAATAACTAAAACCTAAAACAAAATGTCTCCTTAATTGTTTTCAGGATTCCAATTACCAATAGTATACCTTACTTATCTTATTTCAAAAACTAAAATTCCAACTTTTTCTGACTTGATAAAATGAGGCTTGAAATGTGTGCTTGAACTTTTAAGAAATATACATGTTTAAGCATACATGAATTATAACTACATCAGTTAAGAGAATATAATTTGATATGATGTAACATCAGACTTAATCTCAGACTTTGGTGGTACTGAATTGTTGTATACCTGCCCCATACATGACTGAGTAGACCACTCTTTTTGTCTGTTCTCTTTCCTGTGTTGTAACAAGGCTAACAGGCTTAGACAACCTAATACAAAAAGGGAGATAAATCTGTATCACAACGCCATCATCTGATAATTACAAATAAATATTGCCAATTAATAATACATATAACTTTTAAATCACAACACAAAACCATCACATCACAATAAAAGACCATTAAGGCAATATGCATGTGATCACATATTCTTTCTGAGATATTAAATAAATTAAATGATTGACATTGTTTTTTACATAACCTCTGAATCAATCAAACGTAAAATATAAAATACTGGCTTCTAAAATATTCATTAGTGCATGGGCAAAACTGTCAGAAACATCTTCAGTTGTCAACATGATCGATAGATTGGAATTCAATTTTGGGATCTTTTTGTGTCCTTCATATAAACAGTTCAGAACCAAAGATATATTAAGGTCTGTTTTGTGATATTTTGATTAATTCTGAAGTACATTGTATTAACAAAAAAGAAAACAAAAGAAAACATTTTAAGAAATACATATGAAAACTTAAGGAGGTGCTGTATGGACAACATTCCATCTACAGTGACAGATAAACAGAAGACAATCTGATCACAGCTAGTATATATTATACTCCCCTAACCTTAATTATTGCATGTGAGTATAATCTGTTATAGACCCTTTCATCCCTAGGTAACTTTAGAAGACCTAGCTACTATGCATTGATCAAAATAGAAATTGACCCCTCCATGTTCCAATTTTCTTTTAATTTTACATAGAATGGCCCCTCTTAATTTTGATATTAACTAAAGCTGCTGAATTGGTCCAATGCTCTCAAATTCCAGGATCTTCCCTGGTAAAGAAAGGGTCAACATAACATACCATTGTGATGTAAGTTCTATGAAAATGTCTGTACTTCTAGATTCGGTAAAGATCTTCAACAGTGTAGGGTCATCAGCTAGGTGAGCTAGAAGGCGCAGCTCTATCTGCTGGAAATCTGTAAAATACAAGTACAAATATATAATATGTAATTCTCTGGTTTCCTTGAGTATGTGGGGTTGAATAATTATTATAGCCAACATACATGTGTGTCAAAATTTCTATATGGTAAAAGGTATAAGGTGTCATTATATTCATGGCCAACAATTCATTTATAGATCCTAAGATGTTTTTGTAATGTATATGTCTTCATGACATTTCAGTAAATTAGCACTATGAAATCATCATTTTTGCCTGATTCCTAAACCATAAGTACATGTAGATAATAATTACAGACCACTAAAAATGTTTATTGTGTAAAAGAAGGCGGACATTAAAACCTTCAATAAATAATATCAATAATTACAGTAGAATCAGTATACAATCGTACATGGTTGCAATTGTGGTTTATGGTAATAATAAAGATGTAAACAACACAAAATTAGGAAAACCCTTAGTTCACTGTTTATCATTGAACTGATTTACATGGTATTAATGAAGAGTTTTACTCGTACTGACTGACCTGCTGCAAGGAAGGACCAGCCATCATGGCTGATGAAAGAATCCCGGGGAAATATCTCTACTCTGTCACCACTCTTCTTCCCTACAATTATCACAAACTATATATGTCAAGAAAAACTTGGTGCAGTCTTGTGTGTCTGATAATGAAAAGTTTCCATTCAAACTGCTTGATGTTTCAAGGTAAAGAATGCATGTACATGTAGGTCACACTATCTTATTACCATTGGCACTGTTATGAAAAAGATATTTTGTTTTAAGTCATTTTCTACTGAAACAATATATCCAAAAAGCAAAAACTATACAGAGGTCAAACTCAGTTCATATCCAATCACACACTTATATTCAAATGTGTTATCCAGGATTTATACATGTATAGCAGCAAAATAAGAGTTGAATACATATATTGACAAGGGAAGTAATTTGGGCATAAAACTATCTTGCTGCTTAATCTTCTATAGAAGGAGAATACTGTCAAAGAAACAACAGTTCAGTGGAATTTTTCTTCATGGCAATAACTTGTGCAGTGGTACTTTTTACCTTATATAGGTAATATGTACAGCTAGTCTGACATACTGTCAATTCAAACAGGGTGAAGAAAACCTGCTGTTCAAAAATATGTAATGTTTCTGATCTTTTTTCAATGAAGAATCTACCTACAATGTAGTTGTTGGTGTAGTCAGATATTACTGTAGATGTTTTGGGGATAGCCTGTATGTTGGGCTGATAGGAAGATAGTCGGCCAGTGGCTGCTGATGTCTGATCCCAGTGGGTAGAGATGTACCCCTCTCGCACACATGACATCATCCCCTCTACATAGGTAGACTTCAGCTTCTGTACCTATGAACATTCAGTGACAAATAATGAGGAATATATGTCCAATTTCAATAGAATGCTAAATTTCCCTAATTCATAAAGGAACAGATTGTAGCAAAATTCCGGTAAAAAAAATACTGACATTGATTATACACAAGTTAACATTTATATCAACAGAAAAAAAAATCATCTGTCAATTTAATATTGTATTTGAAAGAATATACACAATCTGTTTTTTTCTGGCAAGTGGGCAGTTCTATTTATAGCTCAAAATTATGAACAGGACAGTCGGGAAATGTACTTTACCTGACGGTACTCCAGTATAATGGCTGGGAGGCAATGAGTGCCCACCAACTGACTCAGGACAGCCTCTGATGTAGATATCTGGTGTCCAATGTTTGTCTTTGCCAGCCGCTTACCTCCTGGTAGCTTCTTGTCAAGTTTTAGTTCCTCAAATAACACCTGAAAAAGCATTTTTTTAATTGAAAAGTCAAATTTTAAAATTTTAAAAGCATTCTGTGTTATATATTGTGTATTGTAACTGGTGAATTTGGATTTTGAACAAGTTTAAGTAAAACATATGTTTACATTGTAAAAAGTTTATACTGAACTAACACTTACCAAATATCAAAATCACTCGGTTCTAACAATTTATTTCCAATTAATAATATAACATTGAAATATATTGGCAGTAGAAGTCTGTACTAACCCTTAGTATATACACAGCACATTCAAATAATGTACAGGCAGGTGTATTGTGGATGAAACAGTGTCTCGGCTATGTAACATACAGTGGACAGATGGAGGTATATCTGCTAGGATAGATACGTGTACATTAATCCAATGGGTAATTACCTGCCGTAGCTGTGCTGGGCTGTTGATTAGGAACGGATGACCAGCATTTGAAGGAATTGAAGACTCAAATTTCACGAACTGCTGTGACACTGACCTAGAGAAACAGACCTGTCAGGCTGTGTGTAGTATGTGCCATTGCTATCTTGTCATAATAGCCACATGAAGTGTTTTTTTTTATAAATGTCCAAAAGTGACATTCTGACTAGACAAAATTTAAACACCAAAATTTTGATTTAAATCTTAACACCTCCCTATATTTTTTTTCATTTGGGATCTTTTAATCTACAAGTAACTCTAAAAAGCAAACATATTAAGTATACAAATTCAAATAAAGTGTTTAATAACTTCATCTAACAAATAGTTGTCCTTGAATTTTAACTTTTTACCAGATGGAACCTTGACAATACCAGAGCCTAGAATTATGATGTTGCAGAATGGAACTTTCACAATACCAAGGGCTTAATAAAGGATAGTTATAGCATTGCATTCATTGGAGACTGACCTTGACAATACCAGCGCTTATTTGTAAACTTGCTAGAAGAAACTTACATAAAGAATACACCATTTACAAGTTTTCCTTTGAAGACATGAGACTGAGCTCAAGAAATCCAGAGCCAAGAACTTGCATTTCTAAGCTAATAACTATTTGTGTGTCTGACCTTGAGATACCAGGGCACATTATTTTACTGACTATTTTTAAGATTTAATTATGAAATAGCGAAAATGTTTGTAGAAGTTTTTTAAATTTTACTTTTAATAAACTGAGAAGCTTAACTGCCTTGGGAGTTATGACCTTAAGCAAACCGTTTGTCTGAGCTAGAGATATATTGAGCTATGTCCTTGAGACACTGACCTTGAGGACGTCTGAGAACCTGAGCATAGTATCAGAGTCTACCCTGAGAGGGCGGAGCTCCATGGCTGCCAGGAGAGGTAGTAGCTTCATTTCTACACAGCAGTACAGGACCCATAGGTCTCTGGCTACCAGCTTCTGGTACAGACACTTCATCAGCTCTGACAGTAGACACATGTCCTCCCTCAACACATCTACAGCACTGCTCAACACATGCTCCTGTCAGAGGTCACATACTATTGTAATTGTTTCATATATATATTATATACATACTAATAATAATGATTGTGTTATTGATTTCAACCAAACCTCTACTGAAGTTTTTGTTTCTTTCAAATATTGAAAATGAGAAATCACATTAACCTTTTGTACATGCGAACATCTTTCCAAATTTCCTTGTTTTAAAATAATGTTAAATTATTCTGCTTACCATTACTAAGCTTTCAAGCATGTAATTGTTTGATATATAATATTATACACATAATAATGATTGTGTTATTGATTTCAACCAAACCTCTACTGAAGTTTTTGTTTCTTCCAAATATTGAAAATAAGAAATGACATTAAGCTATTGTACATGTGAACATCTTTCCAAATTTCCTTGTTTTAAAATAATGTTAAACTATTCTGCTTTCCATTACTAAGCTTTCAAGCATTACTGTAACTCTTTCCTTGCATCAATTCCTGTTTCTACTTTTTAAGGTATCATTAAATTAAAGGAGAATAACCATTATTAAAAACATACCTTCCAAGTGAGACAGACAAGTGACAGACTTTTGTGAAATGTCACATTTTCACAGTCAGGATCCATCAACCAGGCGGCCACAACAGGATCAAACACAGCAACATCTACAAAGTAACAAAACAACATCAAACACAACCAGTGGCAAATGGTATGCAAACTAGTGACTTTAGAGGGCAATGAGGCTGCTGGAAGTTTCTGTTTCTGACTTACTTCACCTCAGTTGGCACTCCTCTGGGGACATTGTGGACCCTTGTGATGCTATTATTCACAATGGTACCAACGTGACCATACATATATAATACTAATAGTCTTTATGTCATCAAGATTGATACATAATTTTTAGCTCACACGATTGATCATGTGAATTCTGCTATCAGTCTTTGTCCATGCCCATTATCAATTAACCATTTACTTCTAAGAACAGCTGCAGCGATTGACTCAATACTTATGCAGTGCATTAGTCCTGGATAAGATTCCAACCTAACATTTTTATTTCATGTCAATCCATAAATCCAAGATGCCATTATACATCTTTGATGTCTTTTACAGAATGGTTACAGCAATTGAGTCCAAATTGAGATATAGTGTTCCTTATGAGGTCCCAATAAGAACACTTGTAGAAATTGACTCATAACTTGATTCAGATATATTTTTCTTATGTGGTCCTGGCTAAGTGTTCTTTGCTTTTGCTGTTGCGGCAAGAAGATGAATGACCAGGGCCCGTATTCATGAAACTGTTCTCATGCTCAATCATGGATTTTGTGCTCAAACCAATATTCTTGTAATTCACTTAAATCATGTCAAACGATCAAAACGTCAAATGAAAAAATTGAAAACAGTGTGCGACTTTAAGTCTCTTCTAAGTTTTTCCAAGTCATTGAAAAAAAAAAAAATTATCAAGTTATAACCGGTACAAGAAATTAGGCTTGAGCACAAATTCCATACTTGAGCATGAGAACGGTTTCATGAATACAGGCCCTGGACTCTGATCATGATTGGCGGAGACATTTTTAATTTCATTTTAAGAACAGCTGCAGTGACTGATTTCAAACTCAGTACAAAAATTCTAGTTGGCCCAAGGCCCAAGAAACTAATGCATTCATTGAAGCCTCTTTGGAAACTATTAAACCCAGGTGAACTACTCTGTAAGACTGACTTTTTAAAGAAATATGTAGCATCATTTCTATTGAACAAACGTTTTAGTTTACCCAGTTATGCTGAATAAACTTGTCCTAATATCCCATTTAATAACTTAAAACTAGTCCTTGGAGTATTTACCAATTATAAAATGGACATTGAACTCTTTCATCAATATAATTAAAAAGATCTTGGCATCACAGCAAATCTTTCGGTGTTGGTTTGACACCAAGTCCTTCCAGAACACTCTAAAATGAAGATATTAATTACCTGGCATAAGATAATAAATATTCTGCAAATATTGAACAACAAACAAACAGACCAATAAACTGAACCAGTAATGTTTCAGGGGAGTCATATGCATCAGTGAGAAAGTCTGCATGTATTATATTATGACCCCAGCCTGAGGGATGACATCAAAATGAACATTATTGTCAAAAAAGGATGTACAGTAAATGCTATTACAGTATATTCTCTTGATCTAAGTAGGACTTTGATTTCAGTTATAGAAATACTAGACATTAAATATGGGGTCACATTAAAATTTAGGATGGGTCACAATCAAACCCATAACAATCACAAGTTAAAAAATTCTATATGGTGTTTCACATGCGAACTGAATAACCGGTATGCATTTGATCAATTTTTGCGATTCAAAACCTGATATGTGTGTCACGTGAGTCTTTGTTGTGATCCTGGCCAGGTAAAGGAAACAGCCACACCTTCGCTCCATGAGGAGGCCCATTACCTCCTTCACAGCCACACACTGCCACAGACTGTACCTGTTCAAAAACAATACAATTTAATTTGGAATACAATTTAAGCTTGGTAGGTCAGTAAAACTCAGATACCAAAGACGATAGGTGCAGGAACATTTCAAGATAACAATTCATAATTTAAAACAAAGTTTGAATGTATTAGAAATAACCTGCTTTAGTCTTAGTCTTTAGTCTGAAATAGTCTTCATGAAAAGTTCAACGGAGTAGTTCCAACCACATATTACAATATGAACAATGAGATATCATAATAATGAGTATACTTCTGGGAACTTAAATAATATCGGGTGATTCAAAACTCCTAATGTCAAACAATGACAAAGCACAGGAGGAGTTATTATATCTTTTTTTCAAAATTACCTCAGATGTCCATTGCTTCTGTCTGAAAATTCCTGTTGACTTCTTCTGGAAAAAGAAAAATAACAGATGACAATTAGCTTTATGAATACAGGCAGTTGTTACCTAGTGTGTTTTCCAAAATTACTTTGAGATGACAATAACATCTAAGCCGTATAAATAAGGACAACAGTTTATGCCATACCCCAATTTGAGATGACAACAACGACGATGACAACAATAAAGTCTGATAGCTTAACCCTTACATTTACCTTAGTTTGAGCAGCACTGATGTCACGTAGCTACCTTTACCTTAGTCTGAACAGCACTGATGTCACGTAGCTACCTTTACCTTAGTTTGAACAGCACTGATGTCACGTAGCTACTCTTTCCTTAGTCTGAACAGCACTGATGTCACTTAGCTACCCTTGCTTTAGTTTGAGCAGCACTGATGTCACTAAGCTACCCTTTCCTTAGTCTGAACAGCACTGATGTCACTTAGCTGCCCTTACCTTTGTTTGAGCAGCATTGATGTCCCTTAGCTGTGTAGAACCGTTTTTGTACACAAGAGTTATCAGCACCTCTTGGGCAGATAATAAGGTTTGGAGGACATTTCTTAGATCCTGGTCACTCAATCTTGTCACTTCCCTGGCTGTGTGCTGCCTACTGACTGCTAACACCTTGTGTGTTTCTGAAGTCTTCAAAATACATATTACATAGTGATTCTGTGCTATATCACTTAAAATATACTATGTGTGCACATGTTTTTTTCTAAAATATATAGATATGCAATTGCATTTTATTTTATTTGTATGGTTTTTATTTGTTGCAGAAAAGATCAAGATCATTCATTTAGTAAGTGCTTCTCTTAAAACCCAGAACTATGGACATTATCCCATGAACACTCCTGTTTCTTATTACGCAATCATCACACAAAAATCTCGCTAAAATTCTTACTTTATATATGCATTTTTAACTATATTACATATAAATTAGAATTCCAATTGCTTGCTATATCAAAAATAGGATTGACAACTGATATCAATGTTTTACTTTTTACACAAGCAATGTACGTATTAAACGTGTCGAAACGTTTCAAGACTGACTGGTAAAGCCTCGGGTTTTACCAAATTTGAAACCCCTCTGGTGGAATGTCCCTATCCTACACCCTTGGGCATGATAAAGTATTTTTCTCTCATTCCAACCACCAGAATAAGCTCAGAAACCATAAAAATGCGTTTGGACTGGCCACCATTTTGAAAACATAAATTTTTCCCCTGAGCTTTTTAGACGAAAACAAATTAGCCAGACAGATTTTTCAGAACCCATATTTGCAAAACAATGTTTGCGCAGAAAAATCAATCACATCTCTTTTACACGTGCAGTAAATATATCATAAAAGGTTTTAATTTCATCACGTCGTCTTTTCTGCATTGCGGCATCGAAGAGTTCCAAATTTGTGACATCATGTCAATGTTGAGCCATTGTGACATCAGGTCACGTGAAATGGGGTGTAAGATAGAAATTTCTTACACTCTTTTCTTACCCTGGACAGCTCTATCTTACACACAGGGAAATGAGAGAAAATTATATAGCTTGACCGAGGCTTTACCAGTCCGTCTTGAAACGTTGCGCCACGTTTAATACGTACATTGTTTGTGTAAAAAGTAAAACTTTGATATCCCATATTTCCAAACTAATGAATCTTGTTGAAAATAATTGACAACTCTTTTATCTTAAATAGGATATTGTAATGTGGGCTGCCAGGGTTGAATGTTCAACTTTCAGTAAAATAGGTGGTCTCATGTAGATATAGCTATAATAGGCTTGCAACAAGAATAAGTAAGAAATCATATTTGACTTGATCATCCATAATCTTCTTCTGCTTTTTATAAGGAGTACTAAAGTGTGCAGATGAGTATTTTCTGTCAGTATCAAGGCAACTTGTAGTAGATCCCTCCGATGCGTTAATCGGTACACCAGACTGTCCTAAAAATCAGGAAAATGTACATTTGTGTAACATACATCAATATGCATATTTTTGTGAATTTATGCAAAAATAAATACATATTACAAGAAAGAAGATTAGAAAACAAGAATAATACTTACAGTAATTGCTCTTCCCTGGTTATAGCAATTGTAATCAAGGTCATTAGTTAATATTAATTCCTTTAAATACGTTAAGATATATGATGATTCAGAATCAGAAAAATGAATTAAATAAAAGCTTCAACTTTATCCTTAAATTTATATCTTCCATATTACAAGCTAGATAAAAGTATAAGGCTCTGATTTACTGAACAACATTTAAATCATAATTAACTGTAATTTCCTCTAAAAAAAATACATTTATAAAGTCATCTGAAATTTATATATGCTCAGGGCTTTCAATGCCCTTTTGACTCCCTAAATGGGCATTGACTCTTGGGTTTGTAAGGAAATATCTAACTTGACATGTGTTTTGACCTCCAGATTTCAAGCAATATCTTATTTGACTTCTAAACTGCTAAGTGTCAAGGGTCAACTGAAAGACCTGATGCTACACAGTTTCATTGAGATGTCTCAGCAGCAAAAATAATAACAATACTTACTTTTATGATGTTCTCTTTTATCCTGTTTCATTTGTATGTCTTTCCTTAAATTAAATCATTAAATGGCAGGATGAGGAACTGAATAAAGAAATAATCCAGATAAAAAATTATCTTTACTCAAATTTTTTTTTTTTATTTAAATCTTGAAAATATAATCATTATACACTCAAACATATCTTTTGTGACCTTAATTCACACAGAAGTTTTTTTTTTGTAAATCATTATTTCTTTGTCCAAGATAATTTCATATTATCATTTTGATATAATCAAAACTGAATTTGTCATTGTACCTTATTATCATGTGTTGTTTCAGCCTGGCTGAAATAGAAGACTTTCCCTGGGCTGGACCTGTACATGTGTTTGTCACCATTGATTGTCTGCTCTGCCTTGTATCAGTTGTACAATTAGGAGAATTTCCAGGTGAAGCAATTCCTCGCATATTATCCGATGGAATTTTAAAATCACTGGCATATACTGCCTCTTTCTCCAAAGTATTCGTAGAACAAATACTGTGACATTTCTCATTATTCCCCAATAAAGGTGAACCTTCAAAAGTTGTTTTTTCATACCTCCATGAATCACCTTTATCTTGTTGAAATAAGATGTCTGTATCAGTATCCTCAAAATTTGTATTTGGCAATGCAGCATCTGGCTGTTCCATGCTGATGTCTGTAAGAGCAGAATTTTTGGACGACTCTGATACCAACATAGTTGATGAATGACTACTTTCAGGTATAGGGCCACTATTATTCACCCTTACAGAATGTGCATTTGACTTTCCACACACTGTCCTCTCCAACTGGTTAGACAATGAGTTAATGTAAACATCTCCTGGCTCTAAGGTGGAGGATGATGGACCTGGCAATATACTGGCAGTCTGTCTAGTTTGTGAAGAACTGAAAATCACACCAGGTAGAGCTCCAAATCTCCTCTCATACATCTGCTGGTAATAGGTCCCTACAAACAACTTCTTCATATCAGTACTGCACATTTCACCACAAAGGAAGTAATAAAAACTTTCTAACCATAGACCATACTTACCAACTCTCTCTATTTTGGAGGGAGACTCTCGATTTTGGACCCTTAAACTGAGCATTTTCAACCAGTGAATTTGCTAAATTATTCAGTATTATCTAAGATCTGATGATTTCATCTGAAAGAACAACGTTATTTGTTACCTGGGGTATTTTTCACAAATTTTATTTATGCTTTTAATTCTGAGCATGTGCAATCCCATGGAAATTTCAAAAAGTTGGCAAGTACAGTGTACAATAGGTTTGTATTTTTTCCAAGACATTAGTGGTACTTACCTCTTTGAAAAATGAAGTAAAATTAAAAGCAGACATTGTTTTTGAAATCTTTATTTAGGTGATCGACAATGAGGTATATGGAAATAGGTACAGGTGAAGTATGGTATTAAAGTATAAGAAGTTAAAGAACAAAACACTTTTAAAAAATGTGTGTTTAATTTTGTGATACTACAAACATTGTCAAAATGTGGTTGAGTTACAAGTGAGTACAATCACTGATGTTTTTCCTACATACATATTACCTGGTTGCTCTTGAGTGTTTTGTTGTTTTCTCTGTTCGTTGTATTGTCTGTATATGCCTTTCATCACAAGCTGGGCATCATCAGACAGATGACAGAAGCGATCTAGCTGAGGAGGGGCCGAGACTGGCCTCCACACGGGACTCATGGCAGAGGAAATCTAATTAATCTACCTCTGTCTGAAAAGAAGACATTTGTACTGTTATTATAGAATCTACTAAAATAAGAAATGTATCTCATTGAAAATATCTTCGGCACATTTTATGCACAGGAAAGTAAATATATCAGGTTTTTTCTGCCAACCTTACAATTCTGCAAACAAGGGACATGTAAATGCACATAAGCTTGTTAGGGATAACCTTTACATACCTGGGGCTCGACTCTAATTGATGCAGACGACACTATTTCTTGTTTACACTTATTGCCCGCATACTGTACTGTAACATAGTTATCTCCCTTTTATTTTATGGATTTCCGGGGAAAGTATTTTCCCGCGTTATGAATGAACATCACTTTGTAATGATTAGGCCTAAGTATCGTCTAGTCACCCGTTTTCGCGCGTTATGTATTTCCGCGCAGACATTTTATCAAGCTATATCTCGTAACTACGTGACCTGCTAGTCACAACACAAGGATATATTAGACGTTTGGCCATCGTCTGTAAACTGACACAACAGTTACCGGAAGATCGTCCGGAAAATATAAGAAATGAATATGCAGTTTTGCTTCACTCTTTTATCTTACTCAAAATGAGCCAATACAGTACATTTTGTACCTGAACAAATGGTGATATATTTCATTCATGAACCGGTCTTATTTGAGAAATAACTTACCATCAACCAAAACCGATATAAGACTGCAGAAAATAATTATAACAGATTCTATATTATAACTAAATAAATAAAATAAATAAATTTATAAAATTGCATGAATTCGTTCAAATCAATTAAAAATGTGAAATTTATAAAAAAAAAAAATTTGATGTAAATTACTATGTAATCTCAGTAATGTGACCATAGTTTCCGTTACGAATTTACGCTACTATATATATATATACAGTCATTACTGCGGGAAATGAGAATAATAAAACTTATCGTTTGCCGTGAAACAAACGCATTCGGTTAAGGGTTTTGATTCTCCTGTGTTAAGTACTAGGATAAAGGACCAATCAAATTGCTTGACAAGGGCACACCTCCAAACACAGCTGTAACTCACTTGTAGAGGTCGGACCAGAATAAAGGAAACGAACAAAGTTTACATTAATTCATCGAAGGTTAAACGTTCAACAGCGGTCTTGTGAACAAAAAAAAGGTTGCCGAGTACAATTGAACGACAGGTATGTTTTTGTTTACTGTGTGCTTTTGTTTACATAAGATTCGTTAAGTATACCGGTACAGGATCCTGATGAAAACATTGTAACAATACACGTGTGCACGTGTCATGCTGTAACATGTGTGTATATTTTGAACTACTTTTTAGCGACTCTGTAACATGCCTTACTTTTGCATTCAAACATGTTATTTTTTTGTTATATTCGCTACCTGACAATGTATTCCATTTGGTACAGCTGTAAACTACATATACTTCTGCACTATCTTAATAGCCCGAGTTTCCTCTGGCCCTAACATGTACACCAGACTAGACATTTTGACGATGTCTATATGTCAAAATGTCTAAGTCTAGTGTTCGGGCCAGATGAAACTCCGGCTAGCACTATATGTACACTAACAATGTGACAATGTTAGAGGTGAGTTTAATTTTGACAGGCGGATGCTTTACTGTCTTTGAAATTTACATTTTTTAACAGGTATAATAAATCACTCCTGGTGATCATGTGTACATGAAACCACAGGTGAAAATACAGGTTTATCTATCATGAAATGGACTCTACCTTTGAAATAACAAGTAACATATATACCAATTCCAACAGATGGTTTTATCCTCTCTCCACGAACAGGGTGATCACCACACCGTGACATTAGAACAATACAATTAGGTATAGACAGTCCGTTGAGCCTTCACTACTGACCTGACTGGAGACCCTACTAATATATAAACAAAAGAGGTTAATCCCCTATTGTTTAGAGTATAAGTAGTGGATCCTTGTTTGGGCAACTGCACCCTTAGGCATATATAGATATTCAAACTACTGCTTGCCATAGAAAATCATAGTTCACATGATGGTTGATATTAGAAGAAAATCCCATATGAAAAAGAGGAAAATCTTCAAAAACCTAAGAACAGATTATTTTTGGACACAGAAAAAAAGGATGTTGCCCAGGCAACTATAAGGGCAACACCCCTGGGTCCGCCACTGAGTATGATCAGAACTGTGTTCGGTCCGGCATTACTAGGCCCTAATACTAATAGCCGTTTTAGACTCGTTGATGCCTAAGCTAATGTCGCAAGAGGATGTTGTTTCATGTGAACCTTCAGCTGCTTGGAAGATGTCATGTATCAACTTGTTCTTTGAAGATGATGCAGGTTTTTCGTTGGATTTACAGCCATGCATGTTTCTGATGTTGACAACTTTAAAAATACTACTAATAAAATCGGCACCAGGTACCCTAGGTTGGAACTTCCGGATACGTAATGATTGTCGGCTGTCGGTTATAAGTTAAATCACGGACTTAGATAACAATCTAATTTCGTGGTTAAATTTAATATATTTTTCAATTGAACCACACATCATTTAATCACTTTTCCGAACTACAAAATAAATAAATAAATAAAAATATTATAGTATATTTGAATTTGCTAACGTTGCAGCTACGCGCCTGATGACTGTCAGATCCTGCTTATGATAACTATGTACAGGCATCTGTATGGGGAATGCGTTATCATAACATCTAGTTGTGTCATTCATTAGTCTGTACCAATTCAAATAATTGTCCGTCCAACTTTTCCTTTAAAACGCTACTAGTCCTGAACAGCCGTGTAGATTTTGACTAAATTTGGTCTGGAGCATCTTTAGTCCAAGGGGACTCAATTTTGTATAAACGGTGGGTGTGGCCCTGGGGGCAGAGGGGCGGGCACAATAGGGTAAAACCTTTAAAATCCTTCTACCGTAGGGATTAAGGGTTTTTATCCTGATTTTGTCTGGAGCATCCTTGGGCCAAGGGGACTCAATTTTGTATAAATTGTGGGTCTGGCTCCCCGTGGGGCTGAGGGGTGGGGCCCAATAGGGGAAATATAGCAAATTCTTTAAAATCCTTCTTATTCTGTAGGAAAGAAAGGATTTGGTCTGAAGCATCCTTGGGTAAAGGGGATCCAATTTTGTATAAATGGTGGGTCTTGCCCCCCTGGGGGCTGAGGGGTGGGGGCCAATAGGGGAAATATAGCAAATTCTTTAAAATCCTTCTTCTGTAGGAATGAAAGGATTTGTTCCATATTTGGTCTGAAGCATCCTTGGGTGAAGGGAAACCAACTTTTGTATAAGCTGTGGGTCGGCCCCCCCAGGGGCCTGAGGGGTGGGGCCCAATAGGGGAAACATAGCAAATTCTTTAAAATCCTTCTTATTCTGTAGGAAAGAAAGGATTTGGTCTGAAGCATCCTTGGGTAAAGGGGAACCAATTTTGTATAAACAGTGGGTGTGGCCCCCCTGGGACCTGAGAGGTGGGGGCCAAAAGAGGAAATAGATGTAAAACCTTTATAATCCTCTTCTACCATAGGGATTAAGGGATTTTATCCTAATTTGGTCTGGAGCATCCTTGTGCAATAGGGACTCAATTTCGTATAAACAGTGAGTGCACATGTGGCCCCACTGGGGGCAGAAGGGAGAGGCCCAATAGGGGAAACATTGCTATATCTTCAAATACATTCTTCTTCTGTACGAATGACAGGATTTTGTCCAAATTTGTTATTAAGCATCCTTGGATGAAGAGGAAACAATTTTGTATAAACGGTGTGTCTAACCCCCTGTAAAGCAGGGCCCAATAGGCGAAATAGAGGTAAAACCTTTAAAATCCTTCTTCCTGCATCGGGATTAAGGGATTTTATCCTAATTTAGTCTGGAGCATCCTTGGGCCAAGGGGTCTCAATGCAATTTTGTATAATTGGTGGGTATGACCCCCCCTAGGGGCATAGAGGTGGGGCTCTGTTTGAAGTTTGTTCTCGCTATATCTCAATTACTAGATGGATCTTTCTGAAATTTCATATGTATACTTACAGCACCTACCATGAAGTGCTATATCTTTACTTCATACCAATTATTTTAAACATATTCAGGTGAGTGATACAGGCCCTCTTGGCCTCTTGTTTATAGACAGCTGCATGTCTGTAGGGACAAAAAATATTTACATACTGTAACTGTAACAGCCAAGAAATAGGAAGACAAATACTGTGTAACTGGCAAGCTAGCTTTTCCTGCAAAAAGGTGCAACCATGGGACATGCTCACTAGTTCAGCAACATTGAGCATGGTTATTGGCTAGATGTGTACCTGCTTGCACATTACCCAGGTACATAACCCCTCTGAGGGGGGCTCCATCCCATGATGTTCTTAAACAAAAATTTGTATACTCTTTGTTTCTTTCATTTCATTGTATATTAAATATTAATATACTAAAAATTGTTTCTTTTCCTATGTGTTTATAATACTTTACCGGACTAGAAAAGTGATATATGCATGTATAATAAATTGTCGAGAGATTTACCGATAAAAAATGTGAGATATTCTTTTGCATTATTACCAATTGTGTGACTCCTCCGAGTTGATAACTTTGTTGAAATAAAGAAAAATGTCTATATCTAGACTGGATTGATCACTGGTGACTAAGTAGTTAAGTAAATTAGCAGAGCATCTGTCTGGAGGTCACAGGTTGGATGATGGTATGTGATTCTGTCACATTCAATATAATTATCCATGGAAACTTGAAGAAACATGTTTTTTTTCAAATTTAACCTATCTTTCCATTTGGCCACCTTAGGTTGAGCAACAGTTAATGATTTGTGTTTCAGGGTAAATCCTTCCTCCAGCAGTCATGAGTGGAGATAAGGCCAGAGTGAATATAGAGGAGCCGCGGTATGATCAGAACACATACATAGGCCGGGTCAAACACTTCCTCATCACAACAAACCCCCTCAATGTTCTAGCCACTAATACACAGCTGGATAAAGCCAAGTCCATCGTGGAGAAATACAGGTACTCACTGTTATCTGTCATACTACGATAAATAAAACACTCAAGTAACAACATTTTAGCAGGTATGGAAATTACATTTGTACAATAGTTGATGACGATATCAGATGTTACATTATTTTGTTGGGTGTAATAATAATAATGCTATAAGTGAATAGAACAATTGTTTTGTCTCATTCTGGTGAGTTTTGCTTTTATTTCTGTTCCTCATGGTGGTCGGAAAAAAACAAATTTAACCAATAGTAATTGAGTATTGGTTTGAATTTGAAAACAAAATGTTTTTATGTATATGTGATTGTTGAGTTCTATTTGTGGTCAAAGACAATAGTTATGTTGTGGTCAAAGACAATAGTTATGTTCAGTTACATAAAAATTGTTGATGTACGAACTTGTATCAACTAAATATGTCAAGCGAATTATGTAGGTCAATAGGATCTCTTGTTTATAAGTCATTAACAATATTCTTTCAAATCAATACAATGATAGCAAAATCAAACATTTTATTCAGAAAGGGAGATGATATACCTGGGTTATCAGAGGATGAACTTTGGAGATCCAAGCAGCTTTATGACTCGGCCTTTCATCCAGACACCAAAGAGAAGATGATGCTGATTGGTCGAATGTCAGCACAAGTACCAATGAACATGTGTATAACAGGAAGTATGATGACATTTTATAGGTAGGCAATCAATAGTCAAATCTATTTATAGATTAAGAAATGCATGATAAAATAAACATAAATGTACATGTTGTATTTTCCTGTGTCTGAGTACTTTCTGGAAGGAACAGAGGATATAAATGTTGGATTCCATAGTTTTTTTTACCGTTTACATGGTTCGGCTAGCTATATCCTTTGAACTTACCTTCCTTGATTCCTACAAAATCAATCTAAGACAGAAGACAACCAGGATATTGGGTCTCTCCTGCTCCGTTAGGAGTCCTATTTTTTCTGGAAAGAAGTGATGATTAAAATACAGATAATCAAATTAACAAAGTAGTAATAATCAATAGCAATGAAACAAGAAAGGGTCATAAGCAATGTATCAAACCCTTTCAATACTGTATCGAAGCACATGTTCTATCTTCTGTATTGTAGAACAACCAGCTGTTGTATTTCAGTGGTAACCTTGTCGTTGTATCTATACCTATCATGTAATATTCTAATAGAAATATTGGCCTTGTAGGACCGCCCCAGCTGTTATATTCTGGCAGTGGTTTAATCAGACCTTTAATGCTGTAGTGAACTACACCAATAGAAGTGGAAACGATCCAGTTCCTGTGAGGTAAGACAAGCTTTACATCCTAATATCTCTGATCTGAGTCAAACTCCTAATATCTCTGATCTGAGTCAAACTCCTAATATCTTTGATCTGAGTCAAACTCCTAATATCTCTGATCTGTGTCAAATTCCTAATATCTCTGATCGGAGTCAAACTCCTAATATCCCTGATCGGAGTCAAACTCCTAATATCTCTGATCTGAATCAAACTCCTAATATCTCTGATCTGAGTCAAACTCCTAATATCCCTGATCTGAGTCAAACTCCTAATATCCCTGAGCAGAGTCAAACTTCACACCTTAGTATAATAGAACTGAGTTTACCTTATCTGTATCAAATTCTCATCCCATTGTCCCAGAGCTGATTCAGAATTGACATCCCAGTATCCCAGAGCTGATTTAGAATTTACATCCCAGTATACTTGAGCTGATTCAGAACTGAAATCCCAGTATCCCAGAGCTGATTCAGAACTGAAATCCCAGTATCCCAGAACTGATTCAGAATTGAAATCCCATTGTCGCAGAGCTGATTCAGAATTGACATCCCAGTATCCCTGAGCTGATTCAGAATTAAAATCCCAGTATCCCTGAGCTGATTCAGAATTGACATCCCAGTATCCCTGAGCTGATTCAGAATTAAAATCCGAGTATCCCAGAGCTGATTCAGAACTGAAATCCCAGTATCCCTGAGCTGATTCAGAATTAAAATCCCAGTATCCCTGAGCTGATTCAGAATTAAAATCCGAGTATCCCTGAGCTGATTCAGAACTGAAATCCCAGTATCCCTGAGCTGAGTCAATTTTAACATCATTGTATTCCAGAGCTAAGTTAAGCTTCAAGTCTACCTAAGCCTAAGAAATATTGAATTTGGGTACCCCAGAGGGTAACTCATGCACGTCATGTTCACACCCTGGTTAGTATTGTTGAGGCAAGTGTAGCAAGTCTGTATTCACATTATGTTCTATTTTACAGAAGTTTTGTCCAATTAGTTTAACCTAAATCCTGTAAAAAAGAATTCCTAGGACAAGGGAACTCAACACAGTTTAAATCAATGAAGATTGTGGTCCCTCTAAGGGCAAAGGGATGGGGCAAAATAGAGGTGAACATCTGAAAGACTACTCCTTTAGTATGGGTAAAGGGATTTGAAACTTAATTAGCACTATTTAGGATTCCAGGGCCAAGGAAAATCAGTTTGTGAAGACCAAAGCGTGACCGTCATTCCCCCATGGATGGGATCCAATAAGGAAATAGAAATCATTCTTTAAAAGACAACTACTAATACTTCAGTGTAGTGATTTTAATCTAATTTGCTGTTACGGATCGGAAGGTTAAAGATAATTTACATGTATAATGTATAAGTATGTTGCTCTTAGTAGGGGCAAAAATTTGAAGCATTTCAGTATTTGGTATAAAGGATTCCTGAGCCAAGGGGAATCAACCTTGTATATGTGAAGAGTGTAGTCTTAATGAGATAAAGGTAGGGGCAAGTAAAGGAAATTGAACTAAATCTTTAAAAGACTATCATGATTAAGGGGCAGTGGTGGCCAAGTGATTAAGGCATATGACCATCTACCGTCACTAGCCCTCCACCATTGGGTTTCAGGTTTGAGACCTGCTAGGGGCAGATGCTAGTTTGTGGCCACAGGGCAGTGAATTTCTCTGGGAACTCTGATTTTTCCGCCGTCACCAAAACCTCGCTCGTCCTTAAATGACCATACAAAGCTGTGAATTGGATGTAAAGCACTAACAAACCAAACCAAAGTTCCGTTACGAAAGTTTGGCCTGTTATTATTTTTAATTTATTTCATTGTTTTGATATACATGTGCCATATTTGATATAATGTTAGTGAAGATCAAGTAAGCTGTTCAGGTACATAATGGCCTCTTTTTCTGTATCAAAAACTTCTGGGCTGAGGTCAAGGTATCAACAATTGTACAACCAAATATAATTGACACTTTCTGTTTTTTAGTCAGCTGGGTTTGTCCTACGTGCTAGCGTCTGGTGGTGCTGTGGGAACAGCCATGGGCATCAAGAGTTTAGTCAAGGTCAGTACACACACAGGTCTGTTAGAGGAGAGCGGCAAACATAAAACGTTTTAATGTCAGGGCCTTTAAATTAAATCTGAATGATGCTTATCAGTGATCAGTAAAATATTGTTTTGAACTCTTACATGTTAAACAAAATAAAACAGTTTTATGTGAGATACATGTACATGCAGACAGTGTATCTTCTCATTTTAAATGTTTTACTCAATTTCTTTTCCCAAAACTCTATGTTTTGTATTTGAATATAGAAGTTTGGAATATGTTGACAGTAATGTTTTTATATAGTAGTACTGAGGATATCACATTTATATGTATGGCTTGTCATCTGTAAAGTACCGGGGTACCACTAATATCAGACTCATGTTTTGGTTGATGGTTAATGATCAGAATGTTGTGATACGTGTACAGTAATATCTGCCATTGATGACATCCTTTATACCTGTTTTCTAGACTTTCCCACCTGTTGTTGCCCGCCTGGTACCTTTTACTGCCGTAGCTTCAGCTAACTGTATCAACATTCCCTTTATGAGGAGCAGGTGAGGTTGCCAGTGACAATATCACAGAGATGCTCCAGTTCTTCAACTTTAATTATTCAGTGCTAAGGCACTTTTTTTTTTGCATTTTTTATGGCCCTTCGTCAGTTTAAGTCATATAGTTACAAAGGCGAATATAAAATGAGATTATTATGCAACAATAATGTAGTACATCATATACTAAATGTACTTATGACACCCTTAGCCAGGGTGTGCCATGTGAAAGAAAACCATTCGTACAGCTGCAATGATTTCTACAAAAAATAACCGGAGTTTAACACCTGTGCACCTTTGGTCTAAAAATGCATATTATCTTAATCTTCCAGGGAACTCATGGAAGGTATCACTGTAATGGACGAGGAAGGCAACAAGTTAGGGGAGTCTAAACTGGCCGCTAAGAGTGCTATTGGTCAGGTATTACTCTCCAGGATAATGATGGCCCTACCAGGAATGAGTATGTACCAGCCTGTATCTCTCTCACTGAGTTGACTGTAGATCATCATAGAACTGAATACACTGAGGTTATAGTTATACTTCATTTGGTTTCCCTCGGACATTTTTGTTCATTGAATTCCAAAAGGGTTGGACCAGAGGTGTTCATTTATGAATTACGGATGGACCTACTGAGTTACTGTATTTTTGCCGAGTCTTTGCGAATACTTTCAAGGCCTGCATCAATATTTTCAACATAACACTTGTGGCCCATTTTATCCAGATACATTGGTGACCCTTTTCCCTCAATTTAAATTTAATTATGGTAATAACAAATTTGATGTTGTTTTTGTTTTAAAATTAAAACTTGATTTCTGAAGCAAAGTTGATTGTTTTCAGCTATACCTCCTTTCATCATGAACCATTTAGAGAAAAAAAGTTTTATGAAGGTAAGTGTCAAATTGTGTCTCAAACCTTTTAAATCTTACTTTTCAAGAAGAAGAAAAGTCTTCCAAAGAATAAATGTTCAATACCTATAGTCATAGAATCTGTTACACAATCTTTTTTGGTAGATGAAACAGGGGAATAAATTGTGTTCCCCTCAGTCAACACAGATGTCAACACTTCTGTTCAGGACAATATTTCTCTGTCTTACCCTGTAGATAACCAGCATACTACACTGGAAGTTATACATTATTTAATTATGAAAATATATATTAAAAAAAAAAAAAAAGCATTTCCGCATTTAAATAATCTTGATAGTACTGTTACCAACATTTAAGAAGTAGAAATTACAATAAAAAAATCATTGTTTCTTAACATAGCACATATGTGTAATTTGCAATGGAAGGAAAATTCCCATCCATCATTTGCAATGGATTACAAGGCAAAGTACACGTAGCTCTTTTCATTTAAGGTCACTATTTCATGTCTGATTGTCAGTTCAAGGAACTTTTTCTATTTCAATCGTTATATTACCTTTTCCTATTCACAGAAAATGCCATGGCTGAATGCCCCGATCCAGGTCTCACTTGTGGGACTTTTGTAAGTACACATGTACATTTTAATGATACTTTGAAAACCAGGTCATCATGTAATTGTTTAATAATTGTCTGATCAAGTTCCATTAAAGCAAAATAATTTTATTTGCAGAATGCATTTTTGCTTTTAGCTCTTTTACCTGTTTTTCTGGCAGAGATTCAGGTTATTTCAGTTGAATTGTTTAAGTCACACTGTTTAGAATACCTAACCACTACCCTAACTGTATAATTAATCTGTTGTACACTTTTTTCCAGTCTGATATTTGCTACACCTTTATGCTGTGCTATGTTTCCCCAGAAAAGGTGGGTTTATGTTTTTTCCCCAAAAAATATTTCTCTGGTGTTGGTTTGATATTCGTACCAAATTAAAGAAAATGTTCAGATTTATGCATGATATGATGCTGCTAAACAGACAGGGTCAGTAAAAGTGGCTATGTTGTATTTTGACTCTCTCATGATATAGAAATATTCATAATAGTAATGTTTCCGCCTTGTATGTAAAAAATGTAAATGGATTATTTGTACAATAGTAATTTTCAAAACTAATAACAGTCATAGTAAAAAGTTGTATGTTGTACTCGCAATTAATTATTTACCGGATGTAACTCAATATTTACATATATGTAAAATAATATGTGTAATCTGTTAATGAAGATAAAAAATGGAACGATAAAAGCATATTTCCTTTAAAACTGATTAATTATTTGTGTGAATGTTCTGTTACAGTTCTATGAGTGTACAACACCTAGAAAAGGACTTACAAGACAAAATAAAAGCCCTCCCTAACCCGCCACAGCGTGTCTACTTCAACAAGGGGCTCTGATGAAGGGCTATAGTCTACTTAGTTAGGGCACTCCGGTGAATCTCTACAACACTTATACCATAGTATGCATCTGCACTTAAGAATGAATATGTTAAATGCTGAGTGTATATCTGGCAGAGAATCATGACATTGAAATGAGGACATTGTCAGTGGTGCTGCACTTACTGGTAGTAACCATTGGTAACAGAGGGACATTGTCAGTGGTGCTGCACTTACTGGTAGTAACCATTGGTAACAGATAGATATTTAGAGAGCACAAACTGGGTGTAGGACATACAAGTCATGTCTAATCATGCCTGCTATCTCATATTTAAAACTTAATCATTTTTTAAAGCATTTTTGTATAAGATTTTTCCATAAGTAAATGTAAAGGATGGTAGGGGTGAGCAATGGAACAGGGTGACCTTTTTTGTGACCCCCACCAACTGCATAATTCTTTTTCCTGATGCTGACAATGCATACCAAGGTATGTTAATAATTGATTGTAGACCCCTCCACCAATACATAATGGATTATAAATACATCCCTGCCCCATTGTACTGGTCAGTATATATCTGATGTTTATATTTACACATCCTACTGGTCTATATACACCGTTTGCTATTTGTACTGGTCTGTATAAACACATCACCTACAAAAAGTCTGTGTATTTCCTTTTTCAATGAATACAATGAAGTTTTAATTTAAATGTAACCAGCTTCCCTTTCAGCCAACGTTTTCATTGACAACTTGAACTATTTTGTATAGAAAATTTCCAATTTGTTGCCAACACTGGCTGGATAATGGGACAACAGAACATTAGTGGTGGCTGGATTAATTATTTAAAACAAGTTAAATTACAAATATACATAAATAATTATTATAGCAGATTTTTTTTTTTATCAACTTCAGTGTTTTGCTTAGGTTGTAAAAAGTTTTAAAAAATGAGTCATTTGTTTTAAATTTCTGTGTAGTATTAACCTTAAAGTTACAAGTATTTGAATTTGTGATCAGTACTTTTGTACTAATTATGTTAATATTTTTACAAAGTGAAAGTTCATGACGGCATCAACTCGGGTTACGAAATATTGATACAATACTGTTCAACAAATTCCATGTTATTCCAAATATTGTACAGTACATGCAGGTTGTAGGAAAAGCAGGTTACTTTCAAGGATGAAATACAATTGACAAAAAATAATTGTTGATTTGAATATGTACCCTTCAGTATGAACCAAAGTGAACAATGAAACAGTAGGTACCAGTATAGAAGAATGATCATTGTTATTTCCTGGGATGTTTAACAGTTTGTGTATTCAAATACACAGGTCAGTATCATTCTAAGGCTGTACATGTGTATACTACCTTACAGATTATATCTGTCATGTGTGTTTGGGTTATCTCCCTGTTAAGTTTGATTATCAGCATTAAACAATTCAGAATTATGACTGTTATTTCTGCATACCTGTCAGATGTGTTCTCAATAAACACTAAATACAATTTACCTATCATGAAAGGTATTTTGTAGTCTGGAAATCTTTTGTAAAAGATATGCATATCACAGTAGGGTAGCAAATACACTAAGGTACAGTGTCCAGCTACTTATCTACTGTTGACAACATGTCTTCAGGAGCTTTCTGAACTTTGAACTGTTGAAGTACCCCAGGGCTGTTAAGATCAAACACCTCTCCACTGAAATAATTTCCCTATTAGATTTATGTCATTTTACGTATATTCATACAAAGCGGATGATAGGTTGTAGATCTTACCAGAGAGTTGGAATATTTTCAAATTATTAATATAACAGATATCATGACTGGTTAATGCCATTACCTATTACTAAATTGAAAAAATTGAAAAGTAATTATTTTCAAAAATTGTCCTATTTGTAAGCCTGGTTTATTAGATTCATGTACTTACAACATGTGTATAAAGATTGATGTGCTTATGTACAGCTACAGTTATATTCAAATTCCTCATTCCATTGAAACCGGTTGATGGGAGGTCTGAACTATGATAACAATATTTTTTACTGAATATTACAGTTATTTCACTGAAAATTGCTAATATGTTTGACAGTACTGTTGATGTAGGATTTTGGCTATTTGTCGTTATGGAGTTGTTTAGTGTGAGCATGTTTTGATACCATTATACACTGTTATTTTTACTGCATGTTGATGTTTGTCAATAAAAAGCGCACACCTGGGTGTTTCACACAATGTACCTCTGTCAGTGGTCTCACACCTGTATCAGTGTGGTAGTCTATGATTGTGTAGTGATATACCTGTCTATTCATTGATAATGATAAACCAGACTATTCTCTGATTGAATATTGATTAATAGAATTTTCCCCTACCTTGAGGGTGTGACAGAGAATCTCCAACTCGAGGGGTGATGTTTTTTGGTTGTCTAACCCAAGGCTTGGCCGAGGGTTAGACAACCAAAAATATCACCCCAAGGGTTGGATATTTCTCTATTACACACTCAAGGTAGGGGATGATTATTTTTTCCCCATCCTTTTATTTCAGTCACAGCTCCACCGACAGTTGTCTGCCATGTTTGTAAACAAAAGCACATGTGGGGTTTGCATATCCTCGTTCACTTTTGATGACGTCACAATTACGGATGACGCATTTTATTGACGTCACAATTGAACACGTGCTAATCAGCACAAGGCTATCTACCCCTAGGGGGTGACAAGCTGATCTTTCCCGGCTCAAATGGGAGACACCTGTGAAGGGTGGGAGCAAAATACCTGTCATTCATTGATAATGATAAACCAGACTATTCTCTGATTGAATAGTGATACTAGTCTATTGTATTGTGATATACCTATCTACTCTATAATCTTAAAGCCCTATTCCTGTCCGTTAATGAGATAACTTCTAATCAATAAGTTGATGATGATAAACCAGACTACTCTGAATTGACAGATATATAACCTCTGATATAAGTTTGTAATGATTGTTTGGTTGATCCTGTGGATGGAGTCACGGTTTGTCCTTTACTTTTACCAAATATGTTGTATAGATGCACAGCATAGTGTTTACAGTTGTGACACAACTTTGAATTGTTCACTTCAGTGGGGGGTTTTAATCTAAATGTTACATCAGGCTGTTCCTTTATCAATTGGGAAAATATAGCATTATTTGTTTTTACATTATGAATATTTTCCCTGGTTTTGGTCATTTTGGGAAAATAAGGCACTTTTAGTAATGGGAAACAGCCTGTATTTTGCAGTAAAACTGACCAAAAAAAAATCACTGCAATGTTCTGACAAATGCCTTATGTCAGGTGAAGCATTTGTTTTTCAAGTTACACAAAGGAGGAAGTAAGAATAAATAAGGTTTGGCTAATACACTTCTTAAAATTATTCCTGTTATGAAATGTATGCCGTGTATAAAAGTGAATCTCCTGTGAGCCTAGCTCAGAAAGTTACTGATATGAAAATGAGAGGAGAATATTTACAGTTGCATTTATACTATATCTTTGTGAGATCAAGTCATTATACCTGTTTGATCTTTAACAGGTAGTTTACAGTATTATCTAGCTGTGTGTTATTTCCAGAGAAACAATCTTCCACTCTACTAAGAGTATGAAGTAACAACAAACCCGTTTCCTAGAAGTATGGGTAGTCATTCAACTGATGCAGAGGATTTAAATCTTCGCTAAAAGAAATTACGAAATTTTGACTCGTCCAAAAAACAAGTTTCTGCTCCACTCAGGCTAAATATAATGATCTGTAACAGTGTTTGCTGTGATTATACACTTGTATTTTCTGTTTGTGTTACTGTGTGGAGTGAAAACGATATGATGAAAATCAGGTTTATTGTACTGATCAGTATTGAGTCATGAAAACAATGTACTTTTCTTTCTACAGATAGAGGAGCTACCACAGACTTAGGTAGCTGTGTAAGCTAGTTATGTGGTTCTGTAATTGTTTTTTATAAGTCGATCATTATTGTGCACAGCAAAACGGGTATACAAGAGGTAAACCTTCATATGTTTTACAAGTTTGCCTTAGAATTGTTGAAATAAGTCCTGCTAAGTCTTTGTTGTGTTGTACTACATACAGTGGTTTTTACCTCATTGTATTGTCATGCATGCTTTTTTTAAAGCGGACACATGCATTCATGATGATTAATTTTGTGTTATAGAATCACACCAGATTGTGGATCCAGGGGCTGATCCAGGTGGTTTCCTGATCAGTTGAAATAAGAAAAATTGGAAAATACATTTGGCATTAGGGGTTGAAGTGGGATAATATTTTTAATGGATTCTCCCAAACATATATCTGGATTGCATTGATTTGTTGCAATAAGAGCCACTTGTCTGTGTTATTCTGTGTGAGAGCCACTTGTCTGTGAGTCACTTGTCTGCTGTACTGTCTGTGAGTGAATCACTGACGGAATGACATGTAGTGTGATACTATATCTTTATTGCATTTTACAATAAAACAGTATCAATTTAACATGTTGCTAATCTTTTTATTCAATAATTAACAAAGTAATTGAAGTCAAACGGCGAAATTTTGTGAGATATTCAAAACACAATTGAGGTATTACAGACCAAATTATTATAAGAAAAATCTTCCAGGAAAATACATTATCATATTTACACTTATGGTGTACCAGGGACAGTATACTACTATACGTCCCTGGGTGTACGTCGTCTAGGCACGAAAATATTAAGAAGAGAAAAAATTGTTAGGAAGATGATTTCTTACTGTGACGTCACAGGAAAAATGAGGAGCGAGTTAAATCTGACGTCAAATAAACAAAAATGAATGATGCCGATTTGTTATTCTGACGTAACGTAATTAGGAAAAGGTTGGTCACGATTTGTTATTCTAACTTCTGACGTCACATAGTCGGGTAGCCCGAGTTTCCTCTCGGACTAATAGTCAGGAAAAAGTTTAGATGGCGACTTACTCTGAAATCAGAGTCAGGGGAAGTAGGCGGATAGCGACTTGTTATTCTGCTACACATAGTCAAGAAAATTGGAGGTTATAATCAAAACTGTTCAACTTAGAACCTGCTGTTTCATCATGGAAAAGATCAGGTTGGCGCCTCTGTGATTACTGTTATCATATTTTCAGGAAAAGGCTTGGCGGGTTAACTGTAACTTTTCAGTTTAGATAATTATATCACTTTGGCAGGAAAGTATTGGGGACACTTATAAGTGTTTATTTAAGTACTTCGCCAGAGCTCCGGAGATTTTCTGTTGACCACAAACATCTTAATCAACGTTTTCTGATATAGAAGTTTCAATGTTCGTAGAAATGTCACGATTGTCACCATGACTGACAGCTATGAAGCTCTGTTTGTGTACTACTGGAAGACTTGGTCACAGTATCTTATCATTATCCTGAATTCGACCGGTTCTATATGGTTCAACGTCCTATTATCCACAGCTAAGGTCATTTATGGACGTGGGATTTGACCGGAATCATCTTGACAGATGCCACATGTGTGAAAATCAATTAAAGAACTTGGCATGTTTTTGTACCTGTCTTGATTACCCTTTTTACATATGAATTCACCCTCATATGAAAAAAATAACAAGTCGGCCTAATAAGCGGCTCATTTTGTCCGCATAGGTTTGCCAACAGTCTGATGAGAACTCCACACTAAAATAAACAGGAATTCAATCACTCTAGTGATTTTATCCTCGGTTTATTCCACCTAGGTATTTCAAGTGTTTATCACAAATTTGCTCAAAAGTAGTTCACAGCAATATTTTTTTTATCGCCGTTCGCCTCTTTTAGGACAAAACACTTTTATAATAAAGGCAGCAAAGGCCTTTAGTTCCGTAAGAGGCATGGCAGTGTTATCAGTGGAAAAGTCTTGTTTAAAAAAAAAAATATGCATTCAATTTATTCTACTTTTAGAGTATACAGTGTCACAATACAACAGATAACCCTAACCAATGGTTCTAAGAATGGTACTGTATTAAGAATTTTGGAAAATGCTTTGGTTTTGTCAGCGGTAAAAGAAGTTGTCTGCATAAATTCTTGTTAAGTTTCAAAATCCAATATAAACGAGGCAGGTCCATGTCATTATTCTTAACCAGTATTTGGAAAGTTTGCAATACAGATAGGAACTATATAGGTAGGGGCTCCTTGAATATCAAACAAGCCTAGGTTTTACAAACTAGAAATGTAATCGTATTCACTGACATGGATCAACATACCCATATATTTATCTTGCGAATCGCTGAATGGGGATCAGACATATGGGTAATGAAGTGCATTAATGATTTAAAGCTGCCGTTTCTCTGAAATTATCGGTTGTGCAGACTTATCTTACTCAAAAAGCTATTCTATACAGCATGCTCTCATTTTATCCACTTTCTCGTGTAGAATTGCCCGGAATTCATAAGTATCTTCAACTTCACATTCCAGTTTATCGTAAGTTCATTAAAAGCTCTAGTAAGTTTTCATTAAGGAAAATATTTAGAAGACCAGTCACCTAACTCAAGCTGTTGCCGCGTTGGTTTTCTTGAGTTGAAAAGCTTCAAAGCAATGGGCTGATGCTAACTGAAAGGAATCCTTGGGGTACTTTTGTATCTGAAGTAGGGTGGTATGTTGACTTCGACAGGCTTCTGGTGTGGGATATCACCGATGGTAATGGCATCGTACACTGTAGGCATATTTGACCTCCATAAAATGTCATGGGCCTGTTCGTTAATGCGGAACAACCGGTTTGACCGTTTATAAATGTAACAATTTCGGGAATAAATCCTGGCGGACCTGCAAATGTTTATGCAGGCCTTGCAAGGCTTTGTCAAGCCTCGCCTGAAAGCAGTATCAGATTGCTAGGTCCGACCTTATTTAATAAACGAACAACAGTGGTCCGACCGGCTTGACCGTTTAAACGAAAACGGCCAAGGTAACGGTGCGCTGTGATCATCGTACGATCAGGCTTTAAACTATTGAATATGATCAATATCATCAATCATTGACACTAAGAACAACTCTATTAGAATCCTCTGTTCGTAAAACAGAGATAAGAAGCGAACACAGTGTGATTTGGAAGTGATCGACTTCCAACGTTCCCTGGAGTTTTCGGTTCGGTTGAACTGTTATAATATCGATGTCCATTACAAGTGAAAAACTTTCTCCTAAGAATGAAATATCTCCAGTAAAATGTATCGTCAACACAAGAGGACAAAATTTATCACATCGCCCACACAAGTGATAACAACAGCCTATACTTTACTGAGAAGTTATTTAATCTTTTATGATAGGAAAATATAACTAAGTTGTTTATTGGTCAACAGGACTGATCTAGAGCAAGGGAACATCTATGGCAAAGATGTCTTGCTTTAGGTGAATGTCAATTCAAGTATGCAACTTCCAACTCGAGCCTCGTAAACAACCATCTACTACAGATCAATGGAATAAACTTCCATCTGATGTTAGATCAAATCCGTCTGTTTCTGCTATAAAATCATACCTTGATAAACAGTTAAGTAGAAAAGTACCAATCCACTACACTTTTGGAACCCGTAAGGGTCAAATATACCATGCTCGTCTACGAATGGAATGCAGTTCCTTAAACAGTCATTTATTTAGTAAAAATATTGTTCAATCTCCGTTATGTGTTTGCGGTCAAGTTGAAAACACTGCTCACTTTCTTTTAGAATGTACCAGATATGATGACATAAGAAGACAGTATTTTTATTCTTTGCCTTATAATATTACCACAGATATTCTGCTGTTTGGGAACGAGACATTGCCATTACAAGAAAATAAGGTTATCTTCCTAGCTGTCCAAGATTATATATCAAAAACAAACAGGTTTTCCTATTGATTTAATATTTCATAAACATGCATGTGCTTAAAGCCGAATTGTACTTATGTAAGAACAAGTAAAACCCATTAACAACCAAAACCCTTCACCATTAATTATCTCCTTTTCTTTCTCCTTGTTTAAACTATTGTATTATTGTATGCATTTTTCATTGGAGACAATATGCTGTCCATCCTGAATATATTTCGCAGATTATGATAAGGTGATAGATTTATATAAGTGTCTAAGACACTTGTTTCTATTTCCTATTTTGTGTTTTGTTACAAAATGTTATATATATATATATATATATATATATATATATATTGCATATATATGTATATAATTGAAATACTTGAATAAAAAAAAAGTTTCAACTAAACTAACAACGAGCGGATGGCGGTTGCTGAGATGACGGAGTTGTCATCTACAGGAATGCGTCTAAATGTTCATTTCAACTTTACATGGGTTGCATATAAATTCAGCTGACTTTGCTTTTATTTTGATAGCAGCACTTCTTTGCAGCATTAACATGATTTATTAACTAGTAGTTCGTAGCTTATTTCATTACCTAGTAGTTCGTAGCTAATTTTATTAACTAGTAGTTCGTAGCTTATTTCATTACCTAGTAGTTCGTAGCTTATTTCATTAACTAGTAGTTCGTAGCTTATTTCATTAACTAGTAGTTCGTAGCTTATTTCATTAACTAGTAGTTCGTAGCTTATTTCAATAGGATTTTTTTTTTATTTCAGTCAGTGCTTGAACAACAGAAATCCAGAGAACGCGCTCGCTTGGCTCAGGACGTAGGAGGATCTGCCTGGTATGATCTTGTATACTATCACTTGTACGCGGTCGTTGTCTTGTAGAGACAGGACAGCTGTATGAGAATTGGACAGCTCGTGGTCGTCTGCTCCCGTGGTAATCTGCATGTTCACCATTTGGTCGTTCTTTGCGAGCTCTGTGTTGACAAAACCGGACTGTCCCACACCTGTTGACCAGGAGAAGACGTACAGTCCCGACACATCGCACGTGAATATTCCAGTGTTTTGATCGTACTGGTGACCCTCATTAGTCAGAACGTTTTCGTATTTTAAAGTCATACCCATCCTTACGTTAATAGTGTTGGTAAGAGTTGCGTAGAAAGCCACACCGTCTGAAAGTAAGTGTTACATATTTATGCATGATTAGACCTAAGGCTACCGAGTTAACTAGTGTGAACGCTTGACTGCAACCAACAGTGTCAACATATGTGGTTCTAATATGACAAAAAACAAAAGTCCTTGTATGGTCTTTTACTAATGTCCATATCTTGAGGATACAACACAATTAATTGCGGTATAAGTGGGATAAAGGATACATATAGCGTATTTTGTAATCTAAAACAAATTACATTAATAAAACGTTATTTTATCGACTGTTTTTGGAACTATAATAAGCACGTCGGAAAAGTCCCATAAAACTAGTTAAAAATAATCTCTTAATCTATAATCCCTTTTCGGTTTTTGTTTTTTGGCACACGATGAAGCCATTGACATACATACCAGATTACAGGTCTTACAGATAGTACCTTGCTTAATCATGGTTGCTGCGTCTCCTTTTGGACCATGTATTCCCATCGGACCAGGTTCCCCCTTTGATCCAGTTCTACCAGTATCCCCTTTTGGGCCTTGCGGTCCAATGTGACCAATGTCCCCCTTCAGTCCAGACGGTCCATTAATCCCTTGTGGGCCTGCTGGTCCAACATCTCCTTTTTGACATGTACATGATACATTGCCTCCTTGCTTTCCTGTTGATCCTATGCCCCCTTGTTGATCTATGGAGACGGTGCCCCCGAGCTGCCCCGTCGAAGCTGTGGAAGCCGATAAGACTGAGGATCCCGTGCCCCCAGCTAACCCAGCCGGCCATACAGAAAAGTATTTATATTGCTCCCAGTAAAGTTCAAGTGAAACAAAGTGTAGAGAAGCGTATATAAAAAATGGTATATATTTGTGATAAATTAAACTTGTCTTTTAAGAAGGTAAACATGCAATCTTTTTGTATTTTCTGTTTTTGACTGATCTTCTACTTCATGTTAACAGAAACGTGATTAGCCAGACGTACAAGATTCCTTGGATCCAGATCAAAGCACATGTAAATTATAAAATATCACCCAAAACAAACACTTGATTAGTAATAATTTAGATCAGGTACAAAAACGAAGTACTAACTTTGCGGCGTTGTCAGTTTGATTAATGTTTGTCAAAATCACATAAATATCGGTGAATTTAAGTGTTGTGTTATGATTATTAGGTTATGTCTTTATCGCACCTCAGACAGAGATATACCACGTAATACCCCATGCTTGATTTTTCTATCTCGTCCGATCTGTCTGGTACCTTTACGTGACATTTCGCAGAATTTTTGCACTGCTATGTATTCATCCGCGCGTTAACAGCTTGAAATTGACCATCAATGTTTTTATGTTGATAGATATCTGATGTTGTAGATAAAATATAATCTACACTGTGAAATACGTTGCCTTTATTTAAGGACGGACTGCATTTTTATGCGGAAGCATTCAAATGTAGCGTTAGTAGTGTAGATGCCGAAAACAGGATACTTGTAGTCTTTAGCAAAATTGATAAGACTCTGTAACATCCCAACCTCGGCTTACGCCTCGGTTGGGATTATGTTTCAGAATCATAGCCTTCGACCGGGATTACCCGATCTCGCTCAGTTAACGGTAATAGATTTTAATCAGTATGTTTTGTAACACTAACATTGTGAAGAGATCTACTGTCTGTACAATGTTGTCGATAAATAATACACACCTGGGACTTGATTACCGAAACCCATCCACTGATGTACGGGGACAGGGGTGCTTACATCTGTAGTAAATGAAAACAATTCTCATTTATATAATTTTCTTTTCTTTTTCAAATTTATATATGATGTGTTTTAGTATATATCTAACACGCGCATGCTTGGGGGCGATCTCTTGTCTATTTTCTGATAAATACTACTCACCTGTGACTTGGCTACCGAAGCCTAGCCAGTGATGTAGTGGTACAGCACTGCTTACGTCTGTAATCCATGAAAACAGTGTTTAGTCTTTGTTATACATTTCATTCCTATGATTGCTATAGGAATTGTATAACTGTAATTACTGCTAGAATGATAGTTCCGTGACACCTACTGTGATATCAATCGTTTAGCATAGACCAAGTGCAGCATTCTTTTCAATGCGTGTATGTGAATCCAATTATAGTGGTCGGGTGTAATTTCCTTCCTTTAGATATCTAACTATAACCCGAGTTTGATACCGAGAGACCAAAGTTCAACATTTCCCTGGAGTGTCCGGTTCGGTTGAACCATTATAATATCGATCTCCATTACTAGTGAAAAACTTTCTCCGTCTAAGAATGAATCTCTCCAGTAAAACGCATGGTCAACACAAGAGGACACAATTTATCACATCGCCCACACAGGTGATAACAACAGTATACTTTACTCAGAAGATACTTAATTAATCTTTTGGGATAGGAAACTATGACTAAGTATTTTTTATTGGACAACAGGACTGATCTAGAGCAAGGGAACATCTATGGCAAATATGTCTTGCTTTAGGTGAATGTCAGTTCAAGTATGCAAGTGGTCGGGGTGTAATTTCCTTCCTTTAGATATCAACTATAACGCGAGTTTGATACCGAGAGACCAAAGTTCAAATGGTGTTTTTTTTCTATCTACAGAAATACTTAAGCACAGGATCATGTGTCACTTCCGGGAAAGTATTACTGAAATCGACAAGGGAAACTCTGAGGAAGCCCCTAAGTCACTTCCGGGAAAGTATTACTGAAAACGACAAGGGAAACTCTGAGGAAGCCCCTAAATCACTTCCGGGAAAGTATTACGGAAAACGACAAGGGAAACTCTGAGGAAGCCCCTAAGCCACTTCCGGGAAAGTATTACTGTAAACGACAAGGGAAACTCTGAGGAAGCCCTTAAGTCACTTCCGGGAAAGTATTACTGAAAACGACAAGGGAAACTTTGAGGAAGTCCCTAAGTCACTTTCGGGAAAGTATTACTGAAAACGACAAGGGAAACTCTGAGGAAGCCCTTAAGTCACTTCCGGGAAAGTATTACTGAAAACGACAAGGGAAACTTTGAGGAAGCCCCTTAGTCCCTTTTGTTACGATCTTTCATGTATACGTCACATTTGACGAGAAGTGTTTGGCACCTATTAAGACGTAAAGCATATCCTTCAGTATACACTGGACTGACAACTCACCAGGTGTCTGTGTGGTCACTGAACTAACAGGCCAGTGATCATGCAAGCTGAAGGACGGTTTAAAGTCTGAAAACATATTGAAAGTATACTGCAGTCAGGTTTTTATCTTGGTTGTGATTTTGTATAAACGTTATCTTTCGACTTCATTTTAAAATATGTTCGCTAAAAATTCTATATCAGCTACATGAGTCTTCTTCTTGCATAATGGTTAGCTATACTTATGACAACTATGTTATAATGCATGTAGCTTTAAGCCAAGCAAATGTTATGTTTTTCAAGGAGCAACGTCGATTCATAAAATTTCATATTACATACAATATTTTCTGATAGAAGATACATCACAAAGATATCGTATATAAGCTATCTTATAACAGATAAGCTTTATTATATTCTAATAAGATATTTAATAAAGAAATGTATGTAAAATACATCTAATTATGTAAGATATCTTGTACAGAAAATCATATAAAAAAAATCTTATCGTTTATAAAATATCTTTGTGTTATGTAAGAAATCTCATGAAATTTAAATAAGATGTGTGACATACTTTTATTAAACACGATATTGGCGTTACTCCTTGAATATACAATTAAGTTGACGTTTTACTTTGAGATATGTTGGTCTTGATCATGTTGCAAATATGGCAAAACTAAAGAGAAATGAGTGTACCAAGTAGTCAACGTATGCCTTGATAATGTATGCACAGATCTATACAGTTCTTTTCATTGATTCATACAATTTTCAATAGTTTGTACATCATTCAGAGCTTGCTAGTCTGCGTAAATGGAGTGTCTCGAAGAGAACTATCATATTTGTATGACGCAAATGTTGTTTTTAACAAAACTTCACTTACGAGAATCTGTCCTTCTCAAGTCTGTACCGAGAGGGGTAACGTTCCCAGCATCTCGTCGACTGTCAAACAATAGTAAAGACTATCAATTGTACAATATTTCCTCATAGTAAAATATCTTATTTTAGAACGCAAAAATGGTAGATTGTCGATAGTATATAACTTCACTAACTTCTGAGCAAAAATAAAATGTCGAACAACTGGAAAATAGACCTTGTAAATAAGGATTTAATAAAGTTTATAGTATACATCATCAGGTAAAAATGACCTGATTTATTATGTGAATGAGGATTGAATATATGCTAGTGATGGTTAACGAGGATTGGGTAAATGTAAATGAGGATTATGATATGTAAATAAGGATCGGATATATGTTAACAAAGATTGAATAAATGTACGAGAGGATTGAATATATATAAACTTTAATTATTTAACAACAATTATGAAACAAGTTATTTCAACTTATATTAATCACTCTTGTTAGCCCGGATGTTAGCGCGTAGGGGGTCTTAGTGTGGGAGGAAACCGGAGTACCCGGAGAAAACCCACGTGATCGGGCAGGTGACCCCAAACTTTTCACGCCCGATCGGGGAATCGAACCCCGGTTGCCTTGGTGAAAGGCAAATGCGCTATCCACTTCACCACCCGACAGATATTGAATATATATTAGTGAGGAATGAGTATATGTGAATGAGGATTGAATATATTTCGTGAGGAATGAATATATGCTAGTAAGGGTTCAATATATATTGATAAGAACTGACTATATTTTTATAAGAATTGGGTATATGTGAAACAGCATCTATTATATATTATCACATTTAATAGACGATAAAAATTGACTTGATGGTTAAGTTTATTGCTGGTGAAATTAGGAACATGATAGATTTGAGAAAAAGTGCCGAACATAATACACTTACTTATGTTTATTGTATTTGATCTGCAAATTCTCGTACAAACTATTCAGATTTTTAAACTTTCCTGAGAGAATCTCATTTTTTCTTTTTATATCCGAAACTTCTCTTTTTGTAAATTCATTCTGCTGTCTGATATCCATAAGCTGTTGTTGCAGATCACGAATGAGTTGTCTATCGTCTTCCCTCCACGACTGGCACTGTAGTTGGAGCGCGCGCACACTGGTTCGAAGTTCCAGTAGCTGGTCAGCCTTAACGCTGAGAGACAAGCTCGAAACTATCAGGAACAGAACAACAGCACACTTCATAATCAGCAGTACTCAGTCGGCCAGGCTAGTAAGAGACGCGGAATAGAATTGCTTACCGTCAGAGGTACAGATAAGACGCCCACTAGATAAGTCGGTACAGACAATTGGTCCGACAATGGCAGAACAATGAACAAGGTCGTGATATTCTCATGCTTTTCATAGGTTTTCCTGTACGTCAGTCTGATCTTTGTTTGCTACTAGATACGCATTGTTTCTAAACATCTGATATCCCATAATATGTAACATAGCAAAAGGGGAGAGTGCCCTCATAACGTTACAAATTAGAACATTTGGCTACTCAAAGTATTGGTTTTTAAAATAGTACATTTATCATGTAAATCTTGCCAGCATACATTTCTGTTACAAGGCTACGGCCAACATTGGGGACTGATAGTCTACAAGCAGAGTGAACCAGCTTGAGACGTAAAATAATCATTAGAAAATACGAAGCATGGAAGCACCTATAATATAAGCACACTGCTAAAAGTTTTGTATTAAACAAATAAGCTAATCATGCTTAGAAATATCAAATAAAATAGTGTAACGAACATACATGGTTTAATTAATAAAACATCATCATCAATACCGAGATAAATATGTTTTATCACAAGATAATGTACAATAGAGAGTATGGAATTGATAAGCAAAATTTGACAAATGCACTTGCATACACTGTCTAGATAAGAGCCTGATAGAGTTCGCCTACTCATACTCCTCCACTCAGCGAACCTTCAGAATTTACAATTGAGTGACAACAGAATTGATAGGAACAGTTTAACTCGTTTAGACTCGTTTCATACCCGTCACTTACTATTAAGGTATATGCTGACACGTACAAATGGTACTTAACATATTCAAAATAGAGGTACTCAAAACAGGGGTACTCGAACCATAAGTACCGAAAATATAAATACTTGAAATAGAGAGACAGAACAAAACGTCATTTTTAATTCAAAATTGATAAAACTAGTGCAAAATATGGACAAATAAAAGATTGACATAGAAGTCATAGATCATGATGTGAACCATAACACTGGACATAGTCTTTACGAACATGTGTATCTCAAAACCATGTCTGATAAGCTTGTCCGTCAGCAGCCGACATCTACCACAGAACTCATGATATTGGACCAACAAGCCCTTGAATGTCAAAGGAAATGCGATATATGAACACCATAAGTTGGTACAGTACGGATGTTACTATCAAGAATGGGAAAGTTCACGATCGCAAAATCGAAACATTCACGCTTATCGTATCTTCATTCTTAATTGGAAGCCGCCTCTGTTGTAGTAAAAGTTCAGGCGGATACATATATTCGACGTAGTCAATAAATATCTGGTTATTTAAAAACAAGACATCGTGAATTACTTCGAAAGTGAAAATTAAGGACGATATTGCTGCTAAGCTCTTTGCTACTTATGAAAAAAAACTAAGTCGGCAAGACGAACTTAAAGTAGATGATTCAAATAGAGATTTTCAAATGTAAGGTTCTCATCACAGAGCTACCCAAAAATTTCAAACTTAAACGCAATGACATTTGATTAGTATAGGTATACATGTAGCGACTTAAATGTTATTAGACTAATTTCGATATCAGTATGGACAGTTACCTGTGACAAATGATACTATTCTATATACCTAACGTCATTGTAACACAGTAAAACACTCGTATAGCCACGAGACAAATAATAAGCTTTCGAGAAGAACGCCACGTGTAACCAATACAAAAACGTGTTCTCATATCTAAATATGTATAACAGTATATACCTGTTTCTACAGTAAGCATTATCTATATTAAATAAAATACATGAACATATCGTTCACTTGCCCTGATCTTGTTTTGACCAGTTATGCCGTGTTAAAAAAATAATCTTGTAAATCGCTACAACATAAAAACTATGCCGTTTTGTACGTTTTGAAATATATATTTTGTCTATTGATTATATCCGTACTTCATTTGATTGCACCAATGCAATATGTAGCATACAGGTGGGTTGAAGGTTGTCTGAGGTCTTATATATGAAGAATATCTTACCATGATGCAATATAAAAATTGTGTCAAGGACGTGCGCACTGTGTGACACTTGTCATTGAGTACGTGAACTACACGTAGGACTGATAGAAAGGAATACACTGTATATGATAAAAAACACCAATGTATCAACATATAAAACATACCAATGTATCAACATATAAAACATACCAATGTGTCAACATATAAAACATACCAATGTATCAACATATATAACATACCAATGTGTCAACATATAAAAAATACCAATGCGTCAACATATAAAACACTCCAATGTGTCAACATATAAAACATACCAATGTGTCAACATAAAAAACATACCAATGTGTCATGATATAAAACATACCAATGTGTCAACATATATAACATACTAATGTGTCAACATATAAAACATACCAATGTGTCAACATATAAAACATACTAACGTGTCAACATATAAAACATACCAATGTATCAACATATAAAACATACCAATGTGTCAACATATATAACATACCATTGTGTCAACATATAAAACATACCAATGTGTCAACATATATAACATACCAATGTGTCAACATATAAAACATACCAATGTGTCAACATATAAAAACATATCAATGTGTCAACATATATAAAATACCATTGTGTCAACATATAAAACATACCAATGTGTCAACATATAAAACATACCAATGTATTAGCAAATAAAACATACCAATGTGTCAACATATAAAACATACCAATGTATCAACATATATAACATACCAATGTGTCAACATATAAAACATACCAATGTGTCAACATTAACGTGAAATCGACACTGGAATACCAAACAAGGATCCGAAAAGATATGAACACAAAACCTATTGGACTCGTACACGTCTGTTTTAGATTAACATTAACCCATTCACCCCTGAACCCTTCCAATGCAAAGGTTGGAATAGTTCATTATGAAATTTCAGCGGTGAATGAGTTAATGACCCATCAGTAATACTAAAGCTCTAAACAATGAAAATCCATGTATAATGTGTTTCAAAATATATATAGAAAGGGAAAGGTACCCTGAAACACTTGAATGCATTTCAAATTAAAAACCTTTGGCTACAGGAAATACTTATTTTTTAAATTAAAGTAGCCCATGTCATACTAAATTCCGGTAGAATATTAACCTCGGGAACTGATAGTCCGCTTTGTTACGTTAACAAAAATATCAATAAACTTTAGTCTGGACTACCGACTGAAATATAGTATTTGTATATTCATTTTAGGTTCCCGAACCTGGCATCATGTTAGCGATTAAAAATGGACGATATCATGTTTATAACAAACGGATATGTGAAATAGAGATACCAAATATCCCTCAATAGCTTAATCACATTACGTTACCTGCAGCTTGACAATAATGTCAACATCACTACATTTTTTGACATGCAACGACTTAATTTCACCATCGTTAGCTGTTCATTCCATACTCGAAACATGCCAAAACTCATGTAGGCATGCAAGCTTCAATCCACAGTGGAGAACGTTTAAGTTCCTGCCATACTCGAAACATGCCACAACCTCATGTAGGCAAGCTTCAATCCACAGTGAAGAACGTATAAGTTCCTGCCATACCCGAAACATGCCACAACCTCATGTAGGCAGGCAAGCTTCAATCCACAGTGAAGAACATTTAAGTTCTTGCCATACTCGAAACATGCAACAACCTCCTGTAGGCAAGCTTCAATCCACAGTGGAGAACGTTTAAGTTCCTGCCATACTCGAAACATGCCACAACCTCCTGAAGGCAAGCTTCAATCCACAGTGAAGAACGTTTAATTTCCTGCCATACTTGAAACATGTCACAACCTCCTGTAGGTAAGCATCAATCCACAGTGGAGAACGTTTAAGTTCCTGCCATACTCGAAACATGCCACAACCCCCTGTAGGCAAGCTTCAATCCACAGTGGAGAACGTTTAATTTCCTGCCATACTCGAAACATGCCACAACCTCCTGAAGGCAAGCTTCAATCCACAGTGAAGAACGTTTAAGTTCCTGCTATACTCGAAACATGTCACAAACTCATGTAGGAAAGCTTCAATCCACAGCGAAGAACGTTTAAGGTCCTGCCATACTCGAAACATGCCACAACCTCCTCAAGGCAAGCTTCAATCCACAGTGAAGAACGTTTAAGTTCCTGCCATACTTGAAACATGTCACAACCTCCTGTAGGCAAGCATCAATCCACAGTGGAGAACGTTTAAGTTCCTGCCATACTCGAAACATGCCACAACCTCCTGTAGGCAAGCTTCAATCCACAGTGGAGAACGTTTGCATTCATCACCGTGATCTTATAGCTGGAATATACTCTGGAATGGCTTTAATGAAATACAGGTGTAAAGCAATCACCTGTAGTTAACAGCTGTACATTTTTGTAATGTTATAAAGGGTAACATTTGAACCCTTCTCCTTTTCTATATATCTACAGTTGTTTCGAATCATCTTGTAAGTGGATTTTCATTCCGTTGACCTTTTTTTACCATGAATGAGTCCTTAGTGGATAAAGTATGCTAAAGTTCAGTAAAATGTTCTCTTTTTACTTTGTTTTAGTGTTTCCTCGGTTCTCTAATGTGTTGACACGGTTGTTTAAACTTTTCCTTTTCTTATGTACCCCCTACAACTTAAATAAAGATCAATCTGATCTATTATTATGACAGGGCCATGATGTTAGGGACGGAAGTGACCTGTTTTATGTAATGCAAAATAGTATCTCAGAGCAATAAGTTAATTGATAAAACACAAGAAAAGAAATCAGGCTGCTAACCATGTAACAGGCATTAACCGGTCAATGCAAATTTACCGAGAAATATTACAACGCATTATAGGCACAACAAATGCTTACGTGTGTTCGATTTTAGACCAGATTGGATTTCTGTACAGTGACAAATACATGTAGCTTGTTTCCCCTTTATAGCCACGTCTCTGCCTGACCGTTAACTTCATTGTTTTGAGGTAAGTATTCAAATTATTTTGTACAGACTATTTAATGTATTATAAAATATATCGGGTTTTGTTCGTTTCAGTCTACAACGTTTGTTAAAAGACGTAACTTACAGATGTATGACACATGAAAGTACTGTTAATTTCCTATTCAGTAAAGTATTTCGTAGGTTAATGGACATTTTTCATAAATGGAGACATCTCATTCTTATTGAGTTCTATATATAGAGCTTTAGTTTCACAATCTATATATTATGTATATCAAAAGAAAAGGTAAGATGCTTTTATCAATAGTAACTGAAAAATAGACCAGATGTATTGTAAGGAAATGGTATACAGTAGTTATAAGTTAAACCAGTAATTAATTTTATACCGACACAGTTGTAAAAGATAAACTATTGGTGACAAAACACTAAGTCGGTCTTATTCCTTCTCTGAAAATTGCCAAGATACCGTTGCACACATGTATCAGTATATATAATAATCACTCGTTTTACTTGACAGAACAGCACGATTTGTTTTTTCTATTTGTTTCACCATACGTGAATCAATATATATATATATATATATATATATATATATATATAGGTACCACAAGTGACATTGTAATGAACGAAAATGGCCTAGTTCGTGGAATGCCAAAAATAGCATAGAGAAATTTAAGACAAACAATTTCATAGGGCGTCATTTGTTTTCAATGAATTGCTTCAACAGAACTTGCCAACAGGACAATTTAAACCAGATTGGAATCCAGTACAGTGGCACTAGCTAGCTTTCTCTGCACAATCACGTACCTACACGGCTGCTGATGACATAAACTTAAGGTAAGTGTTTTTATATATTTTATTTAGTATGTATCTACTTCACATATTTTTGTATTAAGCAACATCTGTTTACCTTGGACAAGTTTTGATTAATGTTAAATATATACGTATGACATGAATGAACTGATTTGTTGACATTTTGGTTAGTACACTATGTTTTATGTGGTTTGTACATGTCTAAATAACAGTATTTTGTACAGGTTCAATGGTTTCTTGTTTATTTTGTTTAACATGAATTCAATAAAGTATTTTTAATGTAATGTATATAATAAAGATAAAGAATACTAACTTTACAGTTATTTAAGTTAACATTGAACTGCATTGTACATATCAGTCTGCCATAGTGAGTGTTATACATTGTAGGTATCGAATAGCCTAACATTAGTATAATGACGACGTATATTTATCAGAAATAGACACATCTCATGATTATTGGGATTTAACTTTAATTTTACTTTCACAAAATATAAAATATACAAAGAGATAAAGGTTTTAACCTGTACTAAAAGTATTAGCCAAACTATACCTTGACAGCAATATGTATACAACTTACGAAATGTCTTATTTAATTTTCTGATTTTTTTTACCAAAACGTATATTGTTTACATGCTATTTGATAAAATATGAGTTATCGTTCGTTGCTGTTAGAGTTTATATATATAGCCTACACGGTTGAGTTCTCAGAAGGAATAGTAATTAAGTATAAATACACTCTGGCTATGAGCCAGAACATAAACGATCGACAGGTCATATTGTGATCGAGAGAATGGTAGTGTACGTGTTTTGTGTACACACATGTAAACACACGTGTATTTAATATATACACAATGGAATAAGTACTACAGAACCTGCCGTTCATTTTTCAATCCTATCAGAAAAGTTTCATTTGCATGGTTTTTATCTTGGCACACGTGGTAAGATTGAGTATGTAACACACCTGTAGACGCAGACAGATAGCTACGATCGACAGTCAGGATGAGTATAGAACAACCCAGAGTTAACATCAGTGAGCCTAGGTATGACCAGAACACGTATGGAGGACGAGCTAGGCATTTCTTCATCACCACCAACCCCCTTAACCTACTGGCCACCAACCAACAGCTGGAGCACGCTAAGTCCATTGTAGTCCGGTACAGGTAAGACATATACTGTACAGGTAACAACAGGTACGTAAAACGCTGATGTAACGTTCGCGGATGTTCATAAAGTCACATGCTTTATAAAAAGATTACCTGTGTCAGCACATGTTGTGCTCAAATCCTATTGGCAAATACTCTTTTAACAGTGAACAAGACATAAGGTAACCTTACATCAGTAAGTAACTACTTGTTCAAAGGGTGTAGATCTCAGTGGCACTTCGTAACATAGCATCTGGTAATGATAATCTAGACCGCAATCACTTATAACATCTGATAACCTAGTTAATCATAAAGGTGTAGGTCAAATTTACATCTTACTCTTAAATAACTGTTAATAATTGTGTACGCCGCAATCACACCTTACACCTGGGTACCTGGTTATAAAGGTGTACGTTACAATGATACCCTACACCCGAGTACCTGGTTATAAAGGTGTACATCACTGTGATACCTTACACCCGAGTACCTTATATATATATATATATATATAAGGTACTCGGGTGTAAGGTATCACAGTGATTGTACACCTGAGTACCAGGTTATACAGGTGTACGCCACAGTGATACCTTACCCCTGAGAAGCAGGTTATAAAGGGGTACGGTACAGTGATACCCTACCCCCGAGTACCTGGTTATAAAGGTGCACGTCACTGTGATACCTTACACCCGAGTACCATGTTATAAAGTATAAAGGAGTATGTCACTGTGATACCTTACGCCTGAGTACCATGTTATAAAGGTGTACGTCACAGTGATTCCTTACACCTTAGTACCAGGTTATAAAGGTGTACGTCACAGTGATACCTTACACCTGAGTACCTGGTTATACAGGTGTACGCCACAGTGATACCTTACACCTGAGAAGCAGGTTATAAAGGTGTACGGTACAGTGATACCCTACACCCGAGTACCTGGTTATAAAGGTGTACGTCACTGTGATACCTTACACCTGAGTACCTGGTTATAAAGGTGTACGTCACTGTGATACCTAACGCCTGAGTACCTGGTTATAAAGGTGTACGTCACTGTGGTACCTTACACCTTAGTACCATGTTATAAAGCTGTACGTCACTGTGATACCTAACGCCTGAGTACCTGGTTATAAAGGTGGACGGCACTGTGATACCTTACGCCGTAGTACCTGGCTATAAAGGTGTACGTCACTGTGATACCTTTCACCTTAGTACCATGTTATAAAGGTGTACATCACAGTGATACCTTACACCTTAGTAACAGGTTATACAGGTGTACGTCACAGTGATACCTTACACCTGAGTACCTGGTTATAAAGGTGTGCGTCACTGTGATACCTAACGCCTGAGTACCTGGTTATAAAGGTGTATGTCACAGTGATACCTAACTCCTGAGTCCCATGTTATAAAGGTGTATGTCACTGTGATACCTACCACCTGAGTACCATGTTATAAAGGTGTACGTCACTGTGATACCTAACACCTGAGTACCATGTTATAAAGGCGTATGTCACTGTGATACCTTACGCCTGAGTACCTGGTTATAAAGGTGTACGTCACTGTGATACCTAACGCCTGAGTACCTGGTTATAAAGGTATACGTCACTGTGATACCTTACACCCGAGTACCATGTTATGAAGTATAAAGGTGTATGTCACTGTGATACCTACCACCTGAGTACCATGTTATAAAGGTGTACGTCACAGTGATACCTTACACCTTAGTACCATGTTATAAAGCTGTACGTCACTGTGATACCTTACGCCTGAGTACCATGTTATAAAGGTGTATGTCACTGTGATACCTTACACCTTAGTACCTGGTTATAAAGGTGTACGTCACTGTGATACCTTACACCTTAGTACCTGGCTATAAAGGTGTACGTCACTGTGATACCTTACACCTGAGTACCTGGTTATAAAGGTTACATCACTGTGATATCTTACACCTGAGTACCTGTTAATTAAGATATAGATCACATTGACAATACTTTGAGTACTTGTTAATGAAAACATGATAATGCCGGCTGTGAAAAAGTTTTATTTCATATCGATAATAGACATAAAAAAGCATTCTCATTGATATGTTTTGTTTTTAATGGGTTCATTATTTTGCACTAATATTACATTATTGCATACATTTTCTTTTCCTGCAAAATGAACCTATTAGTCAGCATCGTTTATTATCCTATATTTACATTCCCACTGAAAAATCCCCTATAAGCATTACTATAAGAAATTGCGTTCATAAGGCTATGGACGCAATTGGATCAGCATCATTTTGAAGTTTTTACTTCCGCCTCCATTAACACGTTAGAAGCACTTTGGTGACATTAGGCTGTTTTCAAAGAATCTCGTTTGCAATGACGACGCATAATAACTGAAAAATTATAATGTAAATATAAGGATTGAGTGGCATTTTTTCAATATTCTTGCCGGTATAAACGCAAACCGGTTGCATACATATTTACCATGAAGACCTAGCGAGTTTCATGGAATACGTTTGTAACCGATTTGTTTAAATACCAGCGGAAAATAATTCCGTTCAATTCTTATATAACATGTCATTTGTTCAGGATTTGTATTAAGAACCTGTCTATTTAAAACAATCCTGTACTTCTGAAATACGCCTTTCCCGTTTTTATGTAGAAATGGTGAACGCATTAACGGCCTTACAGAGAATGATCTTTGGCGAGCCAAGCACCTATACGACTCAGCATTCCACCCGGTGACAAACGAGAAGATGGTTCTGTTCGGCCGTATGTCTTCACAGGTCCCTATGAACATGTCCATAACGGGATGTATGCTAGCATTTCACAAGTATGGATGCTTTATGTTAAGTATCTTTAGCATAAGACTTTGTACCTACAATATGAAATGGCTATATTTGGCTTTATAGATGTACTCTTCTGAGGTTTAAATCACGTTTAAATTTCGTTTTGATTTAGTGTACCGGGTTTGTATAAAATTGAAAAGGTCATCAATTTAAAAGCAAGCATGCATCTGAAAAATGAGTAAAAAATTGTATACCTATTGCTTGCATAATGTTATATAGTTTTAATGACAAGTTAGGCAGTCATTAGGATAACTCCCAAAAATTGTAATTTTTCCCTCTATGCACAATATACATTTCATACATTAGATTTATCACTTAAAGTGTCATTGTGTCACAATTGTTTATGTAGCAAGTTGATTTTTGCTGTTCAAGTTTTAAATACTCAATATTATGAAATAATAAGCAATAACGTAACAATTATACAATATTGGAATTTGATAACCTATTTAATTGAACTGAAACTCTTTTGATTCTTCCCTGAAAAAGAAAAATACCACAAAAAAATATGGCAAACAAATAAGCACACTGACCCCCAAAAGGTTTTTGTCGGTTTTAGGAGGAACACACATTTTATTTTGATCCATTGAATATAAAAAAAGTTCAATATTAGGACTTTTTGTATCACTCAATCATTTTGCATTTTGCATTTAAAATAAGTGGTACGGGTAACCAAAATTACCTTTCTGGGGAAAAACATGAGTTCATAAAATTCCGCATCCATAATTGAGACGAAATTACTATTCTCATCAATCGTGCAAACATTAATATTTAGGATAACACACATGAAAGATATTGTATGTTGTATTGTATTGTATTCATAGCACAAACACACAGTCATACATATTGTTTTGCATATTCTACTATGTCATTAACTCCTTTCCCAAAAATACATATTAGAAAAAGGTACGTGAGTTTGTTAACCTCTCAGAGGAGTACATCCTTACGGTATGTTAATCAACTTGGTATAACACGTCGCTACTACAACATTTACTTTACCCGCTATTGTTTAAATATGGTGTCTTTATAGGTGTACAGTGTTGAGCGACTCATTTCTTTTATGGTACTACAATCGTGTATGTGTAAGGCCACTTGTGAAATCACTCACTAGTTGGTTTATTGAGTGTTTTGTCTATGAAATTGTTAATTTCTTTTGCCTCCAATTTTCCTATTTTCACTTGTACTTAGAATGTTGTAAGTATTGTCTTGTGAAATAAAGTTGTTCTTTTATCAAGTATTGAACAATTTATTGAAGCTAATAATGATATGTTCCAGAACGACTCCAGCAATCATATTTTGGCAGTGGATGAACCAATCCTACAATTCCGTAGTAAATTATAGCAACAAGGCCGGAAGTAACGTCTCCGACAGGTAATGGCCTATAATGGCCATCTGACACCATCTGGTCCAGAATGTCCCGCTTTGACACATTCTCTTCCAAATTTGCTGTCGTTCCTGGGTTATAACCTTTGTTATTATCTGTGAAGTTATCTGTGCCAGATGTCCTAAATACCTTTCTTATGTCCATGGCTTTCCCTGTTGCCGTTTACTACTCGTCGTTTAATGTCCCTCCCTGGTGTAAATAAATGGACCTATCGTTGGAATTTTTTAAAACCTTCAAATTTCTCAACCATGTTTGTGTATATATACTACGATCCCACTTTTTGCATATTTTCAAATAAATTATTCTTTCTTTGGAAACGCTTATTTTATTCATTCATGAGAGAAAAATATCCTCATTCCTAATTTTGTTTTGATTGTTTTGAAAAAAAATTGGTATAAATTTAACAAGACTGTATGATTTAACTCGGTGTTACCACTTTATCGCAATTTGTTTTCTGAGAGCATTTTTATGGTATGGCTATAACTATCATGAAACGATCATTGTAATTGTTCTTTTTCCCTTTTTAATGACTTTTTCATTAAACGTTCTGCGTGTGACACACGCCATAAAATAATTTTCAAAACTAAAACTATTGTATCATTTCCTGTACACCTACTTACAGACAGCTGGCCATGTCCTATGTACTGGGTACCAGCGGCGCCGTAGGCACGGCTCTGTGGATTAAAAGTCTAGTGAAGGTAGGAGTCCAGTACATGTACTATAATATGGTCCTTTTTCCTTAGATCAAAGTCATTTTTATGCAAAATAATAGATTCGGTGATAATTTATGTAATCATTACATTTATCATCGACTGATACCCAATCTGTGTTAAATATATGTAAATATAGAAGACCGACACATGCTACTTGATGGTTCCAATTTTATACTCATTTCGACCATGATTAAATTATCTAATCTTATATATATAGATAGACATCAAGAGAAAAAGCTAATACATAGCACACATATGTCCCCTGAATTGTTCTATACATATGCCAGTATTCGCACTACAAAAACACAATTCCATTCCAATATGATATATTCAATCTACATTTATATCACAATGTTTTATTTCTATTAACCCTAATTAGCTAATAGGTTATTTTTCTTCCTTGCTTTTGTGTGTTAGTGGATTTGTTTTCGTCTTCCAATCTGAAAGATTCAGTTTCAAACTTGCTATAAGTTATAACTCTTAAACATGTGATGCCCAGTTTGGATTTCCAATCAGAATGATTCCTTTTACAATGTATTGGTCTTGTTATTCAGTTTGTCCGTGTGTTCTGCACTTAACAACAGAACAGACGAATATGACATTTTTTTCTTCAAATCTTCAATGTTAGTGCTTTAAAAATAAGGATTATAAACATAAGTACGTTGAACGGTTATGATTGTAAATCACATGTAAAAAACGGCTTAAATTTGGTATACAGGTTTTAGGTAGCACTGCAGCACCTGTAGCTACATGTTTCACGTTTGATTTGTTTGTTAGCTGTGTGCTTCAAAAATATAGAAATAGATATATAAAAAAACTCACTTATTTTTCAGCTTTACTGTAGCACACCAAAAATCACTCACTTGTGTTGTTGTTTTGGTTAATAATTAAAATACTAAATGTTATTTAATCTTTCAGAACCTGGGTCCTATGGTGGCCAGATTCGTACCCTTTGCCGCTGTAGCCGCCGCCAACTGTATCAACATTCCGTGTATGAGGAGCAGGTGAGGACCACAGGTCATTGCATGGGTAGAGGTATTGTTAGAGGATAACATTCCTTGTATGAGGAGCAGGTGAGGACCACAGATCATTGTATGGCTAGAGGTATTGTTAGAGGTTAACATTCCGTGTATGAGGAGCAGGGGAGGACCACAGGTCATTGTATGGGTAGAGGTATTGTTAGAGGTTAACATTCCGTGGATGAGGAGCAGGTGAGCACCACAGGTCATTGCATGGGTAGAGGTATTGTTAGAGGATAACATTCATGGTATGAGGAGCAGGTGAGGACCACAGGTCATTGTATGGTAAGAGGTATTGTTAGAGGATAACATTCCGTGTATGAGGGGCAGGTGAGCACCACAGGTCATTGTATGGATAGAGGTATTGTTAGAGGATAACATTCCGTGCCTGAGGAGCAGGTGAGGACCACAGGTCAGTGTATGGGTAGAGGTATTGTTAGAGGATAAAATTCCGTGTATGAGGAGCAGGTGAGGAACACAGGTCATTGTATGGGTAGAGGAATTGTTAGAAGATAACATTCCGTGTATGAGGAGCAGCTGAGGACCACAGGTAATTGTATGGGTAGAGGTATTGTTAGAGGATTACATTCCGTGCATGAGGAGCAGGTGAGGACCTCAGGTCAGTGTATGGGTAGAGGTATTGTTAGAGGATAAAATTCCGTGTATGAGGAGCAGGTGAGGAACACAGGTCATTGTATGGGTAGAGGAATTGTTAGAAGATAACATTCCGTGTATGAGGAGCAGCTGAGGACCACAGGTAATTGTATGGGTAGAGGTATTGTTAAAGGATATCATTCCGTGCATGAGGAGCAGGTGAGGACCACAGGTCAGTGTATGGGTAGAGGTATTGTTAGAGGATAAAATTCCGTGTATGAGGAGCAGGTGAGGAACACAGGTCATTGTATGGGTAGAGGAATTGTTAGAAGATAACATTCCGTGTATGAGGAGCAGGTGAGGGCCACAGGTCATTGTATGGGTAGAGGTATTGTAAGAGGATAACATTCCGTGTATGAGGAGCAGGTGAGGATCACAGGTCATTGTATGGGTAGAGGTATTGTTAGAAGATAACATTCCGTGTATGAGGAGCAGCTGAGGACCACAGGTAATTGTATGGGTAGAGGTATTGTTAGAGGATTACATTCCGTGCATGAGGAGCAGGTGAGGACCTCAGGTCAGTGTATGGGTAGAGGTATTGTTAGAGGATAACATTCATTGTATGAGGAGCAGGGGAGGACCACAGGTCATTGTATGGGTAGAGGGATTGTTAGAGGATAACATTCATTGTATGAGGAGCAGGGGAGGACCACAGGTCATTGTATGGGTAGAGGTATTGTTAGATGATAACATTCCGTGTATGAGGAGCAGGTGAGGGCCACAGGTCATTGTATGGGTAGAGGTATTGTAAGAGGATAACATTCCGTGTATGAGGAGCAGGTGAGCACCACAGGTCATGGTATGGGTAGAGGTATTGTTAGAAGATAACATTCCGTGTATGAGGAGCAGCTGAGGACCACAGGTAATTGTATGGGTAGAGGTATTGTTAAAGGATATCATTCCGTGCATGAGGAGCAGGTGAGGACCACAGGTCATTGCATGGGTAGAGGTATTGTTAGAGGATAACATTCCGTGCCTGAGGAGCAGGTGAGGACCACAGGTCAGTGTATGGGTAGAGGTATTGTTAGAGGATAACATTCATTGTATGAGGAGCAGGGGAGGACCACAGGTCATTGTATGGGTAGAGGGATTGTTAGAGGATAACATTCATTGTATGAGGAGCAGGTGAGGACCACAGGTCATTGCATGGGTAGAGGTATTGTTAGAGGATAACATTCCTTGTATGAGGAGCAGGTGAGGACCACAGATCATTGTATGGATAGAGGTATTGTTAGAGGTTAACATTCCGTGGATGAGGAGCAGGTGAGCACCACAGGTCATTGCATGGGTAGAGGTATTGTTAGAGGATAACATTCCTTGTATGAGGAGCAGGTGAGGACCACAGATCATTGTATGGCTAGAGGTATTGTTAGAGGTTAACATTCCGTGTATGAGGAGCAGGTGAGGATCACAGGTCATTGTATGGGTAGAGGTATTGTTAGAAGATAACATTCCGTGTATGAGGAGCAGCTGAGGACCACAGGTAATTGTATGGGTAGAGGTATTGTTAAAGGATATCATTCCGTGCATGAGGAGCAGGTGAGGACCACAGGTCAGTGTATGGGTAGAGGTATTGTTAGAGGATAACATTCATGGTATGAGGAGCAGGTGAGGACCACAGGTCATTGTATGGTAAGAGGTATTGTTAGAGGATAACATTCCGTGTGTGAGGAGCAGGTGAGCACCACAGGTCATTGTATGGATAGAGGAATTGTTAGAGGTTAACATTCCGTGTATGAGGAGCAGGTGAGCACCACAGGTCATTGTATGGGTAGAGGTATTGTTAGAAGATAACATTCCGTGTATGAGGAGCAGGTGAGGACCACAGGTAATTGTATGGGTAGAGGTATTGTTAGAGGATAACATTCCGTGCATGAGGAGCAGGTGAGGACCACAGGTCAGTGTATGGGTAGAGGTATTGTTAGAGGATAAAATTCCGTGTATGAGGAGCAGGTGAGGAACACAGGTCATTGTATGGGTAGAGGTATTGTTAGAGGATAACATTAGGTGAAGTGTCGAGCAAATAATCAGGGAAAGTTTAAGATATCAGGTCATTGTATGGGTAGAGGTATCGTTAGAGGATAACATTCCGTGTATGAGGAGCGGGTGAGGACCACAGGTCATTGTATGGGAAGAGGTATTGTTAGAGGATAACATTCCGAGTATGAGGAGCAGGTGAGCATCACAGGTCATTGTATGGGTAGAGGTCTTGTTAGAGGATAACATTCCGTGTATGAGTAGCAGGTGAGGACCACAGGTCATTGTATGGGAAGAGGTATTGTTAGAGGATAACATTCGGTGTATGAGGAGCAGGTGAGGACCACAGCTCATTGTATGGGTAGAGGTATTGTTAAAGGATAACATTCCGTGTATGAGGAGCAGGAGAGGACCACAGGTCATTGTATGGGTAGAGGAATTGTTAGAGGATAACATTCCGTGTTTGAGGAGCAGGTGAGCATCACAGGTCATTTTATGGGTAGAGGTATTGTTAGAGGACAACATTCATTGTATGAGGAGCAGGTCAGGACCACAGGTCATTGTATGGGTAGAGGCATTGTTAGAGGATAAAATTCCGTGTATGAGGATGTATGAGGAGCAGGTGAGGACCACCGGTCATTGTATGGGTAGAGGTATTGCTAGAGGATAACATTCATTGTATGAGGAGCAGGTGAGCACCACAGGCCATTGTATGGGGAGAGGTATTGTTAGAGGATAACATTCATTGTATGAGGAGCAGGTGAGCACCACAGGCCATTGTATGGGGAGAGGTATTGTTAGAGGATAACATTAGGTGAAGTGTCGAGCAAATAATCAGGGAAAGTTTAAGATATCAGGTCATTGTATGGGTAGAGGTATCGTTAGAGGATAACATTCCGTGTATGAGTAGCAGGTGAGGACCACAGGTCATTGTATGGGTAGAGGCATTGTTAGAGGATAAAATTCCGTGTATGAGGATGTATGAGGAGCAGGTGAGGACCACAGGCCATTGTATGGGTAGAGGTATTGTTAAAGGATAACATTCCGTGTATGAGGAGCGGGTGAGGACCACAGGTCATTGTATGGATAGAGGAATTGTTAGAGGTTAACATTCCGTGTATGAGGAGCAGGAGAGGACCACAGGTCATTGTATGGGTAGAGGTAGAGGTATTGTTAGAAGATAACATTCCGTGTATGAGGAGCAGATGAGCATCACAGGTCATTGTATGGGTAGAGGTCTTGTTAGAGGATAACATTCCGTGTATGAGGAGCGGGTGAGGACCACAGGTCATTGTATGGATAGAGGAATTGTTAGAGGTTAACATTCCGTGTATGAGGAGCAGGGGAGGACCACAGGTCATTGTATGGGTAGAGGTATCGTTAGAGGATAACATTCCGTGTATGAGGAGCGGGTGAGGACCACAGGTCATTGTATGGGTAGAGGTATTGTTAGAGGATAACATTAGGTGAAGTGTCAAGCAAATAATCAGGGAAAGTTTAAGATATCCCATTTTCGACTTTGTGTATTCTGAGCGATACATTGATGCTTGAAGTATATAGTTTTAACAAATACGATAAGTGAATCTGATTTTTATTCCTGTTATTTGTGACATACAGGGAAATGCTGACACTGTTAAGGGTGATTTTCGTGACAAATAATTGTACTTATTTTTTAGATTAACGTCATTTAATAGCCCACTAAATGAGTCTAATTTCAAGATGAGACACAAGGGATAAAAGGTAATTTTAGTGGTGAAAACTCTGCTTTTGATAACTAAAGATATAATTCCTCCTATAGGGAACTGATGGAAGGGATCGCCTTAATGGATCAGGACAGGAATGACCTAGATCTGACATCAAAGACGGCTGCCAGAAAGGCCATAGGCATGGTGGTGGTCTCTAGGATACTCATAGCTACGCCTGTTATGGGTGAGTGATAATCTCTGAGGTACTCATAGCTACGCCTGTTATGGGTGAGTGATAAGTAATGGTTATTGCATGGTTTTCGAGTGACAAGGGATTTATTACACCCGAGCGATGCGAGTGTGTAATAAGTCCCGAGTGACGAGAAATCATGCAATAACTGGCTTACTGCATGCTTCCCAACTCGAACAGAACAGAAAAGTTGAGTAAAAAATGTTCACCTGGACAATCTTTTTACCTACCCTACACTGCAGATAGTTTACATGTACCTATGTGAGTGAGTACTAATCATAACCAGGTAAGATTCTCAATAGCCCAGTCTGAGTGTATCCTTCATAATGGATTTTGGATTACTATCCAGGTCCAGTGTCAGGGAAGGTAAGGAGTGTCTGTTCAAAATACGGGAAACAATGTTGAATTTCTGACTACATTTTCAGTTTAATTTTCAAGATGTGGCAAAGGTACAGGATATTGAAACCATTTTCATATACACAATGTAACGGTTTATCAATCCCTAAGGAATTCCAGTTCTTTCAATGAATGGTATATTTGAATGTGCAATTTTGTATATAGGAACAGCTCATTAAGATTATAAACTTTTCCGGGAAATGCTTATCCTCTCACGTGATAAGGAAATCTGTTTGTGTTTATCAGTCATGAAATTACCATTTTTAACTTTCATTTTTTCCCCTTATTTGAAATGTGTCAACTAAGTTTATCCTCTACTGTATTGACTTCATCGTTACTCACTGATTTATTATCTCCCCTTTCTTACAGCATTTGTGGCCACAGTCCACTGGGCACACCCCCTTTCATGGTCATGTAATCATGATTGGCCTTGAAAGGGGATTATGTGTGCAGTGGACTGTGGTAGCAAGTGATTTATTGCCCACACTTTTCCATTGTGAGAGGTGGGAAGTATGTAGTAATCTCTGTGGTACTCATAGCTACGCCTGTTATGGGTGAGTGATAATCTCTAGGATACTGATAGCTACGCCTGTTATGGGTGAGTGATTATCTCTGAGGTACTTATAGCTACGCCTGTTATGAGTGAGTGATAGTCTCTGAGGTACTTATAGCTACGCCTGTTATAGGTGAATGATAATCTCTGAGGTACTCATAGCTACTCCTGTTATGGGTGAGTGATAATCTCTGAGGTACTCATAGCTACGCCTGTTATGGGTGGGTAATACTATCTGAGGTACTCATAACTACGCATGTTATGGGTGAGTGATAATCTCTGAGGTACTCATAATTACGCCTGTTTTTGGTGATTGATAATCTCTCTGGTACTCATAGCTACGCCTGTTATGGGTGAGTGTTAATCTCTGAGGTACTCATAGCTACGCCTGTTATGGGTGAGTGATAATCTCTGAGGTACTCATAGCTACGCCTGTTTTGGGTGAGTGATAATATCTGAGGTACTTATGGCTACGCCTTTTATAGGTGAGTGATAATATCTGAGGTACACATACCTACGCCTGTTATGGGTGAGTGATCGTTTCTGGTATACCCATAGGAACACATGTTACGGTTGCTTATCGTTCCCATGATACCCTTAACAACGCCTGTTATGGATGAATGATTGTTTCTAGGACTATCGTAGTAACGTACGCCATGATAGAGTATCGTCTTTATAATAATCATAACAATGTCCACCACGGGTGAGTGAAGCCAAATGTTGATGACAAAAGGTCAACCGATATTGTTACTCATTTTTTTCTACAGCTTATTGCCACTTTGAAAACATAAAACAAATGTTTTCTTATGCAATTTATTCCGCGGCTAGTCGTAAAACCTTGGTTGGGATGGCTACAAGTCGTGGTTTCTCACACATTTTTAAAGGTGGCTCCTACTAGCAATTTAACATATATGTCCTTCATTTTTTTGTCAAAATGATAATACACGTATTTGTTTGATTGGAAGGATTCAGTTTCAGGAGGGAGTAGCAGCTCTGGCAGAAATATGTTATTGATTTGTTCCCTTATTTGAATTGTTTTATCCGGAAACAGACATTGTCAACTGTTAAGGTTATCCCATCTCTAGTGTTGTCCCACTGCTAGTGTGACCAGGCCCCAATTACTGTTGTTACAATGGGTCTGTTTCTAGCGAAAATTTAATTTTAAATCGCACTTAATATAATAGCGACAAAATATGATTGAAAATTGAAGTATATATTGCACCTAACAAAAACAAGCTAAATAGAAAGGGGCCGTACAAATCTAATTACTAAATGCCCATCTTTACAGTAACGACATGATTATTTGATATATTACAATAATATGTATTTCTACATTTTTTTCGGAAGTCTTTGGATATAGATTTCAATTATTTTGATCTTTAGCACTACTAATGAGTCCTAATTGGACAAAATGGTAATATGATAAATAAAAGAGTATTACTCTGGTTATTTGCATACTAAAATTTTAGATAAGTACGTCCTTCTTCGATATTCTAAAGATACTATATGCATATGGGTTCATCGACGAGTGACTATTATACATCATGTTTCTGAAATTAAAGTTAGTTAAGTTGCTTCTTTCTAACCCCTCTTTTCCTGATGATATGATGATATACAAACAATCACAATGTTTTGGCAGCAGCAACATAATTAAGTTATTTTACCTAATTTTATTAGTATTGTTCGTTTTTAATCAATTCAACCCGTTCTCATATGACCAAGGCTGTTGCGAGGACGTTACCCCCTCCTTCCCCCCCCCCCCAAAAAAAAGATAAATTCAGAAAAAATCCTTAACCTAAACACTTGTAAAATCTCAGCATCCATTTTGAATATCTGTAATCGAAGGACACGAAGACAAACATAAAAGACTCAAATAGATTCCTACCGTATGGTCAACAAAACCATATTCTAACTCAAAATGATTAACACGAGGGCACAATATGAACAATGGAAATATTTACAAGGAGACCCTTGAAAAAAGTCCAATAAGACCAGGTGTTCCAGGAGGGTAATCGTCTTCTTCTTCTTTGACGTCACCATGCATGCAATCTAGGTCAACGTTGTCACGTCCTCATAACGGGAACGGGGGTAGTGACAACAAAAACACACGGCATAATCAACCGACACGGTCGAAAGTTAAGGATTTAAACCAATTAAAGTGGCTGAGCAATGTGTAAATCACGAACGCGTTGCTTAGATATTAAGCGACCGGTTGATATATAGGAAAAAAGATTCTATGATAACCGTTTCCACAATCGAGGTTGAAATAAAGCACATTGTGCTTAACCTGTATACAAGTCGGTGAGGTGACTAGCAATTGTTATTCATTTTGTACTACTGTGCGGCCAGAGACAGACAACTTATTATTTTCTTGTTTTAGTTATACCTCCCCTCGTTATGAATCAGCTGGACAAAAAGGCCCTGATGAAGGTATGTGCTATTTTATAGAACATTGAATTGTCTTTACAAAAACTAAATGCTAATACAACAGTCTACTGGTTCACATTCTAGCCCGAGGATATGTGTATCACACGAAGTAATACTCCATTTATCTGTGGTTTTACACATTAAACTAACCTTTCAATTTGCGAAGAGATCTTTTGTGACAGAATCGGAGTAATAAATATTGACAACAATTTCTTAAAGACAGAAATTTTGCATCTTTATGTGATTATTTTTAAAAATCTGAATTGAGCCTTATGCATTATCATAACATCACTGCTGTAATTGTAGTGTAACTATTTGTATCGCTGTTTCATTTATAGAGAGCTCCCTGGTTGAATGCCCCTATTCAAGTGATGTTGGTTGGTTTTATGTAAGTATAACAGGAACTCCTTACCTAAATCGATCGTCATGTAATTAATAACAAACCCATGATTAAACCGAGGTATGTGTTGTATACTGATAATCACCTTTCTTAACTCGATATCGTGTTAGTACAATAACGACATATATATTGGTAACATCTAAATTCACTCAAACCTGTCATAAATGCCGTCAGACATCAGACACGGTTTACTACATATGTATTATGTTTTAATTAGCCTTTATACTCGATTAATTACCGACACATTTTAAGTGATCTACAATTTGTTTTATGCAGTTTGGCCTTCGCTACCCCTCTATGCTGCGCACTTTTTCCACAGAAAAGGTTTGTAACTGTTGTCAAAAAATAAATGTATTCCAATGTATCGGATTGATAAAATGAGAAAATACACCGTGATGTTTTAAACGGTAATGCACTTTCGATAATCTGTATTTTTCGTTAATGTTTCCTTGGAATTCAAAGGTTCAAACTAAGTTACGTTATTATTTTTAGTTCTATGGACGTCAGCAGCTTAGAGGCAGAAGTCCGTAAGAAGTTAGAAGCACTCCCGAACCCACCAAAGACGGTTTACTTCAACAAAGGATTATAAAAAAGGCCTCGCAGAATTCTATAGACTGTTGAAGACGACAGCTGACCAAATAAAACATAGAAGAGAACAAGACAATGATATCACTCACTGGTGTTTGGAGAGCATGTGGAAGAACAAAGGATGCTTTTTATATGTGTGGAGTTAAATCTCGAAAATACGAAAATAAGAGTATCCTGTCAGACATTCATAAAGAATAAACCATCCTTAATATATATATATATATATATATATATATATATCTATATATATATAATTTATATGATAAAAGTGAAAATATTGACAAACGCTTATTTTCAGCGAAGTGACATTACTTTTCTCGATAAAAGGAAGCAATATTTTTATTCAACTTAACTTTACATGAGAAATACAATTATCCAACAGTTCATGTATAATAACGTTCGGCCGGGAAGTGGATGGATAACACGAGCAATATCTGCACATTGTGCAGCAGAAATCGGTAGTTACTGCAGTGTTAAAAAATCCGAAACCTTAACTTTTTAAAACCCAAGACAGATATATCGCAAACTAGGAACAGTTTGAACTGTTGTTTTCAACAAAAAAAAATGTTATAAAATAATTGTATTTGTTGATAATGCTTTAATAACATATTGTTTATGAATCTCATTCTCTTTGTAATCTGTTATCAATTATTTCTCTGTTTTGCTTCAAGTGTATATCTGGTTGGTCATGTGAATAAACGTGATCAAGAAACTGAACTAGGGTAGTGGAGTGTTAAGTTATATTTTAGCATGTATCGAGTACCTTATTTGTCAGTGAGATTAAGTAAGAGACGATATCTCTCTGTGTTGGGTGTTACATATATCACCCTAAAATAACGTGATGGTAGCTGTATACTAAACTATCACCAAGTCTCTAAATAACTACTATATATATAATTGGTGATTTGTGCCATAATAACATATGTTCAAAGGATTTGCGTCACGAAATAAAAAAAAATTGAAACAATCCATAGGAATAGTTTGGTATATTTTAATGTGTGTCGTGTGTAATAAAACCTCTCATTAACATTTCATTCCTTGTTCTTCATTTTGTGATCAAAAAGTGAGTAATTATACAAAATAAGGTAAAATTATTGATAAAACGAATCTAGAAAGAACTTTAATATCATAGACATTTGTTTTCCATTGTACGTCCGATGTAATATTCATGTGTAAATTCACAAACTTGACAAATCATCGTATTTCTATTGTATAAAATGTTTAAGGCGGTAGGCGTAACATGGCAGTATTTATTTCCAATAATATTGAAGGTTATTCTTTGCATAAGATTCAAGCGAAGCATCTGAAGACAAAAAGGCAAATTTGCTTTTAAGTTTTAAAGATTCTCATCACAAACATTATTTTAAACATTAACGACAGGACTCTGTCTGATAGTGCAATGGCGTGGCTGGTGGTAAACAATCAACTTACAGACCTGTATGGTGGTAAACAATCAACTTACAGACCTGTATGGTGGTAAACAATCAACTTACAGACCTAGCTGTATGGTGGTAAACAATCAACTTACATACATGTATGGTGGTAAACAATCAACTTATAGACCTAGCTGTATGTGGTAAACAATCAACTAACAGACCTGTAAGGTGGTAAACAATCAACTTACAGACCTAGCTGTATGGTGGTAAACAATCAACTTACAGACCTAGCTGTATGATGGTAAACAATCAACTTACATACCTGTATGGTGGTAAACAATCAACTTATAGACCTAGCTGTATGGTGGTAAACAATCAACTAACAGACATGTATGGTTGTAAACAATCAACTTACAGACCTAGCTGTATGGTGGTAAACAATCAACTTACAGACATGTATGGTGGCAAACAATCAACTTACATACCTAGCTGTATGGTGGTAAACAATCAACTTACAGACCTAGCTGTATGGTGGTAAACAATCAACTTACAGACCTGTATGGTGGTAAACAATCAACTTACAGACCTAGCTGTATGGTCGAAAACAATCAACTAACAGACCTGTATGGTGGTAAACAATCAACTTACAGACCTAGCTGTGTGGTCGAAAACAATCAACTAACAGACCTGTATGGTGGTAAGCAATCAACTTACAGACCTAGCTGTATGGTGGTAAACAATCAACTTACAGACCTGATGTGTGGTAAACAATCAACTTACATACCTGCATGGTGGTAAACAATCAACTACAGACCTGTATGGTGGTAAACAATCAACTTACAGACCTGTATGGTGGTAACCGTCAAATGAAAGGCATCTGTCTGGCTGTAGGAGTCAAAATAGCCTTGTATGGTTGTAAAAATCCATCTAGATGGCCCCATACTCGTAGTAAGTAATCAAATAATCAACTTAAGGGACCTGTTTAGTGTTGAAGAGGCAGACTTACCCTGTCTGGTGGTGAATATTGTTAATAAGTTATTTATAAGGCACGTTTTATATATATATATATATATATATGTGGCAGCGACGATATTTGTGATATATAGAAGACTGAAGTTCCAGCCCGATATAAATATTTTGGAAAGAATGGAATCTAGCAAAACAATCGCCATCATTGACCGAGAATACAAAAGAGAATGTGTATGATATGGCTTAAATAAGCGTATATGTTAGTAAGTGGCCATGTTCTCTTGTCAACAAGGGTCTATCCTGAGCAACATTTTGTCCTTCACCACATACAAAGCCTAACTTTTGCGATGAGTGCCTTTGTTTACAATGATGATCAGGATCCTTTCTGTAGACTGGGCGATGTTTGATCTCCATGGGCCATGAAAGTTCTCTGATATCACATTTGGTCACAAGGAGAAAGCAATGGTTCTGTAAAGTATCCCTCGTAATATCCACTATTATGACACACCATTAATAGGAAACAAAGAGTAGACCATAGTTTATATTTGGTAAAGATCCAAAGTATTTTTTGTTTGTGGTTTTGCTCCCCACTGTCTTTGATATGTGAGTTGGGTTGACCTTTATGTTCATAACTTGTTTTTTTCTGCTGGCAGGACTATAAGTTGCAAACCCTGTCAATTGTGTAGGTTAGGATGATTTTTAAGAGACCAGGCTGTGGTAATTGTACTGTCGCCATAATGATACGATTACCTTCTATTGGTTTTCAGCCTCTGTAATGACTTTAAAAGACTTGTTCGCCTGTCACACATCGTCGGTACATCAATGTACATAGTTTTTGCCAGAATTTCCCAGACGACATGATGGTGTCACTATGTCGTGCAGGAAGGAATTACACTTCCTGGTACTTTTTTCACTAGGGATGTAACACCATATCGTATAATATCGTGATACTTTATTGTATATCATATCGTATTGATTTGTTTGACTGTATAGTTATACACTATCAGTACTGAAACATTGAAGAATTATCATTTTATAAAAGTAAACATTTCAAAACTTATGTTCCACCTTGACGGGTTATCCTTTTTTTAAAAGCAAACATTTTCAAACTTATGTTCCACCTTGACGGGTTATCCTTTTTTTAAAAGCAAACATTTTCAAACTTATGTTCCACGTTGACGAGTTATCCTTTTATAAAAGCAAACATCTCCAGACTTATGTTTCACGTTGACGGATTATCCTTTTTTAAAAGCTAACATTTCTGTCCCACGTTGACGGGTTATCCTTTTTTAAAAGCAACCATCTCCAAACTTATGTTTCACGTTGACGGATTATCCTTTTTTAAAAGCTAACATTTCTGTTCCACGTTGACGGGTTATCCTTTTTTAAAAGCAAACATCTCCAGACTTATGTTTCACGTTGACGGGTTATCCTGTTTTAAAAGCAAACATCTCCAAACTTATGTTTCACGTTGACGGATTATCCTTTTTTAAAAGCAAACATCTCTAAACTTATGTTCCACGTTGACGGATTATCCTTTTTTGTTTTTTGATAGCAAACATCTCAAAACTGTTGCTCTACGTTGAAGGGTCATCCTCTTTTGTTTTTTGATAGCAAACATCTCAAAACTGTTGTTCTACGTTGAAGGGTCATCTTTTTTTGTTTTTTGATAGCAAACATCTCCAAACTTATGTTCTACGTTGAAGGGTCATCCGTTTTTGTTTTTTGATAGCAAACATCTCCAAACTTAAGTTCTACGTTGAAGGGTCATCCTTTTTTGTTTTTTGATAGCAAACATCTCCAAACTTAAGTTCTACATTCTACGCCTAAATTGTTATGTATGTTTTACAATGACATTAAACCCTTAACTTCGTGTAATGGGCTTAAGAGTGATTTTTTTTAAACTTATCTAGTAATATTTCAAAGATTTTCAATATGAAATAAAGGGTAAAAATTTCAAAACACCATCTCTAACTCTACGATTATCAGAGCTTTGACCTTACAGTGTTGGTATAGTTAATGATGTTGGTTATTATGTATTTGGGTAAACACTTAAATAAGTAATGTGGATTACATATTTAAACAAGAGGCCCAATAGGCCTGCATCGCTGACCTGGTATTCATCTCACACTTGTAACCTTAAAAGTGATCTAAAATAAGACAAAATATCAGTATTTATGACTTAAAGTCATTCAAAAGAACCTGTTAAAAGAATTCAAAACATTTGACCCCTGTGACCTTGAAAGTCTAACAAGGTCAATACAATGAACAAACTTAATAGCCCTTCATCTCAGCATGCAACTCTCCAAATATCACCACCCTAGACCTTTTCTTTAATGAGATAGGGTCATTTAAATGTTTATACATATCTGACCAAATGTGATCTTGAAAGTGGGTCAAGGTCACTCAAATGACATGATAGCCTTTCATCCAAGCATGCAACTGCCCAAATATCAACATTCTGGGCCTCATGGTTATTCAGAAGAAGTTGTTTACAGATTTTTATCATATTTGATTCCATTTATTTGAACAAACTTGATAGCCCTTCATCCTAGCATACTACTTGCCAGATATCATCACCCTTGCCCTTTTGGTTTTTCAGAAAAGGTTGTTTAAAGATTTTAAACATAATGACCCCAGTGACCTAGAATATAGGTCAAGGTAAATCAGCTTAACAAACTTGGTAGCCCATCATCCTATCATGCTACTGGCCAAACATCATCACCCTGGTCATTTTTGTTATTCAGAATTTTTTTAAAGGTTTTAAACATATTTGATACATGTAACCTTGAATATACATGTAGGTCAAGGTCATTCATTTCAACAAATATGGTAGCTCTTCATTCTAGCATGATATCATTACCCTAAGATTTTCGGTTATTCAGAAGAAATCATTTAAATATATTTAAACGTATTTGATCCCTGTGATTTTGACTATAATTCAAGGTCATTTATTTGAACAAAGTTGGTAGCACTTCATCTGAGTATGCTAATGGACAGATATCATCTTCCTGGATCTGATGGTTATTTAGAAGAAATTGTTTTCAGATATTTTATAGACAAATGATCCCTGTGACCTTGAATATGAGTGAAGGTCATTCATCAGCACAAGCTTGTTAGCCCTACATCCCAGCATGCTTCTGTCCAAATATCATCACCCTGGGCATTTTAACATATGTGACCCCTGTGACCTTGAATATTTGTGAAGGTTATTCATTTGAAAACTTGGCAGCCATTTGTCTGTTTGCTTCTGGCCAAATATCATCACCCTAGGCCTTTTGGTTATTAAGAAGATGTTGTTCAAAGTAAAATATTGACGCCGGACGGCCAGGTGAGCTTACAATGAGTAATGAAATTCTATTTTAAGCAGAAAACACTGAAAATGTCTCGGCCACCATGATTGGAAGGTAAATAATAAATAGTTGAGCAATGTTTAATGATCTGGCCTGAACTTATGGCATTGAGATGTGTCCATCTGTTTTATCCATTGTCCTGACCAAGAGGGTTATTGTTACTTTTGGGTCAATATGAGATTTAAGATAGTCACCATGATACCAAATAGAAAGAAATATTTACAAAGAAAAAACAGGTCAGTAATTCAGGTCTTCTGAGCCTCTTGTTGAATTGTTTATAATGTTGAATCTCAGATTTCATGAAAGTATTTTGTAACCCCTGATGCCTTAAAGCATGGAGAGATGATAAGACGATCAGCTGTTTTTAACAATCTAAAATTTAGAGAATTTATTTAGTTACCTATTTTATTTTTATGATTCATTTCTGAATTTGAGATTCACTATATAACATTTGCTAGTAAAATGTAAAAAGTTCAGGCTTTTTTTATATGAACATACTGCATTGGAACAACAGTAACTTATATCAGCAAACGGAAATACCTGCATTAGTTTACATTGTTTAAACGAGTTGTGCAACACTCTGGATTTCCTATTTTAGGAATACAATGACACTTGAATTTGAAAATGTATCTAAATACTCCAATAATAAAATTTGCAGTTTATAGTTTTTTTTCTTCTTGTGAAATTACAACAAATATATAAGAATACAAAAAAATGTACATAATAAATATTTATTCAAGGTAGTTGGCTTATTGTTCAAAGTAAATTCTGCATGGAAAAAATAATACCAGTAATTTACTTTAAATCACATGAATTTTCACTGTTACAGTACAAATCCATTATCACAGAGAAAGTCCGAGGAATGTTCTGGCGAGGTTGTCTCTCCAGACATGTACTAGAGTGGTCCCACTTGGGTGGGTTACGTCTGGTCGACATCTATTGTGAGGTCGACTTTCTCCATCTGTGTGGAGGTGGTCATGCCGCCTCCTCTCAGGCCTGCCAAGAACACCTGGGGGCGGGGGACATTGGTGTAGGCATCAGTCTTTGTCTGGGTCGTGTTTTCTCTGTAAATAAACAAGGAGACAACCATTAGTCATGCGGATCCACTATTCAGTTTTGTATGTGGAGTGCATTGATGACATAAACACTCCTCACATCTGTTACAGTTTTTTTAATTTTTGCAAATTGAAATATTACAAAAAATATATATAATACTTTATTTGAAGAACACACCAGATTTTGATCATTAGGATTTTTTTTCAACAACAATTTCAGCAGCTGATTAAATTTAATCTTAAAATGATTATAAGGGGACAGAAGCATACTTGGGTGGCCAGACTTGGATGGCAGTGTCTCTCCTCATATTGCTGAGGTTGGTCTGTACAGAATGTGTTATACGTGTTCGCAGGTTAGCCTGGAATCAAAACAAAGAAATGATCATCATAGAACTGTTTCTGACACTGAGAGTAGTCACAGAGACCTCACAATTATATCACAGTCACTGTATACACTGGTCTAGAAGTTAAACAATCTGTTCTGAGTGTTATTGTTGAATACTCCAATACATTAAAACAAGTCAAATGCTTTAACCCAGAAAATTAAATGCATTCAAAGATGACATTATTTTAGATGCAATTTTCCAGAACAGTTGTGATTGTTTGCCATCTGTGGACTCCTACTTACTAGTTTGATGGCCTTCCGTCGGAGTTCCCATTCATTCCACTCGTAGGACTTGACGATGTTGGCCTCTAGGAGATGTGTGTCTGTTTGTGTACCGCTATCACACTTAGTAACAGGCTTCTCTATCATACGTCCCTGGTCCTTACCCTACTCAACGACAAAATAATCTGTGATTGACTTACAGTATGGTAGAGTAAGAAACTCTCACATATGTATGTGTCAGGGAGACGGGGAAATTCTGTTGAGTTATTATTTGGAGTAACAGTCGAGGATCTGCAGTGGGTTTAAATACAAATTCATTAGCATGAAAGTTGAATACCCTGATATTTAAGGGGGTCAGGCTTAAACATGATCCATCTGATTGTAAAGCACATACAATGTAATATAACAGGACCTGCTCTTATAAATATGTGTTTTCTTGGCTTTCAAATACGATATAAGCATTTTAATTTTGAAAAAGTTTAAAAATCTTTTTCAAGGAATAAATTAATTCAAATAGGAGGTTGATTCTTGACAACTTTTTATACCTGTGAGTATGGAGTAATAGAGGCAAATTGTGTATGTAGTTCTAAAAGTTGTATCAGCTCCGGACTCTTCTTAGCACCTTCTGCTACCAATCGTATATACCTAGATATATAGAAATTATCATATCAGATGTAGCCTGATCAGAAATGTATCTTATACAGAAAAATGTTATACTTCCATGTGCACGTCACAAAAGTTGTTGAATCAAAAACTGACGGGTTGAAATGAATGATTTCTATTAGTATTTTTCATAGTTGATATGTGAAAGTGAAGAAAAAGCAAGTACCCAATGCACTGAATTGAACCATGGGATACTCTATGACTGCCATACTGCATTGAACCATGGGATACTCTATGACTGTCATACTGCATTCAACCATGGGATACTCTATGACTGTCATACTGCATTCAACCATGGGATACTCTATGACTGTCATACTACATTGAACCATGGGATACTCTATGACTGTCTCACTGCATTGTAACATGGGATACTCTATGACCGTCATACTGCGTTGAACCATGGGATACTCTATGACTATCATACTGCACTGAACCATTGGATACTCTATGACTGTCATACTGAATTGAACCGTGGGATACCCTATGACTGTCATACTGCATTGACCCATGGGATACTCTATGACTGTCATACTGAATTAAACCATGGGATACTATATGACCGTCATACTGCATTGAACCATGGGATCCTCTATGACTATCATACTGCATTGAACCATTGGATACTCTATGACTGTCATACTGCATTGAACCATGCGATACTCTATGACTGTCATACTGCATTGAACTATGGGATACTCTATGACTGTCATACTGCATTAAACCATGGGATACTCTATGACTGTCATACTCCATTGAATCATGGGATACTCTATGACTGTCATACTGCATTAAACCATGGGATACTCTATGACTGTCATACTGCGTTGAACCATGGGATACTCTATGACTATCATACTGCATTGAACCATTGAATACTCTATGACTGTCATACTGAATTGAACCATGGGATCCTCTATGACTGTCATCCTGCATTGAACCATGGGATACTCTATGACAAGCAAGTACCCAATGCACTGAATTGAACCATGGGATACTCTATGACTGTCATACTACATTGAACCATGGGATACTCTATGACTGTTACACTGCATTGAACCATGGGATACTCTATGATTATCATACTGCATTGAACCATTGGATACTCTATGACTGTCATACTGAAGTGAACCATGGGATACTCTATGACTGTCATACTGCATTGACCCATGGGATACTATATGACCGTCATACTGCATTGAACCATGGGATCCTCTATGACCGTCATACTGCATTGAACCATGGGATCCTCTATGACCGTCATACTGCATTGAACCATGTGATACTATATGACCGTCATACTGCATTGAACCATGGGATACCATATGACCGTCATACTGCATTGAACCATGGGATACCATATGACCGTCATACTGCATTGAACCATGGGATCCTCTATGACTGTCATCCTGCATTGAACCATGGGATACTCTATGACAAGCAAGTACCCAATGCACTGAATTGAACCATGGGATACTCTATGACTGTCACACTGCATTGTAACATGGGATACTCTATGACCGTCATACTGCATTGAACCATGGGATACTATATGACCGTCATACTGCATTGAACCATGGGATACTCTATGACTGTCACACTGCATTGAACCATGGGATACTCTATGACCGTCATACTGCATTGAACCATGGGATACTCTATGACTATCATACTGCATTGAACCATTGGATACTCTATGACTGTCATACTGAATTGAACCATGGGATACTCTATGACTGTCATATTGAATTAAACCATGGGATACTCTATGACTGTCATACTGCATTGAACCATGGGATACTTTATCACTGTCATACTGCATTGAACCATGGGATACTCTATGACTGTCATACTGCATTGAACCATGGGATACTCTATGACTGTCATACTGCATTGAAAACTAAATGGTCACTGGATGCACCATGATCGTAGAAAATTACGAGAATTAAGATGAAAGACAATGTATTCATACATTATAATCATTGTCACATTATGTCACTCTGTCAAGCATAGGGACAAAAACTGTCTTTGTCAACTGATGTCCACGCTGCTGAAAAGGTTCAAATGATTCCATAAACAGTAAGACGGACATACACAGAGTATTATAGTGTTTGTTAGAATTAACATTGAAGTGTTGTTAAGATAAAATCTTACCCGTCTGGATTTTGTGTGAACTCATATGCAGCTTGTTTAGATGAGAATGCATAATAGTGGTCCTTATATCGCAGGACACCTATTTCTGGGTTACTGGGAATCAGCAGACGGTCGAAGTTCCCTAATGCCCACGCACAGAAAGCCTGCAAGCATACAACATGACTTGTATCAGATCATGAAACAAATTAGAAGAAAAAAATAGAAAAAGGTGTATAGCACCATTAATTCTCAGTTAGAAGTCAGGATGAAGTAAGTTTTGAATTCAATTCTGAACATTTGCACAACTTCACCAGACTTGAAGTATAAGGATAGCTTACTCTGTATTGAATGGGAAGTTTGTTGAAGTTCTTTGTTGTTTCTTGATAGAGCCAGTCAAAGTCTTTCAGTTCTTTTGGATTAATTCGGTTTTCAGGTCCACTTGTCTAAAACAAAAACAACACATTACATTAATCCCCATCATTTAATTTTCTCAAATTACTCAAGAAATAGCCAGGAAATTAAACAACTTTACTTATTTACAAATTTTCTAAAAAGTCAAGCTTTCTATTTACTGGGAACACTACAACTGATATCTTGATTTATTCAATCAAAATTAAATTATATTGCATCATCTTCACCAAATTACATGAATTTCGTACAGTAACAAAATGTTAACACTAACCTCTTGTAGTCGTTGTTCGTCTGTCTTTATTGGTGCCCCCTCTAGGAAGGGAGCTAACACCTCATCACTAAACAGTTCTCTGTGTCCCTGGAAACAAAAAACAGTAGGATTGACAACTGGTCTATTGGTGATCATGTTATTAAGGACTCTGAGGAATGACATCAGGAATAATTGTATATTTCCCCACTTTCAAGGTGAGATTAAAGTATCTGCAAAGTGGGGAATGATTCTTTTCTCTCAACACTGAAAAGAATTGTTTTGGTAATAAATGCTCTCTGTGTCAAGTGCTCCAGGCTTGTGGAAATATTACTAAGGAAGCTGAGGAACCATAGAAATAAGTTGAAGGCTGGGGAGAATGTTACTATGGTGACAAAAACAAATAGCCTAGAGAATAGTTGGAGGCTGGGGAGAAAGTTACTATGGTGACAAAAAACTTAGCCTAGAGAATAGTTGAAGGCTGGGGAGAATGTTACTATGGTGACAAAAAACTTAGCCTAGAGAATAGTTGGAGGCTGGGGAGAATGTTACTATGGTGACAAAAAACTTAGCCTAAAGAATAGTTGGAGGCTAGGGAGAATGTTACTATGGTGACAAAAAACTTAGCCTAGAGAATGGTTGGAGGCTGGGGAGAATGTTACTATGGTGACAAAAAACTTACCCTAGAGGATAGTTGCAGGCTGGGGAGAATGTTACTATGGTGACAAAAACCTTACCCTAGAGGATAGTTGGAGGCTGGGGAGAATGTAACTAAGGCAATAAAAGACTTATCCTAGAGAATAGCTGGAGGCTGGGGAGAATGTTACTAAGGCAATAAAAGACTTACCCTTGAGAATGGCTCCAGGCTGGCGAGGATGTTACTAAGAACACTGAGAAGGACCATCTCATCCTGGAAACAGCTCCACAGCTGGGACAGGTGGATAAACTGGGGCTGTAGTGGAAATTATCATATATAAGTAAAGGTCTGGATCATTCCCTCAGTGTAGATAGATGGGAAGATGACAGCACTCAATTCCTTGTATGAAGGTAAAATATTTAATAATGAAGATATATGGGAATTGATACAGTGTTCTGGTGGCTCCAGTATCCCAAGCAATGATTGTTCATACCAGTTCAGCAAGTTAGTCAAAATCTATTTATATTTACAATATAGATATTGGTAATTGTGCACTGTGATGTTTGAAGGTCCTCATGAGGTGAGCTCTGTAGGTGAAGGGATGGTTGTATATTATGTTTAAATAGCAGTGAGTTAAACTACTCACATAAACCTGGGCTGTTGGGACAGCTGTTTTTGACTGGACAGTGGCCTGAAGCTGTTCCATCCTTGTGGCCAGCTGTTGTTCTAGCTGCTCCACCTGCTGAGCACAGCTGATCACATCATTCTAAAAGGGGAGATAATAAATTAATTTAGTAAATGACTTTCAGGAAACTGAATATTCAGTAGAAATGCAAGAATTCTAATGTATGAAGAATTAGAAGAATAGAATGCTGATCACACAAGAAGAACCCTGAACATACACATACCATCCTACTTGACTTTAGAAGTAATACTCACTAAGATGACCCTGAGGAAGGCCTCGTGTTGTCGGGTGTTGATGAGGGAGTCCTTGACGAGTTGTGTTGAAGGGCCTTCTTGACTGTCAGCATTCTGCATCTTCTCTATCAATGCTAGAAAAAGCCAACACAAACATTGTTCAAATCATGTAAACAACTCTTGAACTTAATTAAAATTTGTTTCAAAAGAGGAGTCTTTTTTGTTCCCAACATGATATAGCAGAATGAGACATTCATCCCTGTGACATAGGAATGTCCCCACCTCACTGCCTTATTGATAACAATAATACATTTTTATTTTTAGAAATAGTGACCCTGAAAGTTTCATCAGAAACTTGAAACACAACCTATTTGAGGTATTTAGTACTGATGCCTCATATAAAAATCTAAATAAACTGGGGACAAGTACAGCAATGATGAGCATGTTTCACATATAATGAAAGTGACCTTGATCCCAGGCTCAGAACCATGATATGCACACTTCAAGGTATTTTAGTACATGCACTGAATCCCTGAGTTCATTTTTTTGAGGATGATATGGTGAAATGTTTGAGCACGACTGTTGTATAACACCTACCTGTATAATTGGCAGCACATCTAAGTGTAGCCTGCACCTCGGAGTCAACATTCTGTGTTGTCGCTGGCACAGCCTCATTCAAAATGGCAGGCACTGAAACAGGAAATACACATTCTGATAGAAACAAAATCTGTTACTAAATAATTTTAAAACACTAGAGAAAGGGGATATATTTGTCTTAAACTTGACTAATTAATGAGACCTTAATAGCATGTCAACACAAATGGTAGAAAATAGTCAAAAAGAAAATAAAGTAGATAAGAAAAAAGGATGATTATGATATGTTCCATAATTGAAATTTAATATCTAAATTGACCAAAATCATTGAACTTGATGTCTGTAATGAATGTTTCAGTGACTATAAACAACATCAACAAGAGGCTAGCTAGGCTGGCACACACTTACAATCATCTATGCCCTCTCCTCCCTTGCCACATTCCTTGTTGAACAGTCGGATACCGGTGACAATCATGGTGAGCTCCAGCAGTTGTCTTTCCTTGTCTCGTTTGGTGAGTGACATAAATGTGCCAAGTTCTGTCTGAGGAAACACACTCTGGAGGGCAGCTGTGGAGACAAGGGGAGATCAATCTTTAAATGTTACTATTCTGAAGATATTCTCTGGAGGACAGTGTAGATAAGAGTTACAAGTGCTGTTTTTGAAACAAATCTCAAATGAGTTTTAAAATAATGAAAATCAATATTGATGCCAAGATGTCTCAATTCATACACACTGTCAAGCAGCAGTTGAAGATGACAGTATTCATCAATATATAATATTTACTAAGTAAATACATAATTGCTTACTGCAAAATTATAGCCAAGTATCTGATATAACTAAAATACTTCAGTGACAGCCTCATCTTGACCTCCCTGCCTCAAGGCAGTTTATGGGTAAGAAAAAGGCTAGCAGGTTTTAATATTTTGCATGTTCACCATTGAACTCATTTCCAATGTAGTAAAAATCATCCATCAATTATTGCTTGTTTATCAACAATATTGAAGCTGTTTTTGTACCACTTGTTTATTTAAAATGTATATGTAAGATAATTGGAAAGAAAGGACACTCTACATTGCCTACATAAGCTGAATAGCTGTAATTGACCAACATCAGCCCTCTGACACATGTTACTGTACCTGTAGCCTCCCTGACCACAGCTATGTCTGTGGGGCTCCCTAAGCCAGACCTCAACAGGACAGCAGACACTATTTTACGATACAGACTCTCGAGCTCCTCGCGAGTGCGGGCCCTACTGTCTGTGATCTCTCGGATGACAGGCTGTAGACGAGACTCCAGGACTCGCCTGTGTTCCTCCAGGAAATCAGCTAAACAAAATAAAAGGAATGCCATTCTTAATTAATATATTTTATAAAGTACCTTCAATCTCATTATAAATCCATTACTGTTTGACTGTAAAGACATAAAGATTACTGGTAACCAGGCACTAAAAGTGATGTTGATATTAGACCGTTTTTGTCTTTGGGTTGGTTTTTTACTGGCAAAAAAAAAGTTTGAAAAAATGACATGTACATAAACTGGTTATAAATTATTATTATACCTCTACTTATTTTACATTATACAAAAGTAACCACATAAACAAGCTATTTCCCCTCTAACTGCATGCCAGGGAAATAGTTCGTCTGGAGGGGTGCAATAGTTTTGAAACTATTTCCCTCGGAAAATGCGGGAAATTGAGTGACGTCGTGGGCGGTGCCTGACCGAATATTGACCAATCGGCGCAATCGAATTGCGTCGGCAATTTCCGGCCAGCGGAGCCGGTACTTTCTGGACCGACCTTCACCTTGCATTGTTGTTGACAAACGACAACAGAAATGGCGACCCCCAGGTTTTCTGTCTTGGATGAGAGCGAGTTGTCGGACATATTAAAGGCAAAAGACAGTTGGAACACCAAAAAACCCCAGTACAGGCATACGTTACATTGCTCTCTAGCTACCTCGCTGAAAAGGGTTTGGATATCGTTAATAAAGTGTCCCAACTGTTGAAAATTTGTTGTCTAATACTATTTAGAATATTGTAAGGGAGTGTTTGTATTGGTATAATAAAACAGTTGAAGTATGGGTATTTCGGGATATAGCAAGTTTATGATCCCCCTTGTCCAGGACTATTTCCCTCGGCTTCGCCTTGGGAAATAGTCCTGGCCTCCGGGGGTCATAAACTTGCTATATCCCTCATACCCATACTTGAACTGTTAACTATATTGGTAATAGCTGATATGGGGCAAAGAAGTAATTCCAACAGTGTGGACAAGTTTAGGTGGTCAAATTTTCGGAGCAATCCCCTCCTTTTTCAAGACACAGTGAACACAACAATTAAGGGAGAAACCGGATCATAATAGCTGATATATACAGTATTATCGAAAATCTAATAAAGACTCATTATACTCACATCTAGTAGTGTAATTCATATCAAAGTACACCTGCATTTTCACTGTATCAAGGGAAGGAGACCTGGAGTCCATGAGCCGCTCCACACACAACTGAAAATGATTGTAATTTTTTTTTTGTAAAATTATGCCTTGAATTTTGTTAAAACAGAACATGTTTTACAGTTCAAGTTTTCAATTACATGATCAATTTATTTAACTGTAGTGTAAATACATAGTACATTGATTCTATTGTTTGTAATTCATTCACCAATACGGTTTGCATGTCATATATGGTATTTATCACTGTCTTATCCTGCAAAAATAGGATTCACTCTTTAAATCAAATAATAATTACTATACCTTGATAAGTTTCTGTACATCATCCTTAGTTAATGTTCGATCAACATTAAACTCATTTGATGGTTCCAACACAACAGCTTTCACCTAAAATTGTAATCAAATACACCACTTAACCGAAGCACTTCTAAAAGTAACCAAGTTAAATCAATTTCAAATAAATAATAACTGATTTGTTGATAATAACAAATCGTTTGATTTTAAGGTAAAATAATGTCAACTTCTTTTTCTTTCTGAGTTGCCAAGCAGGAGTCCATACCTACCATGAATGCAACAAGAGTCTCTGATACTGCTTGCCCTTTGCTTGCACATTCTTGAGCAATTTCTCTAATGATGTTTTTAATGACACTTTCTGCTTGTGCTCGTGACATCTTGGCTTTGAATCTGACTTCCTGAATATTAGAAGAAAAAAGTACATATGAAATGACAGTTTTGTATCTTTATCTGTAGATATTACCAACGGATATTACCAACAGATATTACCAATGGATATTACCAACAGATAGGACATTTATTTAGTAAATTTAACGAACAACGTTGTACCATTTTCAGCGGAAAAATTGAATACATGTATAAAAATATAATACAACATACATGTGTGTTACCTTTATTTTCTCAAAGAAAAGCCCTTTTGTCACTATTTTCTTGTATAATCAGAGGCTATGTGGCAATTCAGTAGGGTACACAACACTAATAACAAAACCATCACTTTTATCCATTTAGTTAAATATGTAAGAGAGTGTTTTAAATGGAATACTATGAGTATGTCATGAAAAGAATGCATTGCAACAAAGTTATTTTACAGTATTTGTATTTATATGGTCCAGATGTGAACATAGTTGTTTGCACCATTTTTAATATGGTTCAGAGTGTTTACTTCACCAACAAACCGATCATGTCAATAAACATATGCTGTATATATGTGCAACAATAAAAAAATCAAAGCACTGTGTCTGGACCTCTGACAATATGTAGAAAATTGGCATCTGCATCACTTAATTTTGTAAAGAATGTAGCATATTAACTATACTATTAAGACTCTAATTTAAACATAATGTAAATGTATAAAACACCATAAAACAGCGTTTACACGTGTATGAGTGTCTGCTCATTACATGTAGGTTACACATATTTCCTATCAGTTCGTCTATCGAAAGAAAAACTTCCTGAACCCTCTCTCATGGATATGAATAAATTATGATGACAGTATCAACACTGGCTACTAATTGCAGCGGTAGATTCACTTACATTGTGACATTGAGCAGTAATCTGCATTGTTTTTTATAATATTAATGTTTATTTCAGGAAATAGATCATAGACATCACATGTAACATGACAGTTGACATACATATAACAGTACAACATACATATATATTACTAAAAATATTGAACAGAATATTACAGGTTTTTGGAGCAGTCCAAGGAGCAGGTGATTAATAGAAACAAACTTGCAATAAATGAGGATACGCAAGTTTTTATAACATCTTTAACAATTAGTTGTTAGTTGCTTACACATACCTGTACAATATACCTGAAAGGAAGTCAAACTAGATCACAACAATATCTCTAAAGTGTCTGAGGAAGTCAACTTCCACTGGTGTCCTCCATGTTGTTTATGTCCATGGATACGTCGGGCGCGCGCATATTCCGGAAACAAAATTAAACCACGTGATATCAATGGCCGTCAGCTTCATCCAAAATGATCCAGAGAATGTTACCCGAGATAAGTTTACAGATATATGGCTTTAACATTGTGAAAGCATGATGCAGTGGCACAAAGCCGATAGGAGTCGCAGATATGGAGTCGGTAAGTTATTAATTACATACATTTTAATTGGATAATACAAAGTAAACTTGATTTTTTAAACGAGGAAGTGAGACAGCTTTAGAGAAAGTGATGCTGATATCACAATGCAAAATGCCGACACGCGAACCTGGTATTGTTTATTGTGTTTTATCGAGTAAACAAAAAAACATTTACTGTGTTTCTGTGGATAGCCTCAATTCATTATGCGCCAATTGTTTATTTTTTAAAACATTGATTTCTGAGTCAATATTGACATGACTTCGAAAAAATTAAAAAGCTCGAATTTGTATTGAATGACTTTCATACACAATAACACGGAAGGGACATAATATTTTTTTCTTTTTTTCTTTGTGACGTTTTGTTGAAAAGACATTTAACATAAAGAATAACATGCAAAGCAAAATTCAGCAGTGTCCAAAATCATATATTTTCTCCATATAATTTGTTTATTTTAATTGCATTAAGGATCATTAAGTAAACTTCATTCTAATCCTATGTGTATATTGTACACATACTCTCACATTGATGGTGTGGTCTCACTTTCATTCCAATGGGTTGTTTTTATCATAAGACTCAATGATTTGCTGTTTCATAGTACTAGCCCACAGCTGCAGGTTGATTTTGAAAAAAAATGTTCTAGCCCAACCTAATATATTAATAGTAAATATGGAAAATTTTCACTAGCCGAACATAAAATGAGGTAACCTTGGGTGCCAGGCTAGAGAAAATGTATTCCTCCTAGTCTATTTCGTAAACCTGATCTCTGATATCTAGATGATGCAATTAAATTTGGGAACACAAATATTTTACTTGAATGTGTACATGTATAGTATTGATATAAGCTTCAAACTTCCCTTTTAGTTTTGATTATGTCCCATTTATTTAAATTGAATGTAAATTGAACAATATGCCATATGGTCACACTGGTAAAAGACAAGTTGCCTCCAACTGACTCGGCTAATCGAAAATTTCCCTTTAGCTGATCATTTGGTAGTGTTGGGCTAATAAAACAGAGGTCAAACTTTACTGAGAGCTTTGAAAAAACAATGACGTCTTTTACATTGCATTTTTGGTGTCAATGTAAGAGCTCAGAAAATATTAAAAATGATATGAGCATTGCTCTCACAAGCCTCACTGTTACCCCTGGAATCAAGCGGATGAGATCTCTCCTGAAGGAGGAGTAAATTACTACTTGAAGAAAAAATTTCAGCTTCTGTTAAATGGCGAACAGTCCGTGACTTATGGTTGTTATATTGGGTGTTGGCAATAATTTATATACTAGTAAAATACATAATGCATAATTTGCTGACAATTGTACTTAAAATAATAAGTAAACTAAAAGTTTGTACTGTACATTATACAGGTCTGACGAACGATTAACTAGATCAGCCTTGACCTCATCATTATAAATAGGAAATAGCTATAGCTAGTCATATCAGTACATGTTGAATTATATTAGGCTAACTTATTAAAAAAATATACATAATTAATATGATAAGCTACATACATAACATATTACCAAAGAGCTGTGTTTTATTTGTCTACCTTAATCTTTATAAAGGGAGCTTTTAAATATGTATAATGTAATTATTTAGAATTCCCTGAGTTTTAAACAATATTAATGCATGTTCAGTCTGGTATATATATACTGGTATATATTGTGATCATCAATTACCAAGTCCACTTTTTTTTTTATTTCAAGTAGATCTAACAGTAATAATATGTAAGTTACAAAAGCTTCATATTGTAACATCATAATTATATATCTTGGATGTTATCAATATGAATAAAAGGACAAAACTTATGCAAATATAAATATTGTATCTTATTTTTTAAGTAAACATATTCGTTTATGTATTTTGATTTCATTTATTTGTATATATCATATAGTGATCTATGATTCTAATAATCCCAGGTATATTGGGCTATTGGAATTGTGAACCCCTGCAGACATTTGAATGTTGTAATTGGTTAAGGGGAAATGCTGGAATTATAAACATTAGAGTGAATATGACTGACAATGAGTATAAGTTGTATAATTCAACCACGTTATGGAGGACCAACAATACAAGTACTCAAAACAGGATGAGACTGCAGTGTAGCCTTGATCTTAGCAGTGTGTACATACATATACAGTATACTGTTTATATTTACATTGCGTTTGTATACAAACCATACATGTATATATATTGATCATGACATGCTAGCTAGTGATCAATAGCACAAAATCGCTTACTCACCAGTGACATTTTTATATTCCAGATATATCATTTGATGTATATAAACAAGCTGACAATGTCTATGATTGACAGTCTATGTCTTGACTCTCTACATGTGCTGACTGTGTACTGATCGAGCTATGTTTTGACTGCATGATGTTTTGACTGGACATATAAACATGTATGTGTCTATGTTTTGACTGTGTGTGTGTCTATGTTTTGACTGTACATGACTGTACATGTCTGTTTGGACTGTGTGTGTGTCTATGTTTAGACTGTACATGTCTATGTTTGGACTGTACATTACATGTCTATGTTTGGACTGTACATTACATTTCTATGTTTGGACTGTGTGTGTGTCTATGTTTGGACTGTACATTACATGTCTATGTTTTGATTGTTTGTGTATGTGTGTAGACTGACTACATTTGTATGTGTTTTTGCAGTCAATTTATGTGAATTTGTGCAGTCAGATATGAAAGCATACTGTCCAAATTAAATTCATCTATGGGTAAATTAAAATCTTCCCATGAAATTTACTTATCTTTTACATCTTTATATTTAGCAATGATTAATGCATTAATAGATATTTATCTTGGATAATAAAGTTGATTGGCAACAAACATAAGATGTGGTAAATCTGAGGAATTTAAACAAAGATTGGGAGTGCTTTGATCTACTGCTTTAGTTTCACACCCCACTCTATACATGTATAAACAATATGTAGTGACCTTTATATGTGATGTCTGTATGTGCTACTGTAGCAGGGTGGCATGCCATGATCACTTAAGTCATTAAACTTCAACATATACACACTGTTTATCTTTACTGGCTGCAGACACTTGCCTGTGTTTATATTCCTGGCATATGCATGCTGACAGCTTGTTTTAATGGCATTTAAACGTCAAAGTAGCAGCTGACATTTGATACCAGACACAATGTTTTTCAATATATATAAATTTAAAGCTATCATTCTAGCTGCAGTTTTTGCAACAATGCACATGCAAGCAGTGGCATCCTGTATCGTACCGTAGAAAACAGTATAGCCTGTTAACAGAACTACCTGTACTGTTGTGAAGATGTCAATCAATGATATAGTATAAAGGCACATGTACAGAGTGTACATATATACTCTCACTGATTTCAATGAAACACCATTCTGAGTCATGGCACCTGACATGGTCACAACATAGGTGTACGGCATGCAAATGAATCAGAAGATATATTGATCATAGTAAACTAAAACACAGTTAACCTGATATCTGTTATAATAAAGATGCTTACATACAAATCAATATTATATAATTATAAAAATGCCTTTCTGTACTTACTATTCAGTAAGCTTTAAGTTATTACCGGATGAACTGATCTTTCATCCGAGTCCAATTTTAAAATACTATGCTATTTATTTTATATGATGATGATGAGAGACTTGGAAATTTTACAAACTATTTAGTGGAATTCATCAATGATAATTATTAATTGTCTTTTATTTTATCGGGATCATCTATTCTTAGAATTGAGAATTTACACACTCTAACCACAGGTTTATGAATACAGATTCGTTATAGACTTACTGAAATTTGCATAGACCAAAAACATTTTATTTATTACAACTGATAACATGACATAAAGGAAATATGTTTCATTACAAAGAACTATTTTACAGAACATTTCTTCCCTCAGTACCATATTTATTAAATCATACACATGGTAGGAAATAATAGAGACAACTTGGTCTATGAAGTAAATAACTCCTTTGGTTAAGTTAAAACACTGATAATCATATATATTCAAATAATTTGATGTGAATTTGTATGTTTTAGCTGTCTACAACTTCCATCTGGACCGACGTCCCTGTCTGAAGCTGAGTGTGGGTGAATCTGTGCACATCTTAGAAGAGACTGAAGGTACTTATAACTGTATATAGTCTTGCAACGGTTTACACTGTTCTCGTCCCACACATAGATTAAGTATAATCCATCACCCTGTACACACAACAGAGGAAATAGCCTCATCCCTTGTATGTATTAAGTACCATCATTTCAGCCTGTCAATGTATACAAACAGAGGAAATGGGCAGTAAGTACACATGGGGTTCAAGTACATTATCTTGGTATTAACACATTAGTTGGTGTGGGTCAAAGGAAGTATTAACTTGTGTGGGCCAGTGTATATATATAGAGCTATGTCCAACTGGATCCCTGATCTGTATTAACTTTTGATCAGTAAGGTCCAAACCTCCCACAGTCAATAATGTATATTACTGTTTACAGCCATCTGTCTAAATCTCCCACAGTCAATACTAAAGATTTCTCTCTGTTTACAGCCATTAGTCCAAACCTCCCACAGTCAATACTGAAGTTTTCTCTATGTTTACAGCCATCAGTCCAAACCTCCCACACAGTCATTACTGAAGATTTTTCTATGTTTACAGCTATTTGTCAAAATCTCCCACAGTCAATACTGAGGATTTCTCTCTGTTTACAGCCATCAGTCCAAACCTCCCACAGTCAATACTGAAGATTTCTCTATGTTTACAGCCATCAGTCCAAACCTTTCACTGTCAATACTGAAGACTTCCCTCTGTTTACAGCCATCGGTCCAAACCTCCCACAGTCAATACTGAAGATTTCTCTGTTTACAGCCATCAGTCCAAACCTCCCACAGTCAATACTGAAGATTTCTCTCTTGTTAACTGCCATCAGTCCAAACCTTTCACTGTCAATACTGAAGATTTCTCTATGTTTACAGCCATCAGTCCAAACCTCCCACAGTCAATACTGAAGATTTCCCTCTGTTTACAGCCATCAGTCCAAACCTCCCAGGGTCAATACTGAAGATTTCCCTCTGTTTTTAGCCATCAGTCCAAACCTCCCACAGTCAATACTGAAGATTTCTTTGTTTACAGCCATCCGTCCAAACCTCCCACAGTCAATACTGAAGATTTCTTTGTTTACAGACATCCGTCCAAACCTCCCACAGTCAATACTGAATATTTCCCTCTGTTTACAGCCATCAGTCCAAACCTCCCAGGGTCAATACTGAAGTTTTCCCTCTGTTTTTAGCCATCAGTCCAAACCTCCCACAGTCAATACTGAAGATTTATCTATGTTTACAGCCATCAGTCCAAACCTTTCACTGTCAATACTGAAGATTTCTTTGTTTATAGCCATCAGTCCAAATCTCCCACAGTCAATACTGAAGAAGTCCAAACCTCCCACAGTCAATACTGAAGATTTCCCTCTGTTTACAGTCATCAGTCCAAACCTCCCAGGGTCAATACTGAAGATTTCCCTCTGTTTTTAGCCATCAGTCCAAACCTCCCCCAGTCAATACTGAAGATTTCTCTATGTTTACAGCCATCAGTCCAACCCTCCCACAGTCAATACTGAAGATTTCTCTATGTTTACAGCCATCAGTCAAAACCTTTCACTGTCAATACTGAAGATTTCTTTGTTTATAGCCATCAGTCCAAATCTCCCACAGTCAATACTGAAGAAGTCCAAACCTCCCACAGTCAATACTGAAGATTTCTCTGTTTACAGCCATCGGTCCAAACCTCCCACAGTCAATACTGAAGATTTATCTATGTTTACAGCCATCAGTCCAAACCTTTCACTGTCAATACTGAAGATTTCTCTATGTTTACAGCCATCAGTCCAAACCTCCCAGGGTCAATACTGAAGATTTCCCTCTGTTTTTAGCCATCAGTCCAAACCTCCCCCAGTCAATACTGAAGATTTCTCTATGTTTACAGCCATCAGTCCAACCCTCCCACAGTCAATACTGAAGATTTCCCTCTGTTTACAGTCATCAGTCCAAACCTCCCAGGGTCAATACTGAAGTTTTCCCTCTGTTTTTAGCCATCAGTCCAAACCTCCCACAGTCAATACTGAAGATTTCCCTCTGTTTACAGTCATCAGTCCAAACCTCCCAGGGTCAATACTGAAGTTTTCCCTCTGTTTTTAGCCATCAGTCCAAACCTCCCCCAGTCAATACTGAAGATTTCTCTATGTTTACAGCCATCAGTCAAAACCTTTCACTGTCAATACTGAAGATTTCTTTGTTTATAGCCATCATCTCTATGTTTACAGCCATCAGTCCAAACCTCCCAGGGTCAATACTGAAGATTTCCCTCTGTTTTTAGCCATCAGTCCAAACCTCCCACAGTCAATACTGAAGATTTCCCTCTGTTTACAGTCATCAGTCCAAACCTCCCAGGGTCAATACTGAAGATTTCCCTCTGTTTTTAGCCATCAGTCCAAACCTCCCACAGTCAATACTGAAGATTTCTCTCTTGTTAACTGCCATCAGTCCAAACCTTTCACTGTCAATACTGAAGATTTCTGTGTTTATAGCCATCAGTCCAAATCTCCCACAGTCAATACTGAAGAAGTCCAAACCTCCCACAGTCAATACTGAAGATTTATCTATGTTTACAGCCATCAGTCCAAACCTTTCACTGTCAATACTGAAGATTTCTTTGTTTATAGCCATCAGTCCAAATCTCCCACAGTCAATACTGAAGATTTTTCTGTTTACAGCCATCGGTCCAAACCTCCCTGATCTGTTAGCGATTGTCTTTTTGGTGTATAGACAGTTTTTGATATATATTGCGGATATGTTCTTTGGAGGTAAAAAAACATTATTTGTTGTTTTACTACATGGCAATATATTTATGTTTTTTGCAGATTTTGTTAAATTGTTACTTTGTAAATAAACAGATTCATTTAAGCAACTTTAACTGCAGCTAGTGTCCTGCTGCTGAAGTTCTTAGGCCAGACAAAATATATTCCATCTGAAAGTTTGTGTCAAAATCGATAAACGATTATATCAATAAGTGTCTGGTCTGGTTGGCCGGACTGTTTTCAATGATGTCAGCTGTTTGTCCACTTGACACGGTTGATGGTTACTGGTTTAGTGTCTGTACCTGGTCATGATGTGGTATATACATATGTACATTGTTCTGGTGGCTTGTGTCTGTACCTGGTTATGATGTGGTATATACATATGTACATTGTTCTGGTGGCTTGTGTCTGTACCTGGTCGTGATGTGGTATATACAGATGTACATTGTTCTGGTGGCTTGTGTCTGTACCTGGTCGTGATGTGGTATATACAGATGTACATTGTTCTGGTGGCTTGTGTCTGTACCTGGTCATGATGTGGTATATACAGATGTACATTGTTCTGGTGGCTTGTGTCTGTACCTGGTCATGATGTGGTATATACAGATGTACATTGTTCTGGTGGCTTGTGTCTGTACCTGGTCATGATGTGGTATATACAGATGTACATTGTTCTGGTGGCTTGTGTCTGTACCTGGTCATGATGTGGTATATACAGATGTACATTGTTCTGGTGGCTTGTGTCTGTACCTGGTCATGATGTGGTATATACAGATGTACATTGTTCTGGTGGCTTGTGTCTGTACCTGGTCATGATGTGGTATATACAGATGTACATTGTTCTGGTGGCTTGTGTCTGTACCTGGTCATGATGTGGTATATACAGATGTACATTGTTCTGGTGGCTTGTGTCTGTACCTGGTCATGATGTGGTATATACAGATGTACATTGTTCTGGTGGCTTGTGTCTGTACCTGGTCATGATGTGGTATATACAGATGTACATTGTTCTGGTGGCTTGTGTCTGTACCTGGTCATGATGTGGTATATACAGATGTACATTGTTCTGGTGGCTTGTGTCTGTACCTGGTCATGATGTGGTATATACAGATGTACATTGTTCTGGTGGCTTGTGTCTGTACCTGGTCATGATGTGGTATATACAGATGTACATTGTTCTGGTGGCTTGTGTCTGTACCTGGTCATGATGTGGTATATACAGATGTACATTGTTCTGGTGGCTTGTGTCTGTACCTGGTCATGATGTGGTATATACAGATGTACATTGTTCTGGTGGCTTGTGTCTGTACCTGGTCATGATGTGGTATATACAGATGTACATTGTTCTGGTGGCTTGTGTCTGTACCTGGTCATGATGTGGTATATACAGATGTACATTGTTCTGGTGGCTTGTGTCTGTACCTGGTCATGATGTGGTATATACAGATGTACATTGTTCTGGTGGCTTGTGTCTGTACCTGGTCATGATGTGGTATATACAGATGTACATTGTTCTGGTGGCTTGTGTCTGTACCTGGTCATGATGTGGTATATACAGATGTACATTGTTCTGGTGGCTTGTGTCTGTACCTGGTCATGATGTGGTATATACAGATGTACATTGTTCTGGTGGCTTGTGTCTGTACCTGGTCATGATGTGGTATATACAGATGTACATTGTTCTGGTGGCTTGTGTCTGTACCTGGTCATGATGTGGTATATACAGATGTACATTGTTCTGGTGGCTTGTGTCTGTACCTGGTCATGATGTGGTATATACAGATGTACATTGTTCTGGTGGCTTGTGTCTGTACCTGGTCATGATGTGGTATATACAGATGTACATTGTTCTGGTGGCTTGTGTCTGTACCTGGTCATGATGTGGTATATACAGATGTACATTGTTCTGGTGGCTTGTGTCTGTACCTGGTCATGATGTGGTATATACAGATGTACATTGTTCTGGTGGCTTGTGTCTGTACCTGGCCATGATGTGGTATATACAGATGTACATTGTTCTGGTGGCTTGTGTCTGTACCTGGTCATGATGTGGTATATACTGATGTACATTGTTCTGGTGGCTTGTGGCGTATTTTGTTCAATGAATATGTTATAGCATGAACTAGTACTCTAGCTCCAAGGAACCTTAATTAAACACTTAAGATGATCTCAGCCTTATAAGTTAATCTTTAGGATATATTTCAAAATTCAAACAGAATTTTAATATGTTTGTGCTGTACTTTAATTGTTTAAGACATTCTCAATTTTAATTTCTCAAC